GAAAACAAATGGAAAGATTAGCAGAAAGGGTACGTTAGTAGGTTGTGTCAGGGTTATGAAAGTTAAGTTAGGGTAATCCGAAATATACGATGATGAATTGAAACAAAGTCCTATTTGACATTGCATAGATTAATGTGGACAAAAAATGTAGGGCTAAGGGCTGGACCTTGAGGCACTTATTTATTATATTCACTGTGCCTTGGGGATAGAGTTCTTTTGGCTTTAAAGAGGAAAGGGCCACGACACCATCATCTTGACAATAATAATATGATAGTGGTAGCTGCTACCATGAGTTAATGTTTTGAAAGTGTCGCCAGTGGGGTTGGTTTCTGTGTTTTCCTCATCAAACTGTCTTCCCAAATCCAAATATCAAACAGTGCTGCATTGTCCCCACTCATCCCCACCAACTTCAGCCCCACCATCCTTCTCCTTTCCCTTTCAGTTCCATTCACAGTTGCACAAATGTAATCATAATGATCATCTATAAAGAATTTAATTAATTCTAAAACTTCTATCCCACAATCCTTCTATAAAAATTAAAAAATTATACTAATGACTAAATTTAAATAGCTAATAACAGTCAAATTTTGTTTATAAATATTTATCCTGCTTTTATTATAATTTTAATGTAATAAATATTTTTTTAATAAAAAATATTTTTTAGTGTTTAAATTTAACTTAAAAATTAAGGTTAACAAAATTTTAAAATTAATTAGATTTTATGCGTCTGAAGTGAAATTAAAGGTGGATATTCTAAACCTATATATACAAAATTTGTTCAAACAGTGACAAGAACTGCTGCCATATTAACGATTACTTGAGATCAAATCAGATTTTCTTGCTTTCACAAGAGGGGAAGATAAATACTTTCATCACGTAATAAATTTTCCAATTTCATAATGGTAGTATATCAAGACTGTATGACTTCGGTATCTTAAAGGCATAAATATAAACCAATGAGATATACGAGAGTGTAAGTTTAAAATTTAAGATACGTGTGAATGTATATGTACGTACACATTTATATGGTAAAGGAAATAATATATTCATGTAAAACTTCGTATTTTTCCATTATATTCTTACACTTTTAGGTGTCTATTAATGTCATAATGATTAAAGGGTTTCGTAAAAAGTGAGAAAATGTTTTTAACTAGCCACTCTAATGCCTTTATGCGCGAGGTTTATCATATATTATCAAGCATCTGAGAAACAAGCATATTCCAATGAATTAACTTCTATAACTGCGATATTTTCAAATATAATTTCTCTAAAGTATCATTTTTAGAAATATTATCTTGAGATCTGATTAAGTATCATGTGGTTCGAATATTTACAAACGTTGTCTTTCATTTAAATAAAGCCGTTGATTACATATATTGCAAAAAGGAAAAACCTTAACTGCTTCACAATCATGTTGTCGTTCAAAGAAACCTATTTGATTGAAAAATAACATTTTGCCTCCTAAGACTAGTTTTATGAGACATGCCATGAACAATGTACCCCTCAAAATGATTTTCGAAGCTTGTAAAACTACGTAATAATTAATTAGTGATAGAGTAATGGGATGGCGAGATGATGGGGAACTAGCCATTGCTTGTGGTCGTGCACGTGGTTCCTCAAACAGAGACACACATATCACAATAATCGTGTGCCTCATCGCATAAGAGATAAGCTTGGGTTGGTGAAGTTGGACCCAAACACCCTATAAAAAAGGAATTGGATAAGTAACTTAGCTAATTAAGGTCTACAAGACGAAAATTACAAGTGTTAGTTGAATGAGAGAGGACAACAATAAGTGCATGTCGGTTGATTTAACGTGTTAAAGAGGAAAATTCACATTATCAACAAATAAAGAGGAAAAATTAATCAACATCACATGGCACAAAATCTTTTAAAAATATAAATGAAAAAGAAGAAAGCCAAAGTCATTGAAAAGTTGACCTTAACAAGCAATCAACATATTTTGGACAGTGAAGCAATCTTGTCATGTATCGTTAACAGGAGAGGATTGAAATTGGACGAGTTGGGTCATATCATGTTTCTGCCACGTTTCTTCCGTTCTCCATTGAGACCCACTTCGTTCGACATTAGATGCGGCTTCAACGTTAACGTCAACATTATGTTTGAAAATTCACTAGGTACATGCGCATTTACTCCTCCGTTCCCACTGTTTTTCCATGATTCGTTTTGATCATGCCCTCTATTGCGATGACTAAACAAAAAGGTCGAATAAATTGCACTTACTACTATGTTTTTATACTTCGTTTTTAGGTAACATTTAGTATTGGAGTTAGTCGCTTGTGTCACCACTCATTAGTGGGACTAATTGTTGATGGGCTTCCAGAGTTGGAGGCAAGGAAATTCAGCTCTGGTGTGTGTGATGCGCTGGTCCTTGATTTGTGTCATGAAGGATGCTTCTGTGATTTAGAAAGAAATTTAATTAATGAGTTTGTGTTTTTTTGTGATTTAAAAATACTTGAAGCCTACTTTATTATTATCATTGATTTGAAGAAATATTTAAATTGAGATTTATAAAAAGTATTTTTAGTGTTACAACATCCTGAAAAAGTCAAAATAAGGTAACATTCATGTATCATCATAGCATGAAGTTATACATTGTATTTCTACTTGGATGCAAACAATTTTGACTGTTTTGAAAATGAAAATTCTCTCAATTTTTCTTTCTTGCGACTGTTGAAATGGTGTATCTGTGGATTTATAAACAATCAAAGTGCAAGATTAATATTATCATTTCTTATGGAGTTTTCTAAGTTTTCTTCTCTTCTGTTCTCTTTTTTATATATACACGTAATCGGATTTTGTAATTAGAAACAAGTTATCGTACTTCTAAGGTTTAAATTTTGGTATGGTTTGATGGAGCGTGCATGTTATTTGTTCAAAACTATCCTGGCAGAAAGTGAATTATACTTAGCCTTCTAATTCTATTTTTAGGTGTATCTATTGTTATACCCATATGTCTGTCACTACTCTCACTTAAATAACTTTTGTTTAAAATACTCTTTTTTTTAATAAATATATCAATAGTAAGAATAGTATATATGTTTTTTTTTTTTTTTTTATGTAGTACAGTAGCATTATATCAATTTTATCGGTTCGTTGTTGTATAGTTCCTCACTACACCTAGTGCTCACTAACTCGGCCAGCACAAAAACATGATCACTAATATGGGTTTCATCTCACGAAAAGAACATGGTTCAGTATCTTCCTTATGCCTCTTCAAGGTGGCAATGTGACGCATTGCAAGTTCATACATTAAAAGATTCATTAAAATCTTTGCAATTTTGAATATCCAAAGTCTTCCAACTGCTGCGTTTGTGAGAGTCCCATTCAAACTTCAAACATAAATGTGGAAATGTCAGTTTGCAAAATATGCGCATTTTGGTAAAATAATGTTAGTATGGCTAAAAGGTCCATGCACGTATTTTCAGTGCAAGCCAAGTTTTAAGTAAATTTTCACCATTTTATCACGTGCTGCCTTTAAATCCATAGACTAAAAATGTGTGTTTCCTAACTTTGAAACATAAATGGAAAATTTGTTTTGGACTTTTGCCATCTTGCGGATTTTGGTAAAACAATTAAGTTTGTAATGGTCGAACTAGTATTTATGCACATTTTCAATTTACGCAACCCAGTTACAAGTGAAATTTCCCAACTTTTTCACGTGCTCTTTTTAAATTTTCAAGCTTTAATTATAGAACATGTGACCTTCCTCTTTCTTAAAACTTAATTATCCATAGGTGTCGTACCAGCAACAACATTTATGATAAATTTGGATGAAGTAGTTTAAAACAACTTTTTAAACATTTTGATGCTTTGTGTGGACCATCATATGGAATGGAACATCTAAGTGATCCTGGAAAATTGATCCTGAAAAATACTAACATTTATTTAAAGCAAAAAGATCACTTTTTAAAATTATTTTAATTTTTTAAAAACCTGATTAGTTATACTAAAGAAACGTATAAGTAAACAATGTCTGAAAAAATTCTTTGGGAATTCCTGACACTAAATCATCAATTTAGAGAAATGTTTTTTTAAGCTCTCTCAAAATTCACAAAATTAAACTACTATTTTTACAAAATTAACTAAATTAAATATGCACTATATATTACATCAATAAATTCTTTTTTATTTTAGTTGTCTTTTTTAATATTATATCCACGGAACATGCATTCTATAGAAGGAGATTTTTCTCAGTCAAATTCCGCAAATCAATATATTAAAACATGATCGACGGTCTCAAATTCGAAGCCTAATGTGTTAAAATTTGGTGTAAAAAAATTGATATTTTTACTAATCCTAATTATCTACATGATTATGTAATGATTTACATGGCCTAGCTCGACGTAGTAAAATCATGATATCAGGTCAATATAAATATGATCAATCTATACCTCTGCCAAACTACACCAAACAATCTCTCTATCTAAGATGCAATCTTAAACTGTGAAAGATTTGTGTTAAGTGAGCAAACGAAACCAATATATCTTGTAAATTTTGTCCTCTGGGCTAGAACGTATACAATTGCATATCGTATTTAATTAAGATCAACGCCCACTAAATAATTTAGGGGTCATGCATTTTTTAATAAGACCTTAAATACAAGGAAATCATTACGTTATTTGAAAAAAAAAACTGATAAAAAATAAATAACCGTTTCATTACAAATAGAGACCAAGCATTATTTTCAAATGGAGAGTTTTTCATGACTAGTCATCTACAACTACTTGTAGTCAAACAATCTCTAAAGAAACATAATACCCCCAATTTAAGTGACAAAAAAAGAGGTTAATTCAATTGGAAAAAAATGCATCCTTTCCTCAAGTAATTAAATTAATTGAACAATTGATTAATGAAAATGTGAATATGGAAAGGTGGCGTGACCCAAAATAAAAATCAGGAATTATTTTAAATGACTAACATTGTATTCTCAACCACAAGCAAAATGTATTCTCTTCCAAATTTCCCTTTTTTTTTCCCTTTTTCTTTTAAAGAGAATCATCATCCTGAACAGATTCTTAACCTTGATATAATATCTCCATGGACCTTGGATCAAAGATATCCAAGCAAGGAACATATAAAAAAGGTACCATGTTGCCACACCACCTCTTGATGAAAAGTGGATAGAATCAGAAACTCTTTCTGCATCCTTTCAAAACTTAGTTGAGATTGGAAGCTGATCAACTTATTAGGTAGTCTAAGATCTCTCACAATTTCATTGAATGTAATCTTCATAGTAGTTGTCACTTATCACAGACACAAATCTCTCTAGCCATGGAAGTTGATGTAGATCCTTCATGGGGTCTACGTAAGTTTCTGTACAGCGAGGAGGAGATTGGTAAGGATTATGGTCACTGAGACTGAAACCCCCAGCTAGGAACCTTTGAATAAGCGCAAGCTGCGATCTTTCTTGGTCTGAGTATGCATCCATGATCATGGAGAGAGAATTGAAAGTCTCCCATGCCCATTGTTCTGATTCTTGAAGAGAGTGCGTCACGGAGTCTTCAGAGCGGTCTTCATCCCAAAATGCACACTGACATGTCTGTTGACCATCCCTATATTCCGCACCACAAGAATAGCAGAACTCGTGACCGCACCTGAAATTATGACACAAGAATTGAATGCTATCGGAGAAGATAATCTACAATAGAACAGAGGTGATAAAATAAGTGCGACTGTTTGTGTTACACGAATGAAATTCAACTTAGACTTCTAAACTGAAGATACAACATATGTTAAATCTAACAGTTAATAAATCTTGTATCCTACGCATTTGTTAATATGTTATCAAATGGATAAATAGATTTTAAAACACAATGCAAGTGCATACCAATAAAATGAAAGATAATATTAGTAGTTCTATGCCAAAATAAACCATATTAATATCAAATATGGCACCAGATGGATTATTAACAATTTCCTAACAATATGGTGCGTTCTATGGAAAAAGGGCAATGACACCATTTGGATATATGGATGAGACGTACACATAATTTGGGACATATTCAGCTCTACCAAAGCTTAGATGTGAGTAATAGTTTACTTCTAAGTATTGTTTTGCGCCTGAGTTACAATTTATAGCCCGCGTCTATTTTTTTTTTTATTTGGCCAGTTATTGATCAGTGATCACCCAGCCATTCAAACATCACATACTATCATCTTTCTTAGAATGAAATGGACAAAAGAAAAAAGGCATGGATTATGATTATCGTTAAAAGCAAACAGAAAGGCATAAACACTTAATTGACAGCCCATCAACACAAGGCCATAGGGCTATGTCATGGGCTACATACTGGCAGAAAGATCTAGAAGAATATCCACCACAGAGCCAAAGAGAAAGGTCAGACTGGATTCATTTTTAGCACAAAGCCACTGTTTTGTAGGGTTCTCCAAAGTTTTCATCAAATGGAACACAAAGGTTCAGTCCTACAGTCAAAGGTTAACCCTAATTTAAATGATTCCCTTCCATTTAGATTTTAAAAACGTCCCTTTATTTATATTGGTACCTCACTTTCTCTTATTAAACAGCAACTAAAACTTCATTAATATAATTGTACTTGAGCAATTTTAGATGATTGAAAGTATTAACTTGCCATAGCTAAACTAAATGCTCAACAGGCCTGAATACTAAGTGCTGTATGCTTCACTCCACTTCTTTCCCCACTGCTGTGGATGCTAGTATTGTTCGTATCCAAACAGTTTCACATACAACGTTATTTTCTTTACCACCCTAAACTCATACTATAAAAAATTTCAAAGCCCCATAAATTCTCACCCTGCATCTTGAAAAGAAATACTACTCATAGCCACAAGAAAAGCTCCAAAGTGCAGATTTTTCTCTTCCTTGTGATTACCACTAAAATGTGGATTTTGGAATATTTTCCTCAATATTAGCCCCCACATAATCATGGCCCTTGAAATCTTCAATATCTAACCATCCTCTGCTGCCTATATACTTTAAAATCAATTGGTTTAATTTCAGCCTACAAATGTTTGGACTTGGAATCTTAATCACATAACCATGACTGAACTTATGGTCCTCAGCCACTTGTCCACAAATCCCTATTCTCAGGACTCTTGCTATTTAGAAAGCCTAAAACATAAAATTAACAACTTTGATTCATAGGGCCCACATCAAACCCACATATTACTTGTCCTACAGCAACAAAACTTTTAAAAATCGTTGTAACCCAAATAGCAGATTATCTCATAACAATTCCTTCTACAAATTCATCACAGAACTCAGCTTTCTCTTCTCAGGCCTTCATTAGGTTTTTGGATCACAAACTATTTCCCAATCCTACATCACCCCCAGGGCCCGATCCCCTCTATTCACCAAAGTATTCATTTAATTGGCCTCTTGCATCCCCAACTCTATGCAGAATTTGTAATTGTGCAAGTCATTTCATATCTTATGATTTTCAGAAACTATTAAACATGCCAGGAAAAAGATAAGAGATTAAATTATATAAAAATAAATTTCTCTTTATCCCTCTCTTGCCATATGGAACAACTTAGTCATCTATCATTTCTATATAAGTCATTTCCTCTGGGCACTGATATATTATCATTTCAGTGGGATCATATCATCAACCATTCTCTCTCTCTCTCTCTCTCTCCTGAGTATGAGTTTAAAATGCCAGTCTTTGTTTATATGAAGGTTACAATACATTCACATTTCACATGTTCTAACTCTCAAACCAAAATTTAATAAGGACCTACAGACAGTTTCATTTTAACATTTTACATTATAGAAGTTCTTCACACATAACCATGAGAAGGAAACGAGACACCATAAATTGGCATATCTGCATGCCACACTGGATTTAATAGGCAGATCTCTCTCTTCTTAACAGGTAAATTTTATAATCTATATGATTCCACTTTCAATAGATAGTGTGACTGGTTGACTGGATAGATCTAAGCACATTTCAGATTTGCAATAATAGACTACATAACGAAATAAATATAAAAAATAATCAACACTTTTTTTATTGTATCTTACCAGCATGTCATGTGGTAACAACCTTGAGTAAGCTCAATCATTCTACGGCACTGCTGACAACGCTTCCACCTTTTATTCTGAGCAAGACGATGCAAGGTAATATCAGAAGCATCTCTCTCCTCCTCTGGCAGACTCTGGTATTCTACACAGCTCATAGAAGAATGCCAAGGAACCTTACAGTCCATGCAGATAAACCTCTTACAAACAGGACACTCGATACAAGAATTGTCAGACTGACTAGATGAACTGGCTCTAGCTGACAAACATTCATGAGGATCAAGGAGAACAGAGCAATTTGGAAATGGACAATAAATTCTATCTGAATGGATAATATTTGCTTCTGAAAGGGCTTTCTCCATTGATTCAAAGGAGTTAAATGTAAGAAAAGACCGGCACTCAGTTGCAGAGATGCAATGCTTGCATCCTGGTTGAGGGCATCTTATAGGGACTTGACAAGATTGTATTTTACCATCAGCATAGGCCTTCAAGCAATGTGAACAGAATGTGTGTGAACATTTCAAAGTAACCATAATTGGCACTGGCTTGTCATCCCAGCAAATAGAACAGTTCTTAAATAATCTCTCACCATTTACAGGGAAAGTGACAAGTCCAATAGCCACTTTGGCCAACTGGAGTGGCTGCTCAAGATCAGTGCTCGGTATAAACTTCAAAACAAAAGCTTCAAAACTATGGGCAAGTTCCAGAATCCTTTCTCTCAGTCCCATTAAAAGTGGCGTCTCCAAATCTTTCTCAAATGTAATCTGTCCAAATATTCACATTCAAACAGAAGGATAGTTAAGGACATGTGACCTGGGAAAATACCAGAAATGCACATTAAAAAATTATTAGAGGCTAGTGGCACATGTCAACGAATTGAAGTATTTCTAAGACAAATTTTGAATGTAGGATATCTGCTGATATTCAAATGGTTAACTCCATCCCCCTAGTCCATAAAGCATTCCCGTTACATAAAAAAATAAGGCCTAGCATCAATACATGCATTATAAATAAGGCCTAGCAGTGTCAATTGTGATGTGTCATAGTGTGGCTGCTATAACAAAAACCTCTTATACTATTTGGTCATAGCATAAAACAAAGAAACATAACAACAACAACAACAACAAAGCCTTATCCTCACAAAACAAAGAAATGATCAGATTAAATACTGAATTGCTAACCTGATCATACAACAATTCAGAATCTGTAAAAGCATAAACCCTGCGGATCTTGTTCTGCTCAGCTTCCAGCAAGCCATCCAAGAGTGCCAAATAGTCAACTACTGACTCCTCAGCATAAAAATCAAGCCTTTTCTGCACCCGTATAGCAGCAAGACCTGACGACCTTTCCATGAACACGCCAATTCCAGAAAACCCAGAACTTGATTTATCAACCCCAGCCATTGACAACCCCTTAAAGAACATTTTTACTGAAAATTCATCAAGCTCATCCTTCAACTCTTCCACCACAGGCTCCTCAGTTTCTTTCCACACTTCTTCATCTTCTTCCTCACAACAACTGCAAAACTCATCTTCCTCTTCCTCTCTTCCAACATTATCAGATTCTGCAACAACTAAAGCCTGATCCTCCATTTTCCCAACAAATTACCTGAAACTTCCTGTCACAGAACTTCACGTAGCCCTTACAACAATTAACAATACCCCAGCATAACCCATCAACAAATCGATCTAAAAAATCAAATTTTTTTTATCAATTCCAAGAAAAAATTACAAAAATTCACAGCAAGACATAGCCCTTTTGGGCTTTATCCTCACACTGATAAAAAAAAAATCGAAAATTAGAACAACTCGAGATCTTGAACAATGCGAATCACAAATCTCATTCAAGAGCTAAAAGGGAAAACTCTCACCCCTAGAGAACAAGATAGAGGAGGCTAGGAAACCTAAAAGAAATCAAATTATAAGCGTTGGAAAGAAATAAAAAAAATGGAGGCATTGACTTTGATGGAGGGTTGGTAACTAAACAAGAAGAATAAGAGAAGAGAGAGAAAGGAAAAGGGTGTCAAAGAAAAGAAGTGAAACTTCCATAGCATACTCCTTATCTGGTTCGAATTTGGTATTATTATTCTTTTAAGCTGTGATTCTCAAACACTGCAACACAACAAAAAACCCTAATAATCTAAAACTTCACCTCAGCGGCGTAACAACTTTTCTTTACTCGTATTATTAATTATTAATACGACCCCAAGAGAGAGAGAAAGTGGGATTATTAAGAATAACAAAATGACAAGCACAGTGCTTTGCTTCGCCAGATAAGCAGGGGAGCAAATGATTTGTGCAGATAAAGAATAACAAAATATATACAAAAGTTTGCATAAAAATTAATGAGTTTTCAAACATCAGAATTTCAGATAAAGAATGTTAGAGTATCTTTTATAATATATTTTTTTAACACATTTTTAATTATTGATTAAATTTCATTTATAATTACAAAAGTACGAGGAGAGAGGAATGATTAAATTAAAGATAGAATCGTTTATTAACATTTTTCATTTTAACATTCTTAATCTCTCTGGAAAATTTAAAAGGATTCTCTTACCAATTGCTCCCTAAAATCTGAAAAAAAACAAAAAAAAAATACTCTTCCATCAAAGTAGATTCTACCTTAGCTATCAATACAGATCGACAAGACAGCGAAAAATCAAATGGCAGCAATGGCAACCAAAACACACTATGAGCTTCAAAATATGAATGATAAAGGAACATACACCCCTTGTAATAGTTTATGCATTTCTTTAAATAAATAAAAAAGCATTTTACAATTTTGCTTGAACCAGATTAAATTGTTACTTTTTTTTAACATTTAACACAGCTGCCTTATCTTGTACTAATTTATGTAATGTAACAGAACAAAAAATAAAAATATTAAATAAATGATTATACTGTATATTAATTAAAATAGTTTTATTAATCAATATCTTAAAAAATAAAAATGCATTGTAAATTATGATTGAACTGCATTTATGATATTTTTATAAAAAATTCTTAGATTTACTCTTTGACCGGTAAACTTTAATCAAAGTTTATATTCTTTATTTTTTAAAAATTATCATATAACCTTTATGCTTTAATCTCAACTATCTCTTTAAAGCACTATCTAATGGATATAAACAAAGCAATAGGTGAACCCATTGATTGGGTTTGTAAAAAAACAGATGGTAAAACTATGATTTTGTTTTTGTGTGAACAGTATAAGTATGGTTAAAACGTCAAAACAAATGGGCTATAAATCCATAGCACATACCCAATCCTAAGTGGCGGAGTAAGCCCAAACCAACACAAACTTAAATAGCCAATACATAGTGAGTTCCCCTTCACTTTCACCAAAACAAAAATGGTGAGTTTTACCAAACGGCTCCATTACTAGCTTATCAGATATATTTTTTTAACCAAACACAACCATAGCAACTATAGTTTATGAGTAAACGAAAAAGTTGTCTCTGCAAAATTCAACATATAAACCCTAACCTATGTTACATTAACATAATTTTAGGGTTGTAATGGAACAACAACTCAGAGATGTAACAGGCTAAAACGTAAACCATCTCAACATGGGCCCCCAATCCCATTACCATTCATACACATGCAGATGAGACAGATACAACGACCTCTTACCAAAAATATTTAATTTTTTCAAAAAGGTGGCTGAATCGAATTGTCACATGGTTATGGAGGAGACATGTTCAACCGAAAATTTGGACATGTAACATACATCCAAAACGATATTTATATATCTAACTAGTATCTCTACCTCTCTCTTTTGTTTTTCTATCTCCTTTTGTCTTATATCTTTTTTTTCATCATATTACATTATTTACTATAAGTTTAATTTTATTTTTATCCATAACTTATAAAATTGTTCAATTTTAATCTTTCAATTTTCAAAATGCAAATCTCTCTCTCTCTCTCTCTCTCCTTCCTTCCCCCACCCTAGGGACAGATGCCTTTCGCCCCCTCCTGGTCTATGATGGCCCCCCTCTTATCATTAATACCTTTTAGCTAGATTAGGAATTACAGATTTTTAATGTCATCATGTGATGTGGTGACTGAATAAGATTACTTGATTTTAAGCTAAAAAATCAATTCCTCATAAAAAGTTCATATCTCAATAAAAATATACAATTCAAATTAATTTATAAATATATTTTAATTGTGTACATACATGGGTAACAAAAACAATAATAAAGTCTTATCTGTGGTAAGAGAAAAATCGTTTCTAAAGATGGAATTTTTACACTGCAGCGTTCCTCGCAACATTATGGAAGAACACTTATACATAAGAGGGTCCACTTTGTGTTCTTTCAAATGTGCAACAAAATAGACACGACCAGCGTACAGTTTTAGACATCTTCTCCCCACCTTTTGCAATTCTCACACGTGAACCTAAATCAATAAAAACACCACGCAAATTATAACAAATATAAACAGAAACCTAAAGTTACCCTTTTGAAGGTTTAGAAGGGACTTCATTTTTGACAACTGTGCAATCAATGCAACATCAGAGAAAATTGTTTCACAATAATAGGTTAAATTTACATAACGAGAAACAGTACCTCAGTTTAAACAACTACTGTATTCCATTGTTGTATTCTCTACATCTTTTTTTTTCCCTGAAATGTGCTAATCAAACTCCCGAAGTGAAAATATTGAGACAAGAGCTTAATCTACTCTAAATTTTATATACGGCAATTTCAACAAGAGATATGTTTGGTGCCATAGCTTATTGCTTGAAGACTCGGCTCTGACATATTTGTAATCCATTTCATAGGGCCATTTGATTCTCCTGGTATATTGTAAGCATAAGAAGGCCATTTTGCATCATTTCCACACATGTTTGGAACACCCATTCTGATCATCTTCTGTGTTCTTTCAAGAACTATAAGACTTGAAAATGTGGAGAAACTATTTCCCACAAAGATATTGGCTCGCAAACACACTTCATAGTCAATTGCGGACTGAATTAAATATGGGTACTTGTTATAAATTTCATCAACACCAAGTTTCTTCTTCTCAAAAGGAAGAAAGCCTTCTTCCCAATCTTCCAATATGGAAGAATTGTTAAGGAGTTTATCAGCAACTGCAAGATAAACAATGGCCGGAGTCTTCAAACCAGCGATGTTCCTAACTCTTTCGATTATCTCTTTCTTGCTACTGCAGATTAGATTCGTGTTCAATCTTTGCTCTAACTTTTTGCAGTGGATCATCCAATCAATTTCAATCCTCATGTGAACAGCAACATATGGAAGAGGCTGAAATGAAGACCTATAAGAGGTTATGCTATTTACCACTTCAATTGATTCACTGTTGCCTTTTACCTCTCTTCCAACTCCTCTAATCCTAGACACAACCCTATCAGCATCTCTAGCAATCTCATCTATCAAATTCAAGCACTCAAAAACCTTTGCATAGTCCTTCACAGGCCAATGATCATGCCACAAAAAAGGGTTCTTCCCTACTATCCGAATCACCTCATAGTCATCAAAAGAGCCCATACTATGCTCCCTCAACTGTGATAAATCCCTCTCCACTGTCCACCTCCTTCCACTTCCCTTTAGCAATTCCATCACTTGTGTTCTATTTAACACATCCGAGTATCGACCCAACCGGACAAAACCGCGGCATTGCATGTTAAACTTCTCAAATTGGAACACCTTGTCAAAGGAAATGGGTTGCAAGAGGTCAATTTCTTTGTAAAACAGCGAGGCACTAAACCTAGGCATCAACAATGTTCTATTCAGCATTCTAGCAGTAAGGCAAGCCCTTGCAAATGCAATCTTCTGGTTGTTCAATCCCCACACAAGCTGAGGAACCGCCAAAAACTTATTGTGCCGAATTCCAAAGTGAAAATTCATCATAGGAGGATGGCTTCGGATATATACAAGGTTGCTCCATTCAATCTCATCAAAGCCAGGAAAAGAAGGAACCAACAATGCTCTTAGGATCAAAACAGTAGCAAGCAAAACCATACATTTGGTGGTTATTGAACTAAGTGTGCCACCCAACAACTTTGACAACACTTCCATGTATGATTCACCCTTCCATGCAAAGCATCAATTTTCTTTTTTCGCTTTAAATTAAGAACTCACATTACAGCATCGCTAACCATGCCAACAAATTTGAAGTTCAAGATCCAATTTTGAAGGTCCCCACAATCCCACTGAGTGCTGCAGAAAGAATAATAAGAAAAGAAACAATTTTCCAACAATGGGTTCCCCACCAACGATGAATATCTACAAAAAAGTAAGAAAAAAAATCATAAGAATCAGCATGCCCCGGATTACTTATGAAAATATAATGATAAAAAAATTGAATTTTTAATTTAATTTATGGCGATACTTTCAATGTTTCTTAACTTTATGTCATTGCAATTGCATTAAAAGAAATAAAAAAATATTAAGAAAAAGAAGAATAGAGAAAGATAAATGCTATCTTCAACTCCAAGATACAGAGCAATTCATAACACGCCAAAACAAATGACATGCATGTGAATACCGGTAACAGACACCATCATAGCCTATCTCCATCACAACCCAGAAATCTGAAAAGCAAAAGAAAGACGATATACCCCAATAAAAACGTTCCTCTGAAACCGACGATAGAAACAACAAGGAACGTTTAATGAGGACTCTGAAGCCAGAGCCATAACAGGTTTTGCATGTTGATTTTATCTTTTTTCCTTTGGAAAAACTTGAATGAGTGATGGATCAAGCGTGTGTGGAATGAAGAAAATGGGGGGTGATGATGAGTGAAAAAGGAAGAAGCTTGAACCAAAGAAGATGAAAAAACAGAGAGAGAAGAAAGTGGAAGGACAGGGAAGATGGACCAAAAAAGGGTAGTACAAAGGTGGATTGAGAAAGGATCGAAGATTCAAAAGAGAGAAAACAAGCTTAATAATAATTTTTTAAAATATATATTTAAAAATAATATAACTAAAATATAAAATTTCGAAAGTTAAAATTTAAAAATAGTCAATAATAATTTTAAAGAAATTCAAAAGTTATTAATAGTAATTTTTTAATAAAATTATTTATTTTGTTGGAATTAATAATTTTTATAATTAATTTATTTAATTTAAAATTATTATTTTTAGTTTAATATTTTTATATATTTTTTAAAATTTTATATTTTAATATATAATATTTTAAATTTCATATATTTAAATTAAATTTTTGATAAAGTTATTTTATATGGTATTTAAAAATATATATATTAATAGTGAGATTTTAGAAAAAATTATGAAAATATAATTTAAAAATCATCCATTGCTAATAACGGTTTCTAATAAAATTAGTTATTTTTATAAAATTTAATAAATATTTTTGAGTTTCTTATTTAATTATTTTCTTTAAAATTTAATATTTTAATATACAGTATTTTTAAATTAATTTTTAAATAAACTTATTTTTATATAATATTTAAAAAGAACATGTACTGATATATAAAATTTAGAGAAATTACATAAATATAAATTGTCAATCGTGATTAACAAATTTTTAATAAAGTTTTTGCTTAAAGAATAAAAAAAGGAATAAAAAGAAGTTTATGTGAAATATAAAGTTGAATAGAATTAATTTTAATAAAATTAATTTATTTTTTAAATATAATTAATATATAACTTTAATTTACAATTTTATTTTAAATAATATATTCTTATTTTAAAAACATAAAACATGTTTCTTGTTTTTTTAATTATTTTGAAACAAACAAACTCGAAATGAGTGTTGAGAAGCAAGAGGACAAAGTGAGAATTGATGTTTGAGGGAGAACGCTTGCCGTGTAAACAGAGCCAAAAGCCAAGAAATTTTGGCATATTCGGGAAAGGCTGCCACCTTTTACTTTTCCCTGTTCCCCATACCAATAAAAAATAATAATATTTTTTATATAATAAAGTAATTATTTATTTCATGTAACAAAAGACCTTTAAAATAATATATAAAGTGACATGTCTAAAATTATATAAAACATTACCAATAAACTATTTTAAAATTTGTAAAATTAAAATCAATAAAAAATAAAATAAAATTTAGCAATATTTACATGCATTAAAATATATTTTATCTAAAAATTAAGAATTAGTCTTTTCCAGTAATCTTATTGAAATTAAGTTATTTGGATTGCTGACACTTTATATCTGCTGTGAGTATTGTTGTGTATAAATTGCAAAAATATGAATACTATTTTTATGATGGGTCAAAATGAAAATAAAAAATTAAAAAGTTTACTTCATGAAAATATATACTTCTCTAAAAGGTTGTATGATCCTTACATTATCAGATTGTTCGGAAGAGAAGTGATTGTCTTTTAACAGGAATTGTGATGCAAGCTCCTCCACTGTTATTTTTATCAGATTTTAAAGAATAAAAAAATAACAATAATTTTTTAACAAAATTAACACTTTTTGATGAAAAAACTTATTTAAAATACTTTTTAAAGTTAAAGAATTAAAATAAAAAATTTATAAAACTAAAATAAAATAACTAAGAATTAAATAATTAATTTACGTATTTTGCATTTTAATTTTTATAGTTTTATTTTGATTTTTGTATTTTTAAATTTAATATTAATATTAAAATTTAATTATTAAATGATGACATGATTAATGTAAATATTGTATAAATTTTATATCGAATATTACTTTTTTGTGAAATTACATTAATAAAAATAACAAATTAAAAAATGTAGAAAATAAAATAATTTTTTAAAATAAAATAAAATAAAAATACATTTTAAAGGACTGAAAAAATATAAATATTTTACTATAAAAATAATACAAGTAAGGTTAGAAATAAGATAAGATACTTACCTAAGGCGTTCAGTGGAATCAATTCTCCTTTATATACAGTGTGCAATATAATTTGACAGCTGGCTGACGAGACACTTGAATAGCTATGGGTAGATACAGCTACGAAAATAAGAATGAGAATATTGAAAATATGGAGGCACCACTAATCTTAATTAAATTGAATAAATTCATTTAAATTTTAAGGGATTAAACCCTTCTAATACTTTTATAATGAAACTTAAACCTGATACTTATTCACGTATTGGCTTATAGGTTGTAATTCACACGGTGCACAGCAAGGAAAAAGGGCTGGTTCACCTCCAGGTGGGTCTGTCCTCCATTGGTCGTTGCCATTCAAAGACTCTACCGTTGTGATGGTTATTACACACACGAGCCTCAAACCAAACCTATACAAACTTTAGTGCTTAAAGTCACTCCTCCTCTCTCCAGTCACACCCATCGACGAGCATGATTAATTTCTCTATACTTATCTTTTCTCTAGTGCTTAAAGTGCATGCATACTTATTTCTCAAACTCTCTGTAGACAATGAGGGAGAGGAGGTAGAGTTCTGCATTTGGGGAGAAGATGTGAGTTTTACCGACGTCACTCACATCTACGTTGCTACTACCATGTTGAATTTCCACCTCTCTCTGCCGGCATTACCTCTTATCCAGTAGCGTTCTGTCTTCCCCTATGATGTTCCACCGTCCCACTTGTTTATTTGCTTATCTGATAACAAGTTTATAATCTTAATCATCTAATTAGATATCATTAAATCTAACGGTTAAGCAACTTGGTACACCTATCCTCCATCATATATTAGAAAAAGAAATGAAAGGATGCTAAAAAAAAAATCTGTTTTTGAGCCTTTGTTCCTTGTGGGGTGTTTTCATTAGAACATGGTTTTTCAAAAAATGGACAGGGTGTGTAATGCCACTAATGGACAACTTTGTGAGTGGTGAATTGATACATAATATGTAGATGCGAGATGAGGTAGGGTGTGGTACTGAGTTATTGTAACCTATATGTTAGGCAAATTTGACCGAAATTAGTCTAAAGAACTAGGATTTTTTAAAGATATAGAATTATAGAAACTAAAACTTTTTGTTATGATTTTAAGGTCAAATAATTTCAGGGATTAAAATATTTAATTTTTTAAGGGATTTCAAATTCTTTTATAATTTTAAGGATTAAATTAAATAGTACTTATAATTTTAAGAATTAAATTAAGTAATATTTATAGTTTTAGAACTAAAATGATCAATTTCTTATAATTTTATAGGCCTTTCAAATTTAATTTTAGAGACTAAATTAACAAATATCTATAATTTTAAAGACTAAAATGACAAATTTCATAAATTTATGAACTAAAATAATTTAATTATGATAATTTCAAGAATTATTTTTTTTTTATAATTTCAAACACTAAATTGCAAAATACTTACAATTTTAAAGACTAAAATAATATATTACTCTATAAAAGTTAGTCATGAATAAAAAGTATTAATTTTCACTACAACAAACTTAAAAGAAAAATTAAGTTTTAATTCCACTCTTTGTAATATTGTAATTCTAGTCTCTTTAATTTTCTTTTTTTAAAATTCTATATTCATCACTGTTGATATCAAATAATAAAGTAATTAATCAAGATGTTACCTTGAATCAAATTTTAATAACCCATCAGTGGCACGTTCATCTGACTAATGAGGATTTGTACTTTTTTTCAAAAATACTTATTACCCCCACCCGAACCCGGTTACTGAATTTATTTCTATCTCTAAGCTGAAAAACTTGTAAAATAATGTCATCATGCTCTCTCACTGTACGAAGGTCATACATATAATAGGTATGCTAGACTACTTGCCAAAACAGCCTCCTAATTAGCGCGACTTGGCTATCCTATTTACAACTGTACAATTATTCTGTTATCAAAGCATATATGCAATTTTTCTATATTACAACTGATTCCAAGCTAATCTATCAAAGTTAGAGCTATTGTAGGCTTAAAAAGCTGCTGATTCTAGACCATTTATATGCTACCCAAGGGCTTCAATGAAAGATTGAAGATTCACAGGTAGATGTCAGCAACTGAGATTGATATCAGTCCTGTGCAGGTAATTCATGCATAGGATCAGAAACTGAGTGCATAATAAAGATTTCTCAGGCTCTTATGCCATAATTTTCAAGCCAACTACAACATTTGAAGCAGTCTGTACCTATTTCTGAGATTCCAGATAACCTGAAATATGCTGAAGATGTGTAGGGATCAAGCAAATCCTTTTGAAGCATGGATACATGCTACAACCGTTGCAAACAAGTCAAGCCAAGCTGTTCACACGAAGAAAAGAAAAGAAATATAAAAGAATAGTACCAATTACCAAATCAGAATCAGAGAGACCAACAATATAAGTCAATAGGTATGCACAAAAAAGAATAAATAAACTGAATAAAGAAGAAAGCATGGCAAATTGTGTTCCACCAAGCACAAGGGTATCAACTCTAGAAAGTTCAAAAAGATTGCCAATTTCCAGTAGCAAATAATGCTCGATACCAGACATTAGTTTAATTCACACTCGTTGGCGCAGTGAGACAAGCTATACAGTATAACTCAAGGAGCAGGAAAAGAAAAGGGGCACCTAAACAGAAGCTCATTAAAAAATAAAAAAATATGTACTTAAAGACCTAGATTAGAGCTCCACTGCGGTGAGTTGATTAGAGCCTACCAATATTGCCTGGCAAGACAAAACAGAAGATGGTTTCAAGACTCACGAGCCATTAGATTCGCACACAAACTTTTCACTATTTGAGCAGAAAAGGCAGTATATGCAATACATGAGTATACAGGAAAGAAAGCTGTCCCCAGCTTCTGGAAGAGGGAACAATAGGTCCTTTAGATGAAGAACATTATGTTTTCCAGGTCAGCATGCAACCTGTAAAATCCCTGTTCAAATGAAGCTGTTTGTGAAACTGATGAAGCATCCGTAGAAGATGCAGATGCTGCTGACTTCAGAGATTGCATCCCAATCCTTGCTTCATGGTATAATCGTCCTCTATAAGCAGCAAGGTCAGCATAGTACACTGGAGGAACTAAAGATACAGGTTTAGTGCACCTGGCAAAGGTGAAGCACATATCATATATGAGCTTCTGCAATTCATCAGATGTAAACTTGTGCTCATCCCATAAGACATGGTAATGAGTGGGCTTGCTTGTACCTAGACTTCCATAGTAACTACAAAGGTAAAAATCAAACTCAAACGGGTGTGTAACTTTTGTGTCCACAACTGTTCCTGGCAAAATATTGCCACTGGAAGATCCATCCCTCCAACCCTCTGGAAACAAACGAGTTTGATGTCGTTTTTGTGCTACAATAAGAGTGACTGTTGGAAAGTAATTCAATCTTTGGAATGCTCTCTTCAAATCTAGAAGCTCTTCATTAAGAACCATGTCAAACTGGTACTCACTCACCCCATCACGAAAAACAACAATTTTTTCTGGCCTGACTCCATTCATCCTCTTGTAACATGCAACAAGCTCAAGACAAACCTCCCCAAAGTTCAATATTTTCTCACTTCGATTATATTGTGGGGAAACACGTGCTGCATAACGATTTGCAGCAGGCCAATTAACAGTTGCAACCACAGCAGCAATTGATGGACTCCTGGTGTCCCGAGAACCAGGATGATTGACGTCAGCCCCTACAAACATAACATGCCCTTCACTCTCAAAGTAAGGGAGCCTATTACTGAGCTCCACATTACTGCCTCCAAGTTTGGCATTAATCTTGAGAGCCAGATTAGAATAAAATTTGTCCTCCCCTTCATTAGCACTATTAGACAAGCAACATTGAGTCACTATACCAACTTTGGTCTCAGAAATCCACTTGAGGTACTTGTACCCAGTACTTTTTTTAGCCATTACACAGAGAAGAAATTGCAGGTGACCTTGGTTATATTTACAAATGTTGTTAATTTTTACAAGTAATTCAAATAGTAAATCATAATTTGCAAGTATCTTCATTGAAGATTCTTCATACCAAATGGGCTCCTGCATGTATATACCCAATTTCTTGTATTTACCAATAAACTTTTGAATGAATTCCTTGGCTCTTAATTTGTACTTGAACGGACCAAAACTAGTGAAATCAAGAATGGCCCAATTCTCAATTGGTTTTCCTTCCACCATTGATCTTCCAGCAAGGTTCCAGTGACATTTCTCCATATCCACTGTTGTTTTGATAATCTTTCCATTTGGATCACCTAACTTCAATTCTGGAGGGCCAATTACACGTCCTATAATGGTTGTCATGTTTGTGTTGACAATCATTCCAAAATTTTGAATAAGATCACCACTGCCGAATAAGTTAAGTGAGACATGTCTCCAACAAATCAGAAAATCAACATAATTGATCAATTATATAATCACACATATATCCACAGACACTAAATGAATAAACCAATTCTTATGTTTAAACATGTATTTTAACTAATCACTTCCAGTATTCACCTAGCCAGGATAGAAGGATGGTTCAGTTGAAAATCCTCCCATCATGTTTGGTAATTTCATGATCTGAAAATTATTCATTCTTACCATAAATAGAAATTCCAGTGTATATGTCATATTTCATTGAGTCCAATAGTATATTTTTCCTCATTTCTATAGGAGTCTTGCATTGTGATTCATGGTATTTAGCTACATGTTTACTTGTCAATTTTATTAATCTGTTAGGAACACTGTCAAATATAATATTTTCTGCTGTCTTCCAAAGAAAGCTGAGTCTCTTTGTTGTCCCAGTCTTAATAAGTTCAAAGATTGCTGTTGTAAAGAGTAAATTGTAGGTTTTTCTTATTGACAACTAAGTTTTTCTGTCCTACTACTAAGTTTCTTCTGATTAATCTCCTGTTTAGATGATCCAAAGAATTTTCCAACTTCCAATTCGGCAGTCAGTACCAGAGCATATGAATCAAACTTGTTCAGTTATCTGCACAAGACACCAGGTAGATATTTCATGGTTGTTTGACAGGTGTTTTCACACAAACCATGAAGTTTAGGTTTACGGGGGTCATTTTTTCCTCTTAATACCCTATCCCTAATATGCATGTGGGCCAAAATTGAAGAGGGTGTGTAACCTGCAATTCACTCTTTAAATAAGCACCTAATGAACTAAATCCATCATTGACATTTCATGCAACTATAACTGAGTATGAACTGAGAAAAGTAATAACAAAGGTTCCAAAAGGACACATAAAGAAATAATGCAATAGAAATAATGTTCCCCTTACCCACAAGGTCCATCACTAGACTGCACCATCTTCTGTATCACACATTCCCTCTCATTTGGGTGAGCTAGTGACATTGCTTTCAATGTCTTTGCAGCCACACCATCTAGACGTTCTTTGGGATATCTTTGGCCCTCAACCAAAACACAGAATTCCATGGGTACATAGTTCTTCTTGTTGTCCTTCCCTAAATCTAGACAAGGAATATCTTTGTACATGATGTCCTTTCCATATTTATCTTTAAAAAAACTAAGAAGACTAACATCCTTAGAGGGTCTCCAGCCATCGGTATTGTCAATAGGAAAAGTGACATACCTTGTGATCATAGGTGTTAATCTTGAAATAATGTATTTATTTTTGGATTTACGATGAGTCACATTAACTTTCAATCCAATAAGTGCCTCTTCAACATATTTCCTGAAGTTTTCAAATTCATCCAATTTAAAGTTATCAATACGGTCATGCAAAAAATCCAAGACTGACATTCGTTTTCGGAAAGCCAACACTGAGTAGTCTACACACAAGGACAGACCCTGAGACGTAGGTTTTAAACTATGCTGAAACCCCCCAACGGCAATTATCCCGTGGTGAAGATCTTTTGCCACCAAAGGAGGATTTGTGGGATAGAAGTGCCGTCCCACAGAAACAGTGCGTCTAGCTGGATTCTCTTTCACCATCACATCCATCCCTTGTAAAATATCCCTAGGAATGGAGAAAGTATGCCCATTTAGATAGTCCATTAACTTGCGAAGCCTGAGTTTATTAACAAGTGTTAAGCTAACACTATATGAAAGGGTCTTTTCATCCTCTCCATCCGAGATATCCACAGTAAAGGTCTCTTCTGGTAATTGTACTGCACTAAAAATATTTTTTGCACCATCATGTGCGGTCATTTCCAAGGGCAACCTTTCCGGATCATCAGAAAACAGTTTCTCTCTGATCATGGACAGATCAGACTTCGATAATTTCTGAGGCTGGCCAAATTTTGATATAAACTTTGGTTTGACATCAACATTATAATGCATTATTATACTCTCTGGATTGAAGTTAACAGGAAAATGATTGACACGAAGTCTGCTCATCAGAATGGCTAACGTGCCACCATTATCAGGTCTCCGAATAGGTGAAATTCTATCCTTTTTTTCAAGGGCACAAGAAGATACAACTAACTGTTTTGATATTTGTAGTCCTTCCAGTTTGGAAACTACAGAATCTGCAAGGAAAATTGATAGCTAAAACAAGTGACAAAATAATTAAGCACAACTTTTAATAATTCATTCACATCCACTGATGAACATATGCATACCACAGATGTCAATATAGGATAAAACTTTAATGAAGAGAATGAGATGTAATCATGTAACCCAGGAAATCCTAGTTTGTTATCCACCACGTGCCTGTTATTTATGATTAATAAAATTAAGATCGCGTTTCGTTCTTTTTGTTTATATATATAATTACAATAAAACTGGCAACAAGCAAACAAAACACTCCATGATTATAGTAATGAATGATTCACAATCAACATTGCACGTTAGCACATCATTATCTGTATTCCTTGACTTAAAAACGAACAGCAAGCAACTTATACAGCAAGTACCAAGCAGAAAATCTACTTGAACAGTGAATATACCTGAAGCTGGTCGCCAAGAGTCATTAGCATCTCTACCTTTTTCAACACCACCGGAACTCGTTCCTCCTTGTTTTTGAACGCCATAGTTTTGGTTCCACGGAAATGCAGTTGCAGTTGGCCTCGATCGCCTCCATTCTGGTTCCCAGACGCTACCACTCGCAGTCGCATTTGGCTTGGAGCGCCTCCATTCTGGTTGGAGAAGAATCTCTTCCTCACTTCCGCGATTAGAAGACTCGGAGGGAGAACCGCTCGGCCTCCGTCGTCGCCATTCCGGTTGCAGAATCAGCTCCTGCTGTCTTTCTCCAGCACGACGCCATTCTGGTTGCAGAGTCGGCTCCTCCGGTGGTTGCCGAGTTCCTCTTCCGCCGTAACCGCCTGGTTGCTCTCGGCCACGGTCTCTGGTTTCCATTAGTGGAATCACTAATTGATGTGATCAGGGTTTAGTGAAGAAAACGAAAGAAATGGAGGGAGAGAGCTTATATAGGAATTGACTCCAATGACCAAAATGCCCTGACATTTTTTTATTTTTGAAAAGTGACACCGACCGACATTCCCGGTTTTCTTTTTCGAAATCATTACTATTATTACTTTTTCTTTTCTTACTTTTGTTAGTTATTTTGTTAAAATGGGCCACTCAATTGGGCTCGTGTATCTGTCGATTTGGTAAGTGGGTTAGGGCTTTTGTAGATTAGGCTTGGGCCGGCAATGTCAAATCCATCAGTTTGAAAAGTTAAGAGTGCAAAAAGTTTTATCCGTTTAAGTATTCATAAAAAAAAATAATGAAAAATGTGTGTTTATTTTATTAAAATTATAAAAGTATAATCGATATTTCTCTTTTCACTAAAATTTTATTATTATCATGGTTCATTCAGTCTTAAGGATTATTTTCTTTATATATGATATTTAGAAATTATATATATATATATATATATATATATATATATATCAAAATATAATATTTTTTTTAAAACAATTACAAAAATACGAAGTTTAAGTATAAAAGTTTAGAAATAAAACTTTAAAAAAGTAATGAAATTTAAAAAATTGTCAATGACAATTTCAAAAAAATATATTAAAATAATAAAAAATTAAGCAAATTTTCAAATAATAATATAATATTTAAAAAGTATAAAAAAAAGTCAAAATTTATTATTGAAGATTTTTGAAAAAAGTTTATATTTATGTAATTTTATAAAAAAATCATATAAAGAAAAAAAGAGCCCAATCCTAAAGGCTAAGGTTAAAATTTTCCATAGCAAAAAGAGCTTCTGAGGCTGAGTCTTTCCTTAAATTAAAAAACATGGTAAGGTTAAAAAATAGGATAAATTGCGGAGTATCTGCTTATTTGTTGTACATTAACTTCTAAAATTTTAGGTTTTTGCATTTACAATTGAATTTTTAATGCATATTTCTTCATTACCCAGCCACAACGAAGTTGAAAATATAAAAAGTTAAAAATCAATGGTTGAGGATAAACTTCAATGTGCGCTGGATGGCTATGGTTTTTTTGTTTTTTATTTTTTTTCAATTCTATAAGAATCGATCTTGTAAGCCACAAACAGGAAACCAATCAGAATTCAGAGCTTTAATATTTATATTTTTCATAAATTTCCCTAAAATTATGATGAAGTACCGTACAATTTATTAATGTTGGGAATATTTAGCTGGAAAAATAATAATCAACATAATGGTGTGATTAGAATTTGGCATTAACAATGTAAAAAAGGATTAATCAAAACAATGAATTGCTAAAAGTTTGAGAGAGAAAAAAAATAGTGCAAACAAGTTGGTTACGACACACTAAGAATCTTATGCAGAGGGATTTTATTATAAACAGATTTTTTAAAGCCCACTATGAATTGTTATGAATACCCATCTAAATAACTTAGAGTTTCCATACGAATATATTCGTACCAACTAGTTTTTCTCAAAGTTTAAATTTCAAGAAATAAAAAAAAGTTTAAATTTCAAGTGAATGATTTATAATTTGACCAAAATAAAAATTTAGTATTTTTTTTTAATTGATAAAGTTTATTGTACTTTTTGAGTAAGTTTGGTAACTTTTTTTACATCATCATTAATTTTATGTTAATAAATAGTGTAATTAGTGGTTTAGTTAAAAAATGTTAATACTTTCTAATTTTTAAAACATCAAATAAATTACAACTGTTGATTTACAAAGAGTGTAAATAACTTCTCAAATTTACAGGTGCTATAATAAACACCTTTTTAATTTTAAAATATTAGAAAATATCAGCCTATCCACTCTGGATTTCTCCTTTAAAGTGTTCCCTTCTCCTCACTCCAACCAGTATTGGGGCTCAGAAGCATGAAAACAAGTGAAATTGACAATTTTTCTAATGTAGTTGTTAATTAACATTCATTTTTTTTAATTGAATTCCTTAATCTTAATATTAGTTGCCTTTACTCATTAAAAAAAGTGTGCATGCACAAGAATTTTAAATGATTCAACAATTGTACTTCCTTTACACAAGCTTGTATCCAAACGTTGGATTATGCGATTTCAAAAGGAATCTTACACACGAGTCTAAATTTATACTTCATTTTTCACGAATGACTTTTGTCTTAACCATAGGTAATCCAATATAATCTTGTGGTCCCTCTTAGATGCCCATGCTATTGAACAGATAGAAAGTTTGAACTGTGGCTCATATGTATAGTAGGCTTCCACACAACATTATTCCAACATTGCATACAAAAAAAATGTAATAAAGAATGGCACGTGATGACGTGAACATTGCAAGGAGGAACGAAAGGGGGACCATAGAGATAGTTCATGTACTTCATATATATTTTGAGCTTATATTTTTACCTTAGGGGAGTTTCTCTATAATATGCATGAGAGGACAATGGAAGAAACATTGGTGGGGTGGCCATTATCATAATGGTTCCCAACTTTAACCAAAATAGACACAAGTCACAAATAACATTTGTTGATTGATTTCATGATTTTTGACACAAAACATTCGGCTTCAATTAAAAGACACTTTCATTGGGACCCCACAGTTGGATGAAGATTGAGGCATGAGGAGGAGGAGGAGGAATTATCATAATCAAAAAGAAATGTTAATGGACAATGAGAAGGATATATCAAGGATGACACTTTGTTGATTGTAAATCCTTGTAGTCAAGTGATATTTGTCCTCTTCATGAGGGTATCATAATTACAGAATGATTGATGACTGATATGTGTCTTTACCACAAGTACACGGTACCATGCTTCCGTTGAAAAAATCACACAAGTGAAGAATAGTTATTTGGTTTAGCTTTAGTTGAACAAACTAGTGTGTGAACATTTATATATTTAACAAATATTTTAATCCTTTAATCAAATAATTTTATTTATATAAAAATTATGTTGCAAACCTCCACTTGAATGGTCATGTCATGTTAGATTATTTGGTTTCTGAAAATTTTTTTATGTTTATTTTCTATTTTGACTTGTGATTATAAAATTGTCACACTGTTTTTATTTTATTTTCAGTTTTCAGAAATTTGTATAGAAAATAGAATCTAAAATAAAAATAATGTAACAGTTTTATGATTAAAAATAAAAACTGAAAATGTTTGATTTCATCAAACATCACCTTAAAGAACTGTTGTCAAACTGGTTTCTTACAATGAATGATCACATCATATTAACATAATCATCCAATTATGTCTCAAATTGTTCTGTACAGATTGTCTCCTATTCTTGACAAGAAATGAGGATTTTTTTAATCCAAGAGAGATGGATGCTCACCCTGTCGCAGTCTGGGCAAAACAGTAGCACATGAAGAACTACGTGAGAGATAAGTTGTTATCCATGTGTAAACAAATAAAATAAAAATTGAAGTTAACTCTTTTGTCTTGTATTTTGGTTTCTGTTACCCATGTGAGGGAGCGAAAACAAGACAGAATGGCATTAGCACAAACTACAAATTTGTAATCTTGGAATAAAGATAATACTGAGATCGAAACAGAAAATTTGAATATACTTTTAGACACCCCCCTCTACCCTCTTTTTGTGATTTCTTTCTTTGGCTAAGCAAGCATTTCAGAAAGTGAAATCATAAGCTGTCATGAATAAAACAAATATTACGTTTCTTTAGATAGAAATATTCCCTTTAAACTAATGAACTATACAAAACTCAAGGATGGTTACCATCTCACTTATATGAAAGAGAAAGAACATTGAATAATACAACAAATATGAAGCTTGCTAATCATTGTCTTAATTGTAAGCTACTCTTTGAGAAGATTGAGATGAGTTCATTGGCAGTCCACGTCACCAAGGAGAGATTTCTGAGATGTTTGAGCGAGTCTTTATCCAGTGATGGTAGGAAGGAGACACATCCTGCTAGCAATATGTCAAAAAGGATAGACAAATGAAAATGAAGAAAATTAAACAAGGGAAATAAAATTGCTATTAAATTTTATAATAAGAATCCTTTTGCAGCCAATAATTTTAGTGAGAGACTCTGTGATACCAAATCTAAAAAGTTTGAGAACAAATGGAAACAACTAATCCTTTCAGGACAAAAATTAAAGTTTGTCATGGCTTGGAAGAAGGCAAAAAAATTTTCATACCTGAATTTTTTTTAAGACTTAGTAATGCATATGAAGCTAGCACTCTTTCCTCAACATCTTTATCATAATTCAAGGACTGTTGCAATTGTGGCCTTAAGATTGAGAAAACCATTGGTGGTAAACTTCTATCTTCAACTAATTTGAGGTAGTTGCACATCCATGAAATAGTTACAAGGCTTGCTCGTACTAAACATGGGGTGCCATTGGCTATGGAACCTGCAAGTGCTGATAGCAAATTCTTATTTCCATTTTTGAACAAGACACAAGCTGCTCTTTTCTGCCAACTTTCAGCTTCTTCCTTCTCATTCTAATCAGTGGCATATAACCAATCAATAATGTTGAAATGCAAAAAATAGAAAACACGAGTACTAGAAACATGTTCTCATGTGTGAAGTAAAGACAAGCAATTTAAACATTACACATTACATAATTATAGTTTTTAACCAAAGTTTACCTTGTGAATAAAATCATAAACAACAATATCCTTGCAGGTAAATGAATCTTCTAAGCAAATTTCTTGGAAGCCTGCTTTTTGTAAAAGTGATTTTTCCATTAATGATTCTCCACTATAAGAAAAGTGGCCACCTAATAAGAGTAGAGCTCGGGCTGATTGCTTTTGAACTCTATCATTACATATTTGGCAATTTAAAGCTACCACAAGGGCCTCAATCGCTTCTGTTCTATATAAGCTGCCCTTGACAGGATCTTCCTGCAACACAACTGCTATTGCATTTGTGAAGTATTCAAAATATGTTAAGCAATTTGGTATAGAATAATAGAGGGTCCAAAAGTTATGATTTTAAAAGTAATGGAAGTCACATAACTTAGATCATTGTGCATAACCAATAATTCCATGTAAACACTACTAAGTTGAATGAAATAGAATTACCATAAGATCAAGAAGCAATAATATCACTGCAACTAAAGGGCGTTGTTCAGGTGGAGCCTTCTGAAGGTAAATGAAGAAAATGTGCATTATGTTTAAGCCACCCCATCCATCTTTAAGTCCTCTCAAGAAATTTAATATCTTGGTTCTTCTGGTATGATTCCAAAAGAATGTCAGCATTTTATGATAGAGAAAAAAAGGACCAAGAAAAAGAAAAGTATATTTGGAAAGGTAAGTAAGAAGTACATACCTATCAAGGTAGAGCAACTCAGCCAGTACAAACAAGGCAAATCCACTGGAATTTTGTTTACTCCCAAGAACAATGAGTTCAAGCAATGAAGTCTTGTTTATATTTTCAGCTATATAACTTCGACAGCCTCCTTCGGCTCGAATGCAACATGAAATTATCATAGCAGCATTATTTCTCTCATGGATCTCTCCTTCTTCAATTCTTTTCATTAGCAGGGTCAACCCCCCAAGTGAAAGAACCTGCCTGGCATTCTCCAAATTCTTGTCTTCATCAAAACCAGTAAGAAGTTGGTCCAAAACATAAAATGCTGCCACTTGAGGACTGCATTGTACTGTGAAGAGGGTCTGCAATTTGTCTCCAAATTCTAAGACTCGAAGTATTAGCGGCACCCATTCTGAAGATAGCATCTGTTTTGCCTGTGGCCTTGACAGATAAAGCAGAACTGCAGCTTTTAGAAACAGACTAGTGCTTCTTAGAAGCCTCACAAATATTTCTAGTTGAGGATCAGAGTTCAGAATAATTTGTCTAATTGCATCGTTCCTTCCTATTAATTCTGCTAAAATTGATATAATCAATTCCAGCATCTCATCCTCAGTTGAGGCAAATAACACCTCTAGGATAGCTTCAACTACACTAGGTTGTGTCAGTGCTTCTTCAATGAGAGGATCACCAGGAGAGTTCAACCAAGCTTGGGTGACCACGCGAATAGCAAATTCGCATTCACTTAGAACATCTGATGAACATATAGTCGTAATAGCTCCAACAAAGTCTCTTGAAAGAACAGTTGAAGCATTCTTGGATCTATAGCTGCTGTTATCCAAGCTTTCCCTTGGTATGAACCTGCAAGAAAAGCACTGAAAATAGTCCACTTTCTGCGATGCAGACCATAATTGAGCATGATTCTTGTCAATCTGGCTTGACGATCTTCCAACAGATATCCTATCTTCTATCTGTCAACAGTGACAAAGAAGACAAAGTTTGAGAAATGCAATTCTTCATTTTGAATCAGAAGATTTTCATCTATGAATTGAAGGCACAGAAACTAACCTGAGCTGAACTGTGTTTGTATTCATCTCCATACAACTTTTCATCAATCTCTAAGACCGTAGTAGTTGTCAACGCTCCATTTTGGTCAGCAATACTGGTAAGTTTCTGCTCTAGTTTGGTGCCAAACACTGTCTTGTATCTGTTATAGAGAACCAAAAACATAAAAGCACACGTTTCTTATAAAAAGATGGGAGTTGCGGTGATTTTAAGTCTAAGATGTTCATATCACTTACAAGTTTGGGTTGATTGAGGAATTTGAAACTGAGAAATCTGAAGACCTTCTTCTTGATGATCTATAACTTGACGTAGATGGCAAAGAGACATTAGGAAGCGGAGGCTCACTAGCCCCGACTTTAAGCCATTGCTTGTAGTACATAGCAAAGAGAGTAGTCCCAGTATCCATTTTTTCATTGTAAACTTTACTCAACACCTTCATTTTCTTTTCCTTCTCACCATGATCTTCATTTGAAAGCAACTCAAGCTCTGTGCTGTACCAAATTTTAAGATGGAGAAGATGGGGAAGAAACAAATGTTCCCAAAGGTCAGGAAGCAAGTATGTTCGAGCTAAAGTTGGAGAATCACAAAACACTTGAAGTAAATGCTTAGAGGAAACCCTGTCATTTTTCTGAAGTTTGTAAGCTATTGCCAAATATAGTTGAGCACAAGCTGAGAGATGTGAATTTGGTACACCACAAGTTGAAACATCCCTGGATGTTTTAGAATTCAAAGAAGCAACTAAGGTTAAAAGCTCAATGGAATTCCTTAAGCTTTTGATCATTGTCACATGCTCCTTTTTTCCTTGATTCTGTACCAATCTATCAACTTTCTTCATACCCAATTCCATGTTCAAAAAAACCTCATCACCTGAATCCTTTATTCTCCTTCTTTCCAAGAAAGAATCACACTTCTCTTTGATTGTTTTCCTGAAATCATCATCTTTCACATATCTTCCTATGTAGCCACTGAGGATAGTAATCACTGCTCCAATGGCAACTTCATCCATCAAGGGTCCTACCATTCTTGAATCAGCTGACACAAGTGACTTAGACTTTGATCTTTCTGAAGCTGAACCTACCCTTTTGAATTCAGATGAAGAAGAAACACTCCTTGTTGTGGCATTCTCTGCCTTGTGTTTTGAGGAAGCAAGGCTTTTTGCATCATGACAGATGTATGCAGCAAGTGGCTTTTTCTCATGTTGTGAAAGTTTGTGTTTTGGCCTCTCATATTGGAAAGGGAGTGTATGGTGGAAGAGTCCTTCTTGTGAGGGAAGTTCTCCAAAGGAAGCCATATGTTGGTGAATGTGATTTGTGTTGAAAGAGAAGTTTGAAGCAAGAAAAGCTTCAATGACATTCTTGGAACTCAAAACAAATATAAGATAACACAGCGACAGCTAGCTTAGCTATAGGAAAATAGAGGCACAGCAATGAAGACAAAGAAGGGTTGGATTTGGTGGACAGTGGATGGTGAATCTTTTAAGCTAAAATTTTAAATTACAAGGTTCTGTTCTGTAAAGGGTCAAGAACCTTTTTGGACCAACCTACTCACTTCAGTCAAATTGCCGCCACATTTCTAAACAGTCACTTGCTAATTGCATAATTTAGTTGGAGCAAACAGAAAAGTACTTTTTGTGTCAATTAACAATTGCATTAAAAAAAATTATGCACTTTATTACTACCAAAAATAAAATATTTTGTAGTTTTAAATATATTTTTTTTCATGGACAACACAGTATCTTTTATTAAACTTTTCTTGCGCTGTTCTGCTGGTTTGTCCGGCCATATAGTGGCTTTGTTTGGTTCTGAATTCTGATATCTGATACTGTGATGTTTGGCTTCTTTTTTGTTTGAATTTGCATTTTGTATTATCATATAAGTAACGTTTAACAAGCATTACGCTTCACTCACTCTATTTACTTTTTTGTTTTTAGTTAAGAAAAGTAATAACCAAAAATGGGTTTCTCTAAATTATTTCATAAAACAAATAATTATATTTTAAGTGAATTAATGAAATTATAATTTTTATGTAATTGCAGTATATGACAAGATATGGGATTTGAAAGTATTTATAATTACAAATAATTTTTTATAACTTTATTTTAAATATTTATATATTTAATTAAATAATAGTGGTATTGTGAGAGAAATATAATTATTTCCGAATGAGAGATTCCCTTTATAATTGTAATATATTAATTCTTATTCAAGAAATCTTTCTCCATGTCTAAGAATACAATATGACCCTTTTAGTTAATTTGGTATGAAGGTAAAAGTGAAGAAAAATTCATTAGTAAGTTTTATTTATGTCTAAGAATTATTTTAGTTTTCGGTAATGAAAGGGAGCATGGGCCAAAATAAAAAATGATAATATAATCAATCAACAGGGGGAGGGTCATAAAACACTAGTTTAGGTGGCTGTTCCCAAGCCAAATTTGGCATCATATCTGCAACTGTATTGGCCTTCTTATATAGTTGTTTAATACACATCTCTTAATCTTGTTTCATTTATATTTTTCTATTATAACGACACATGACATTTTTTATATTTTTATGTTAAAATTTTATTATTTTATTTATCCATTTCATTTTTATATTTTTTATATTTTTATTTTATTATATTTTTATCATTATTTTAAAAATTTTCAAAAAAATGATGAAAAATATAATATGCACAAATAAATTTACAAAATAAATAATTTAACATTTTATAGTCATTCAAATAATTATTCTTGACACTATTTGGTCTTTAACATATTATAATATTAAGTATTTCGAAAATTAAAAGCTATGCAAATAATTTTTTAAAATTTATAATTTAATAAAATGAGTTATTTAGTAACATTTGAAGGATATCATGTAATTTTAACATCCAAATTAGTATCAAATAATTTTTTTTCAAAACACTGAATCAATACCTTTGTATTTTTAAAGTAATTTATAATAATTTATTTATTAAAATATAGTTTAAGATAAATAAAATATATTTAATAAGAATGCACTAACAGTGTAAAAAATTAGACAATAATATAATCATAAATTGTTATATTAAAAAAATTTATTAATTTTAAAATTATATTAATAATATATTTTAATCAATTGACATTATAAAAAACTTTACATTAAAATATGTCAATTTTTAATATTATTATTAATATATTAAAATAATTAATAATATAACATATTGCTTACTTTATAAACACCTACATCGTAACCTTACAGAAACTAGTTAAATCTAAATTTGTTAATTTCAAAGCGTTGTTAGGAGGACTTGGAAAAAGGCAAGTCCTAAGATAATGATGAATGAATTGCTTCACTTAAGACAGTTTTGAACACTAAGTATCAACAGTAAGTTAAAAAGACAAAATTTGGATACAATTTATGTATATTGATTAAAATTAAAATATTATTTTAATAATACATAATAATATTAAACACAAACATTTTATTAAAATAAAATTCTAAATTTAATTGATAAATAACACTGACAGCGCATGCACATATATTTTGTCATACGTGAAAAACACACAATTTGGATTCCAAAGTTCCAAGAATACACACTTGACCCATTCTTATACAACATATCGATAGGTAACATATCTGCCCGCAGTCTCACTTGGCCTAATAATTTTGACAACCCGTCCACGTTCAAGTCCATAGGATCTTGCAACAGGATCACTAATCTGTATTCTAGGTAGCTGAGAACCACCCCATAAAACCATCTGTCAGTGTCTACACAAATTTTTGTGGTACAATCCAAAATTTGCACTGTTTGAAAATATGTTGAAAAATCTTTAAATGTGAATCAAAATTTGAATACAAAATTTTTCAAGATCAAACATACTGACCTGAATTTCTTTTACGGTATATCTCTCAAGCAAAGTTTTCTTTTCTTGGTCAGTCAAAACTTGATGTTCAGGAACAAGAACATGCTCTTTTATGTTGACCAGCAGCTCTGCTTCCTGTGTCAATAATAAACAACACTAATCTCTGAGTTTACGAAAGATCTCACGCTGCAATAGTTTCACTCAGTGTTGTATCATGCGTTTCATTAATTGTTGTTATGTGCGTAGTTCAAAAATCCCATAAAATACATGCTCTATATGTAGCAAGATGCATCAAACTATTAAGATACTTTTTGATCACTTAATGCGATTGAAGGACCAACGACAAAAGGGAAATAATTGTTTGTTTTTCCCTCTCTAGATAATGATAAATGAAGCACCACCTCACCTGAAAAACCTCCAAATGAAATCTTGAAGAAATTGCACTAACACAGGTCTTGGCAAAGGGTGTCAAATTCTGTTGAGCAACTAAGATAGCATTGAAAACGTTTTCTGAATTCATGCGGTTGGTGTAAGTCTTCATGGTCTTGACGCCGATCTTAGCTTCGTCAGGGAAGAAAACATAAATCTGGTCAGCGGAATTATGTTTCTTAGATTTGTTGATAACAAGGTCTTCCCTCTTCATGTTTTCACCGTACTTATTCTTGAAATCGTGTCTCGACATGTTTATCTCAAAGTCTCCGACGAGGTAACCTCTGTCCCTCAGCATCTGCATCACCGTCTTTCTGATTCTGTGAAGCCTTCCTATTTCCTCCTCCGAAAGCGCCATTTTCTCTCTACTCTCTATTCACCGTAGCACTACAGAGTTGCAGGCAAATAAACAGTGGGATTATATGCTTGTAACAGAAAATGTTACAAAATAATAGAAGATAACAGAACACTTGATAACAGGAAAAGTGATAACAGAAATGATAACAGAAAAAAGTGACAACAGAATGTGCTTCTACTTGTGTGGCATAGCAACAACTAAACTACCTAGTATCTTATTAGCATTTGATGAGACAAAAAAGAGAATAAAGCATTAGCTAAGTGCCAAATGACCACTATCACTTGCAAATGCTGCTGGGTTTCATTGCCAGGTTGTGCATATGCATCTTTGGCCAAGATAAAAATATTGCTTTTATAGTTTTCTTTTATTATTTTATCATATTTAGCGTACTTTTTAAAATAATAATTAGTTAGCACTTTGTAATAAATAATAATTATTGTGAATATAATATATCTAATAAATTTAAATAAATAAATAAAAATTTTAATTATTTATTTCAAAAGATGTGGTAGATAAATTTATTATTGAATATTTTTTACCTACATAAAAACTTGAACATAAGACTTTGTTGATAAACTTTCGATAATAATTTTTTAGTTTCAGTTTATTAAATAATATTATATTCAATAGTGATTTTTATATTTTAAAAATTAATTTTTATTCAAATTTATTATCAATATATTTGTTACATAATTAGTTTATATTTTTTTAAATTATTATAAATATATTATTATCATTCAATAAAATTGAATTTTTCTCATTCAATGAATTCAACAATCGTAGCCGCAGCAAGTGACTACTAAAATTAGAAACTAAACAAATTTCGTAACAAATAGCAACTAAGTTTGCTACTTAATATAATCCTAGCAATTAGCTACTAAATTAGCCACCAGATCAATTGCTAAATTATGATATGTATTATTTAACTACTGAATTAGCTTGCAAATATGAAAAATGATATAAAATTTATATTTTTTTTAAACAAAAAATTATTAATTAAATGATGACTGGATCACATTTTTATAAAATTATGATTATTTTCATAACGTACTAACCTATAAATAAAATTTTAGAGATTTAAATAAAAATAAATTATATAATTAATTTTATATTTAATAAATTTGAAAAAAATTAATCTTATAAGTATTTATTTTTATAATATCAAATTAAGCATTTTCATAAATACAACACAAGTTCTTAGTAATAAGATAGAGCTCTCCTTACTTAAGAAAATTAGTTTTAGTGATGAGAAAGCGAGAAAAGATTGGTGACCAAAGTAGTTCTACACCTTAAAGAAAAGAGATTATTTGAGAAAGGAGGAAATAGAGAAGATAGAAGTAAAAATGAGAGACTCAAGCTCTAAGATATTCATCGACGATTCTGTAGAGTTGAAGGACCAAAATAGTTCTACACCTTAAAGAAAAGAGATTTTTTGAGAAAGGAGGAAATAGAGAAGATAGAAGTAAAAATGAGAGGTTCGAGCTCTAAGATATTCATCGACGATTCTGTAGAGTTGAAGTCTGAGCTCGAATTCGATGAAGTTTTGGAGTTTCTAAGGTTTTTATCTGTGATATGGGAAGAGAGAGTTCAGAAAAAACGAGAGAGGGACGTGAGTTGTAGAAATAAAATGAATTTTCATGCTTGAGCGACGGATCTCTCGTCTGAGCGAGATATGCAGATAATGATTTTTTAATGTTTTTCTGATATGCGAGTTCCATCTTGTCTGAGCGAGCTGGCGACCAAAGAGAGCAATATTTCTCCTGTGAGTTCTTGCCTGAACGACACAGCTCGCTGGACGAGATTTTCATCTTGACTGAGCAAAATCACTCTCGCTTAGTCAAAGTGACGGTTGAGATAATTTTATTCTATCTCGCTTGAGCGAGAATCATCTAGCTTGAGCAAGATTGCTCTGAAACAGGATATTTTTGGGCGCTTGAGCAAGCATCAACCTCTTCTAAAACTCTTCTCAATTTATTCCTAACACATCCTAATGCTATTTAATATCAAACAAAACATAATTCTTTAAATAATAAAAAACAAGTGTGTTACACCACTCAACTCGTCAACGACAACAGTAATTTCAATGTTACTGGCCTCAATAACTTTATCAAAACCGTTAATCTAGCTTCTTATGGCCTTTGTATGCAGTTGTTAATTCAAATCTTGGTGAAGAATAGCTATAGAAGTAAAGCAAACTCTAAGCTTTGACCTTTACTAATTCATAGGAATTTTTTTGTTCATTTTTTTTCATTTAAAAAAATGGAGCTATATGCACATAATTGTATAATAATTTTACTTTTTTAATGTATTTCTAACCATGTATGTGATTTTGGAGTAGTAACATGTTTGTTAAATGTGCATTTTTATACCCATAATTTGTTAAATAAGCAGATTTTGTTTAAAAAATAATCAAATTATTTATAATAATTAACCATTGAATTTAGCCCATCGAAAGAATTAACGATCGAATTTGCTGCCAAATGATTGTTGCAGTTTAGTCGCTAAAAGTTACAACCGAATAAAATAGTTACTAATTTTGCAACCAAATTATTTGCCAATGAAATAGTAGTTACAATTAAATATCCAATTAAAGAAATAGAGAAATAGTGTTCTAATTAGCTACTAAAATAGCAACTGAATAACTAATTTTCAATGGCTATTTTAGCACTCTTTATCCTTCTAAGATGAAAATTTGTGAAAAAATTAGCCACCAAAATATTTTAGCAACTAATATTTATGTGACGAATTTTATGTTTGGTTGCTAAATTTATGTGATGGAATGTTTGGTTACTAATAATTTCAAATTTATGTGACGAATTTTATATTTCGTTGCTAAATTTGGTTGCAACTAATATTTTAGCAACCACTTTTATTCAGTTATTATTTTGGTAGCTAAATAAATTTGCAATCAAATTTTCTATTTTAACCATCAAAATTTTTTGTTCCTAAAAGAATTTTTGTTGTTGTTGCACTATATGCTATATCAGTACCAAACTACATTAATTAGTATTAATTAATATTATAAACAACGTTATATTATTACGATGGGACAAATAAAAAGTATACTATTATCTAATGTGATAAGCGATAGCTAAAAAAATATGAGCTTTTTGCATATACACTGTGTGCAGTTTGACTATAATAAAAAATATATAGTATATTTTAAAAAGTAAATCTTGAAAATTATTTATAAATCACCAATGTTCAAAAATAAAGATTTTTTTTTCAGAATAAAAAATGTTTGTTTAGTTAAAATTTAGAGTTATGCTTACTATTTTATTTTTTAATTGAAACACGATTTATATAAAGTTATGAGTCAATCAAACATAAATGAAGAAAATATTAAATTGGATTGTGACAATATGCTGAAAGTTATTGCTCATTTTTACATTTGTTATTTGATTTTTAAATTATTTCTTTAAAGAAAAATATGGCAAAGAGGCAAAAAGATAGAAAAATTTAATTTTAACTTCTAAAATAATTTTAAAATATATTTTATAATTTTTATTATTTATTATAACTTAAATATAATAATTCTCACTATTTTTATTAAGATTTTAATAATACTATATTTTTTTTATTGATTTTGCATTAAGTATAACTATCAATTTCAGTATAAATAAATGAAATTTTAAATAGTAATTAGTTAGTACTTTGTAATAAATAATAACTATTATGAATATAGTATATCTAATAAATTTAATTAAATAAATGAAAATTTTAATTATTTATTTGTGTGTGGTATTTAATAAATATATTTAATAAAATGCTAATTAAGAAGTGTAATGAATTTTACTAATAAATATAGATATAAATAGTTAATTATACGTTGTTTCATTAAAATTGTAAAGTCAAAGTTTATGTTTGTTATTTATATATAATAATAAAAATATTTATTTTTATGTAAATATTTAATCTGTTGACCTGTAACAACTGTATTTTTAAATAATTTTATTTTCAATGACAATTAATAGACTTCAATTACAAACACAGTTTTATGTTATGTTATGTTATATCTTTTACATTTAATTTATTGTAAAATCAAGACGCTTTTCTCGTTATTGTAAAGTCAATGACACTTTCTGTATAATCACTTTTATTTATCACCAAATTTGTAAAAATTTGACTTGAAAGTGCAAGTATAATTGTAAAATCACTTTCATGTCTAATGTATTTGAGTTTTTATGGCACGACTTTTGTTAGGATAAAAAAATACTTTTTATTACGTCAATGCTCTTCCTAAAGTAAAAATTAAGGATTAGACAAATGATTCTTTAATATTACAAAGAACATGGCTTTTTGAAGCTTAGCATAACATATTTTATGTTGCCAATCCACTTCATGCTGCATTTTCATATATTTTATGAATTAAAATTTTATTTTTACAATAGATAAACATCGTTCATTATATATGTTAATTTAATTATTTAATTTCTCAGGTATATTTTGTTTCTTTATAATTATTTTCTTTAATTATAATTTTTTAATCTACATTTTGATAAAAAAAAAATAATTATCATCACCATATCATATATTATACATAAACTAGTATCTAAAATATGAATCATAATTTCTAAATGAGATTATTTTAAAAAAAATGCTTTTAAAGATTATGTCATATATATTCTCTATTTTAAAAAATGCTCCCTTCATACACTTCATCAGTGGATCAAAAGAAAAACTTTCTCAATCTTTTTAAATCAGTTCTTAGAAAGTGTTTTTGAAGATAAAATAAAAAATCTTAAAACACAGTTAAACAAGTCCGCAACCATGCTCAAAAGAAAAGAAATTAAATGCATTTTTGAATTTTTGGGAGGAAGAGTGATATGCATGCAAATTTATCATGCAGTAGTAACTTTCTATTGCGATTGAGAGATGGAGTCTATGTTACCGCTTGAGTCTAGTAAGATTAATAACTCTTCAATTAAACAAGTGCACTTCATTTTCTTTTGCTCATTAAACAAAGAGCAGTTATGTATTCTCTTCAAGTTAATTTTTCTGTCTCAAAAAGAACAATGAAGAATCTTAATGATACATCTAACTTTATTCTTTGACAAAGTAATATAAAAATATTCTGTAATTTATATCTTCTGAACTGTGGATTCAATGTTGTTATTAAATAGTTTAACATACATATCCAGCAATCAAAGTCAACAAATAATAGTAATACAATTAGTAGTGCATGGAATTAAAAGTAGACCTTGCATATTTTATTTCTCTCTAAAAAGTTACTCTGGCTTTCTCCACCAAAATGTATATGAAAATATTTTCAAAACACTTGTGGATGTTGATTACATAGGAAGTAGAAAGAGATCAACTTTGCTGCTAAGAGAACTTTACAGATGAGTAGGCAAGTATCTAACACCTTTAAAATTTGCGCTATATATGTAAGACAAACAAAAAGAGTAGGGTGTGTTTGATTACAGTTTTCTAGACTTGTAATGTACAGAATCTCTGAGGGATGATGAGGATGAAGAAGAAGAGATGACAGTGCGGCTAAACTCAGCCTTGTCCTTACTGAAAGCTTTGTGGACATCATCTTTAAGCTCCATGAAACGCATCCTTTTGATTCTCTGCTCTTCTTGTGTCCCCTTCTCAAGGTAGAACAAATCAGGCAGATCATCCTCCATGAACTTATCCAGCACTTCTGAGCAATGAGGAAAGTACCGCCGCCCCATGTCCACTGCCCACCATATCCACATAGAACATATTAAGGTGTCAGAACTTCTAATCAGAATCATACACCACAAGTAGCTAGAGAGTTACGATAGGAAAATAAAGCATGTCTTAAATATGTTTTCGGTTAAATTTAGCCCCAAGATAATTTATTTTTGTTTTAGTCTCTTTCGTTTTTTAATTCAACACTTTTGGTTCCAATTAACGACGTGATTAACTAAAAAATTGAAATTTTTTGTTAGGTCACGTAAGTGAAAGAGATATAAAATGATTAATCTATAAAAATCAGCTACTAAAAAAAATTAAGGATTAAATCAAAATTTCGTGAAAATGTAAGAATAAAAAACATATTAAATCTTAAAATCATTATAAAGATTTTGCATCTTCAAAAGCTGTCCTGTCCTATTTCTCCCCCATTTCCTTCTCTATTTCTCCTCCACTTCCTTCTCTATTCTCCATTTCTGTTTAGTTTTCTTTCCCCTCTCTCTCATTCAATTCAAAAGCTCAATTGCACAGAAAGGTTACATGCAAGCATTTTTGTGCTTGACATGTGTGCACTTAGAATGTAGAGAGAGAGAGAGAGAGAGAGAGCACGATGATACCAGGTATTCTGGGATTAGTATAATCAAAATTGAAAATAAAATAGAATTTAGTTAACTTATTTAAAAAAGGTAAATTACAACTTTAATCCTCTAAAGTTATAATTAAAACTCTGCACTTGGTTAAAATACTCAAATATTAGTCATTAAAATTTTTGTTAATCTTAAAAGTATATTATTAAACAATGATACCAACAACAACAACCTAGCCTTATCTCACATTAAAAATATATTATTAAATAGTGAAAAAAATTTATTTGAACGAATGCTTCCAGACCCAGCAACCAAACCAGAAATAGAGCATGCATAAAATAAAATTGATCTCACTACCCAACTGGCTACCTATTTGAATGACCACCAGACTAGAGCATAATAATCCCATAATTATAACAAATGGTTATAGGTAATTGAAATTTTATTTTAATAAAGAGTGCAATTACCCGTTTTCATAAGGGCTTCCATCCTAGAAAGAAGTCTTTTATTTTGCACTAAGGGAGTCTCATTAAGATCAACCTCCCTTAAGTTGCCATTTGAACCTTTTAATGCAGAAAGACCAGCAAACTCTGATGTGGTCTCAGCATGTGCAATGTCCATGGCTAGTTTGGCTTCTGAAGGGAAGAATAGTCTTGCAAATGCCACTGCAGTAGACAGCAATACTTTCTATTAGATGGTTTGAGCATAAAATATCCCATGAACATTGTTAAATCAGCTAAACAACATTCAAAGTGAAGCCATAAATCAGATGTCTTAAGAGAATTTTTCAATAATTCACATAAAAAAAGACAGGCCTCAAACAGAATGATTATTTTGACAAACAACATTACCATTCCTCAAAGGCATTTAGCTACAGATACAGAACAAATAGTTTAAGAAACTACGTCACCTAGCCAGACTCAATCCCGCCAAGTAATGCACAATTAATTGGTATCAGATGAGATACAAATTGCGGTTTGCCAATTGCAAAATTTTTCAGTAAACCAATCCATACAGCCTATTTGTGGCCATAATATTCATCGAGTACTTGCATTTCTTCTACACATCTCACATTCTGATTTAAACACTTTCTGTTGGTAACTGTCCAATCTCAAGACATGGTGCATCCTACTTTCTGTTTTGGGCTAATAAAACAAAAAAATTTAGAATCTAAAGCATACAATAATTCCTTTAACAGATAATTGGCCCTCCGTTCTAGCCTTAATTCATTTGCCAAAGAACTAAAAGAATTCCTTATTTCAAAATCTAAAACAACAGAAACTTTATAACCCTAAACCCTCAATGTGAAGACTGTAGGTAACCTAAAAATCTTTCCATTTCCGAATTCCAACTCAAATTATATTACATAAAGTCAAACTGACATTTCAATGAATAGTCTAAATTCCATCAGTCCTGCATTACATTACAAAGAATTGGTAACAAACAGTTAGACAACGATCAGACAAAGAGTCTACATACAATCCAAACCCCAAAAATTCATAATATGAAACTATGAGAACTATATAGTCACTATTCCTCGAAAAAGGGAACCAAGGTTCCTAATTACCAAATATCAGCAAGTCAAAAGAAAAAAAGAATGATATATAGAAATAAAAGAAAAGAAGAAAGTAATTATGAGACCTATATAGTCACTAATCCACTATAAAAGTGACACAAGTTTGGGAAAATTTCATTCCAAAGCACAAAATAAAGCATTTAAAACCTATATGCAAGATCCAAGACAACAATGTATAGAACACAAGCAACAAGCAAAAGAACGTCATCCATGACATCATACCTCTGTTCTCAAGGTATAGTAGCTTCATGTGGAGATCCTCAGCCATGGTTTGGGAAGACATACAGGCATCCCCAGCCATTGGATTCCTACGCAATTCTCTTTCAAGAACATCAATGCATATCCTATCTTTGTTAGTTTCTTTCCCCTGTTCTGTTTTTGCATGATAATCCTTTGGCCTTGTTAACCTCCTACAAATACTAACAGGACTCCGACCATCAAAAGTCACATCTGATGCACAAGCGCCTTTGGTAAGAAGGGATACTATAATGGAAGGCTCCTTACGCATGGCAGCAATGTGAAGCACTGTGTACCCACGAGAATTTCGAAGATTGACATTAGCCAAACCCAAGCCAAGTACCTCAGAAACAACCTTGGGGTCACAGTATGCTGCTGCATAATGGAGAGCATTGGCTTCATCTAAAGTAACATTTGACTCATTCAAAAGAAGTTTAACAAGCTCAACATCATCGGAGTCCAATGCCTTGTGTATTCTAGTGATTCGTTTTTGAGACAAAGCATCCTCTACAGAAGCATCATTTTCAACTTCTTGCAGAGGATTGGGGCGGAGCAATTTAACTTTTTCTGAGAGCTCATGGGGAAGCTCTTTCTCAATTGAAATCTGGTCAAGGTCTGATCTGGCCACCCTGTCAGTACATTGAGCAACAAGTTGACTCAATTGACAATGGAATGCAACTGTGATGATTGGGATGACATCTTCCACAAGAGCTTTCCCTACAAAGTTAAGAAGACGTCGCTGCAAAAATTAGAGCATTAATTAGTTCCTTGATCCTTAAGCTTGATCAGACACAATATAGCTTGTAATTTAGATGTGAAACTAATATGCGTAGTGCTTAATACCATGGCACAACATTCTAGGCACAAGGCGTTTGCCAAAACAAAGTAAGATACATCGAAAATTAATTAAAGAATTCAATTTCACACTCCTTCAGAAACAAGAAATGTAAGATTTAGGTCCAACAAACCAACATACAGTAATGATTTTATTTGAGAAAAGGAAAGCATCCACATTGGAGCAGTAGCATTACTTGCTAATGTATATGGAGGCTTGTATGTTCTGGGAAAAATAACAGAGTAAAGTTGCATGTTTCTGAGGTGCCTGATTGTTAGAGATATATGTTCCATTTTAATTATAAACTTCTCTCTCTTCTGAATATATGTTCCGTTAGGCAGCCTACTACGACCCCAAGGTTGTTCTGGGAAAGCATTTACATTTCAGTTGATCCCAAGCATTTACATTTTTCTGGCTCATAGCCCTTGTAGTCAGACTAGGGCTATGAGCCACATGAAACATATATTCAGAAGAATCCAAAGAATATCAATTCCAATCCTAAACTACTGTTATAGCCTTGTTCATCATGTAAGTGAAAGGATTACCCATTATAGCATGACTCCACCGATTAATTAAAATAAAGGCTCCAGCATTCATAATTTCTCTTTCTCCTACTGAATCACCATATAAACATCTTGGCGTAGAATGTGCCAATACACAATATTTTTTTTTTTATTATAAACTTCTATTTCCTAAAATAGATAAAACATAATGGATGTACGGAAAAATGTTAGAGATTAAAGAAAGTAGAGGTCAGTAATGGTTAAAACTTAAAAGCAATCTGGTAAAAGAAGAAGTTTTATGAAATCAAGTTTTAGTAAAAGTTTATTACTGATCATTAGGTTAAATGAAATGTGTTACGTGGCGATCTTTTATGTCATCACAGAGAGAACATTTACCTGAAAAAGGGATACCAACTCTGGTACTTGAAAAATGGAAGAGGCATACATCAACTCCACAGCGAAGTTAATTGCAGGTCTACAAGCATCATGGGCACACACATTGTCAACACATGTTGACACCTCCATTGGAGAGGGCTTGAGTTTACCAGTATATATATAGCCCAGGAATATGAGGAAGGCCTCATATCCAACATTGCCATAAGGCAACAAATCACTCATGCAATACTTCAATTTTCCTTCTTTTTCTGATGATCCTTCCTTCCTCTTGAACAATTCATGGAAAAACTTACTCCTAGAGGCCAGAATACATCGATGAACACCGACCTCATTTCCTTCCACAATGATGTCGGCATCACTATAATCACAATCAGAATCAATCAAAAGCTGCTCCAAGTTGGAGCTAAGCCTACTCAAACTGATAACCTCAAGGTTAGGTCCAGGATCAGAGCCATTTGAAGAGCACATATTGTGACTAACTGAACCATTTGATAAATGGGAAGATGATGTAAAGCTCAAAGATGATGAGGGTTCAGCTGAATGAGCCATTTATCAACTTGATTGATAACCTCAGTGAACATAGAACATTTCTTATTCGTCAAAGAACTTCACACTTCGAAGTTCCTAACAAGAGTCCCAAAAACTTCTAAAACCACTAACAGATGGAAGGAATATGATACTTTACTAATCAAGACCCTGAATTTTCCAGCAAAGACATAAGAACAAAGTCAACCTATAAAAAGAAACTATAGATGCTGGTTATACGATAAACAGTACACTGATCTGTATACACGTGTGTTAGCACTTGGTAACAAAATCTTATGTCATAAAAACACATGACATCTGATCCAACCCTTCACAATGGATCAACTATGGATTGGAAACACCCTCCAACAAAGTTCCTTAACATCAAAAGACAAAAGCTAAAGAGTCATTCTCTATTTCAACTTTCAAGAGCCAAGCTTAAACAGAGACATAAGAAAAAAGCACAAATATTTGATATGTCTGCAAAACCTTAGCACAGAAAAAGTGCAAAAACATCAAAAAGTCCCTTGTTTAAACTTCCAGAGCCACCAAAACAGCATAATCAAACAAAACCCAAAACTGATCCCAAACTGAAAACCGAAAAACAGAAAATTTTATATTAGTTTTTTTTTTTAAAAAATATATCACTTTTCAATTAGACAAGCATGCTACAAAGCCCAAAAAAAGTGGGAGAGAAGAAAAACCGCCACCCCCCAAAACCAAGCTCCCAACTTTCCCAATCAGATCCATCCAGATCAGAAAAAGTTAGAACTTTGATGGGCAGAAGGCCAGAGAGAGAAGAAAGAGAATCAGCGTGCAAGACGGGTAAAACATATAGAGAGAGAGTTGGAAGTCAAAACATGAAAATCGAGGAAATTTGGGAAAAAGAAAGAAATGGGAGAGAGAAAGGCAAGAGGAATGATAACGTCACTGGGCCGTGCAGGTCAAGGACACACCATCCCCGAAGTTTCGTTTTTCGTTGTCAAAGAGATGAGGGAGAAAGTTTGAGAGAGAACAGTGTCTGTGTGTGTGTATGCGTAGCTCCGAAGAGGGCGTGTCGATGGGGAGGTGAAGTGGTTTTGCCGACGTCAGAGATGGCGTCAGCATCACAAGCTGGGCCTTGCTTGCGTCCTGAGTGGCGTCATCACTCTTCACACACAACTTTTGGCTAAGGGCTATTTTCGTCATAAATCTTCTCTCATACTATTTCCTTTGCTTTACGTCATTCTGTATCCACTCTTTCTCCGCAAGTGCTTTAAAGTTAAAAAATTTATACATATAAAAGTAACAATTAATCATGTTAAAGTAAATATAGATTTATATTCATTCAAATATTAATTTAAACTATATTTAGTGATAATAAAAATATTTATCTCTTTTAATAATTTGACAGTGGTCAAAATACTTTTATAATAAACTTATTGTTTTAAAAAAATTTAATTATTTAAGAAACTGATTAATTAAAAATATATTAAAAAATAGTGTAGCATGCGTTTCTCATTTTTGGTATATTATTTGCCTAAGTATCCGTAACATCACTTTCGTGCGTATGGGCAAATAATAATTAACGGTGATCATAATACCATACCATGTGAAAATGGAAACAGCCCAAACTTCCCTTTCATGTCACAACAACTTGCCATTTCATTGAAGAACCTTATCTCTGATTCTCTGATAAGAAGTATGAACATGATAATAATACCTTCCGTCTTTGCTGACTCTGCTGCCACCACTTTTTTTCTTTTTCTAGTCAGTTCACGTTTGATTCTTTTTCACCATAAAAGTTGAAGAAAAAAAATGAGAACCATATAATTGAGTAAATAATTAAAATTCAAATTATTGTTAATATATTTATATGCTGATGATTTTTAATGAAATTTTTATTTATTAATCATTAAAAGTGTCTTTAAAATATAAGACCAATAATATAGCAACTTAACTTTGCATGCAATTGATGTTCTTGCCGAACTCTTTTTATAATATGTTAATGAATGATTGAAAGGTGTGACGTGAATTTTTTATATTGATAATTAACTAAAATCAAACTCTTTGTTATTTGGGAGGACTTGAAGAACTATTCAACTCTATTTTCAGTAAAAAAAAAAAAGTACTTTATTATGCACGTATAAATAGGGAGTAGCTATAATATTTATGGAAGGATATCGTACCAATTGCTAAGGCAAAGTTATAAAAATTTATTTTGTTTAATTTTATTATGAATCTCAATTAATTAAATATAAAATAACAAAAATTATAAGTGATTCACAATTCACCTTAAACATCAATACCTTAAAAAAAGTAGTTAGTGGACTAATTCCTATAAATAGATAATATATATTATGGTACACCTTTGTTGCCCATATTTGTTAAGTGTGTACTGTGTAAAGTCTATCGTAATTTTTTTATTAAATATGGGAATGGAACATAAAATATTAGGATGCGACTTACAAATCAATATGTGCTGACACGCTATCTCTATTATTGGTGCATGGCTCATAGCATGGTTCCAATTAAATATTCAATCCACTTGCTTGGTTCTGATTACTTCATTGATAGATTAAAAAAATACTAGTATTTTTGGAATATCAAAAAGTCTTTGCAACTCGTATTCAATTATTTACCTTTTTTTTTAACGTTCTTATTTGAAAGAATTTATATTTTTTAAACTTTTTTTGTGCCTACAATTTTTTTAAAAATATTAAATGACTCTTCATATTTTAAAAGCATGTACATACTTTTTACTTAATATTTATTTAATAAATAAATAATTAGAGGAATATGCAGAAAAATATAGCAAACCTCTTATTGTTTATTTGCATCTCTGATTTTGCGTGTTCGAAGCTTTGTTGCGCTGAAATCTTACGCCACTAGCTTTGGTCTTGTCTAACTTAACCTAGTCTGAAGGTATAAATGGGTTTCAGCGGAAAGCTTATTCCAAACATCGTTTGTCATATTCCTTCTGTTCTTTTATCTGTCTGTTGTGAAGAACAAAAGTCCACTTGCATGGTTCTGATTACTAGATCGATAGATTTTAACTCCATAGTGTGTGTCTATATACATAATTTAATAAATATAATTAATATGTTTGTTTATTATTATTTTTACTTATGATAAGTGTTTCGATTTTTTAAGATATAGGTAAAGATAATAAAAATATTGATAAGATAATAATGGTTATTTTTTAAAACTTTTAGAAAGACAGAGGAAGATAAACAATTTTTTATTTTAAAAATAACGAGGTAAAAAGAAACAAATATAGTAACCAATAAGAGAAATAAATATAAAATAAAAATAGATAAGGGTCGATATATAGCAATCAGAGTGTCTAAAATATAATAATTAAGAAATAATAAATAACTACTGATTAGAAATTTCATTGAAAATGTATTGTAAACAAGATGGGATGCATTGACAGCGGTTTTTTTTTTTTTTTTTTGTTAAATAACATTTTTTAAAAGATTAATTGGAAAAAAGAAAAAAAAAACCATTCAAAAATGTAAATACCACATCTTCTGTAGGATAAAAATTACACATAAGTCTTTATAAGAAAAGTCAATCAATAAAAGTTAACTAATTTCTTCTGTAGGATAAAAATAATATATACTTTTTTAATTTTAAAAAGGTTAATTAAAAAATTCTAAAAAATGTTAAAAAAACACATGTCAATTTTAACTTATAAAAAATTTTGATTCATTTTATTATTTTTCACTCCTTGTTGATAAAAAATTTTTTGGTCCACTTATTGATAAGTTTATTTAAAAATGTAATTCTAATATTAAAATAGCCCAAGAAAAAGTAGGTATTACAGGGAGCTGAGGGTCCTACTAAGTACTCCCAACCTTGCTTCTTCAGCTCAATATATATCTGCATCATTTTGTTCATGCTTAATTACAGGAACATTTTCAACGCCCCTTTGGACCATGCATGCTCTACCCTCTGCCTGTCGGCAGCCGTTAAAATATACTAGTTTCTCATCTTGCTGAAATTGTGTTTGGAATTAGGTCACGCTGTCTCAAATAGCCTACGAACTAATAAACTTAGTAACTATTTAAGTAATAGATTTAATTTATATTTTTTTAAAAATTTAATTAAATAGATAAGATATAAGTTTTAAAAAAGTTTATTAAAATTATTAAAGTAATTTATTTAAAATTTATAATAATATATTAAATAATTTTATATTAAAATTATAATATAATAATATACTAAATAAATAAAATTTTAAAATAAATAAAATCTTAAATTATAAATTTTAATTCTCGAGAGTTAAAGAGTATACCACTGCATACCTTTTGAGAGAAAATCAATTCTATTTGCTAGAGTTTTTTTTTTTTATTATTATTTGATCCTTGCATTTATAATATCTGGATTACGTACAGTGATGAAATAGAAATATTTAATTTTATTATATATATTCAAAGTGTTGAACTATTTTTATATAATTTATTTAGATACAAATTTTATGATCTTTATAAAAAATATATCTATTTAAATAATTTAATAGTCTATTTATAAAAAATAATAATAACCAAGGTCTCAATAGAGATAGGTCATTAAAAAAGCTATTAGGACAAAGTAAGCTTTTAAAAAAAAAAATCAAGTTAGGCTTAATAAATAATAAATTAAGCTTAAACTTTAAGATTATTAAATACCTATTTATGCAAAGCATAGTCTAACCTATTTCTATCATACCTCAAAAAATTCATCTTAATCATTCTAAAAACAAAGTGGAAAATTGGTCTATCAAATACATGGATATTACAAAATTTAATAGCTTTAATTTTCCAAGGAAATCTACAAATATTTATAAAATGTTACAACAATAATTAGTACAATAATGAATTTTAATAACACGATAACCAATTAATTTTTAAAAAATAAAAACTCTCACAATTGCGTATTTTATAATATTTTTTAAAAATTAAATAACTTACAATGTGAGGTCTAGAAGGTTGAAGCTACGAATTGAGTTAGTTTTTCAATTCCCTTGAATTGGGATTAGAATTACAAATCAAATTCAAGGAGGCCTATTTTCCAATAGACGACATTGATCAATAATATGAACAAGTTTACACTAAATTGCACGAAATGTGAGATGGTAAGATTTCTATTCGGAGTCAACTTTTCCCCACTCCAATATGTCCATTTTCCAATAGAAAAGAGTCACGATGATTGTAATGTTCAGTCAAATTCGTGACTAAACGTTACAAAAATTAACCACCTGCCTCTTTAGGAGACTAGAGTTAGAGTATTTCATGTTCTTGAATTTAAGTCCTTAAATTTTCTAATGTCTTTATGGGAATTGTGAACTTTAGTTTCGACTAGAATCACAGCATTTCATTTTCTAAGATTAAGTCCTTACAGGCTTAAATTTTCTTAAGTCTTTATCAGAACTACAAACTTAGTTTTGGAATTGATTCACGTAATGCAATTACGTCTGAGAGATGCTTCCAGCAATAGTTCATGTCAGTGAATAATTGCTGGGCGAGATTCTAAATACACTTGTTGCTTACTTGGTTTGGCATCTAGCTGTCCACAATCAATTTCTATTTAAAAGTAGACATTCACAATTTTATAAACACGGAACAGCAATAAATTCTTGCTCTAAGCGGAATCAAATTTTTCCTGTATGCAAACAGTAGACCCTTGAAATAAAGGCGAATCAATTAATTTTCATATATACTTTTAATTAGTTTAACTAAACTTGAGGAATTATAACCACACGAGATGCTAAAATAGATTTAAGAAGACAAGTTTTAGCGATTAGTTTTATAAAATAGGCTATAAGCAAGGTTTTGGTGATTAATTTTTATTAATTCTAATCCCATTAGCTTAATTGAAGAATTATTCTTAATGATTTCTAAATAGGCAACTACTAGCAACTAACCTTGCTTACTTATAATTGACTTAGTGTCTGTCTAGGTAAACGATCTAATTATTGACCCAAAAAAAAAAAAAAAAGGTAAACAGTATACACTCATTTCATAACCTCATACTGCATGTAATAAATTTAATCATAAAATTTATTAATATAAGTTCAGAAGTACTTATTTTAATAAATTATACTAAAAAGATACTAAAATAAAGCTTATCACATCATAAACTATTTTTATAAACTCAACTTTGCTCTCAATTAAGTTCTTCCAAAGAGTCCATTATCGTTCTGATGTGTCCATCGTCACTCTTATACAAAACATTTTTATCTAAAGTATTTTAAACAAAAATTAAATTATTAAATAAAACTCACAACAAACACGTAAATGTAACAAGACACACCCATTAATCAAGTTTGAACAATTATAGATTGCGAGATTGTAAATGCATATACGAAGAAAAGCACAGAAAATTATTATTTTTTTAAAAAAAATTAACCATTGAGTTGAATCTAGTGAGAAAGGGTGACAATGAAGGAGAAAATTGAAAAAGATTGATTGGTACAGTATCTCAATGTATTACCAGACGCCATCATACAAAACAGCTCTTAGTAAGATAAAGTCTCCAAGTGGAAACATGTGCTCATTCCTCATTGCCTAAAGCGCTCACTCCCAATTCCCAAACCGTAAGACTTGTAACATATAAACAACTATGAAGAAGAATTCAGATTTTTTAGCTTCGCTTTGGTTGATTCAAGTTGTTCTATCCAAAACATTTTTTGAAATAAAATAAAATCAGAATTATGTAGCACACATTTAAAATTAATTTGAAAGAAAGAAGTGTGAAAGGAGAAGGATGCTTACTCTGCTCCATCGTGGTTGCTGTTTGTACGGTTGTGCGAAAAAACAAGTTTGCGTTTCTCTGGTAGACAGCCTACAGTTGGAGGAATAATTAGAAGGGATTGAAGTAGTAGCAATCGCAATTCGCAATTATAATAGAGAACCCTAACTCTAGGTGGTGAAGTTGAAATTGGTTCGGAGAGGGTGAAGATTAATTACTCTGGAAGAAGGAATATTGTTGAGCTCGGCGATGGCCACTTCGTGCCTCTTCAATTGCTTCGTTAGATCAGCAGAACTTGGCCTAGTATTCGTATTCGTACTGCTCCCAGAAACAGAGGCCATCTTCCACAAATACCTCGATCTCCACTTCAATTCAAAGAATAACAAAGGGTTTGATTATTTCTTTTCTTTTGGTCCAGAAGGCTATTTTTTAAGCATCCAGTTGGGTCTGTTTAACGTGGGCCCATTAGCCCATTTAAACTACTAGTCGGTTCAACTTACTTTGTTTGTTGACCAAAAACACAATTAATTTGTTTTTTTACCCAAAAATAATATATAATATCATCATTCATCACCCTAGTATTTTTTATTTTAAATTTATTTTTTCATTTGACAATTTTAAAAAATATTTATTACTTGATTCCACCTCTTTTTTTTCTCTAGTTTCTTCAGAGTGATCAATAGCACGATTGTACATCCTTGAATAAAACAATGAGTGATACAATTCAAATTCTTACCACATTGACACTGTCAATCGAGCTAAGAATATTGGAAAGATCAAACGACCAATCGACTACCGCAAGAACAGCATAAAATTACAGACAAGATAATGTGATCCATATACTAGTTTTAGTCTTTTTAAGTTAATTTTAAAAAGGACCTTAATGTTTTTAAAACGAAGCCTTATATTTAGTCATTTGGAGTTCATGGTATAAGATTATAAATAGCAACTTTAAGACTAAGACAAGCACGTTGGTTAAATCCTGTATTAGAATACAAAACCATTTAAGAGAGCATTTAAGAGTTTATGAAAAGTTTATAAAAATATAAATTTTTATCACCTCTCTTAATTTATTTTAACATTTTTTATATAAATTATTAAAATATATTTAGTTTTTTCTAAAAAGTTACGATTAAATTTATAACAAAAAATTATTAAACAAACGCTAAATTTAGTTATATTTCTCCAAAATCACCCTTAAAATGTTCTATCAACTTTCAGACATCTATTTCTGAAATTATCAAAAAGCTATTCTTATACAGTTTAAGTTGGCATTTAAGTTCTTGATTAAGGGATATAAGTTTCTCAAGTATGTTTCAGGATCTTTCACGATTTCAACTAATTTGCTTGTAAATTGGGACATAATTCCTCTAGGTTCACATCAATTAGGCTATAATAAAACCATTAGAATTTTTATAAATATCCAATACATTTTCATAGGGGCCACAATAAAACCATTACAATTTTTATAAATATCCTATACATTTTCATAGGGCATTTTATAGGCCGATTTCACTAGCATGTGCTGTATGTTATATGTATATATTAAAAAATTTCAAACAATAACAATCAGAATAAAAAAATATTGTTTCCAGATACAGAAACCAAACACAACCCCTATAAATTTTCCATCGAGTAATCATTTGCTCTGGAAGAAATTGACCTTTGAGTAACAAAATAATAAAACAAATACGGGATAATATACACTATCTACGACCAAACAACATAAGTGACCTAACCAAGGCTTGCCTAGGCTTTTGCTTGAAAGATCACCTCCTGCCGGGCTCAAGTGCTGTAGGTTTTGTATTTGGGGTCTACCATATAATATTTCTCCTACATGCAAAGAACAAATTCCTTTGCTCTCAATTTTTCACCTCCTACCGTAACAAAAAGCAAAGGTAACCTAACTTTGATGCTGTAATTATGATAGTGGTCTAGCTTCTTTTCCTAATTTGGCTTATTCTATTTTTTTTCTAGAAGAAAAAAAAAATGAAATCTACATCCTTTAACACTAGCCTAAATTAGACACTTCCTTACAGCAATTGTATAATCAGGGAAACCGCCTTACTATGTTTCTTAAGCTCCTAATCACATGAAATTCCTTTCCACAACCTTCTTGAGCTCCTCCAACTTTTGGATGACCTCTGGATTCAACAGATCCCTTGCCTCCCTAATGAGGGTACCTTCGCTGCTCAAATGATAAGCATCCACCACAGACTTTATCCATGTGTGAAGCTTCTCTGGAGTCCTGAAATGATATTGAGAAAAAAGTTATTATTACTGACTCTATTTCAAAGTTATTTTATGTTCTGACATCTAATACATACGTGTACAAGCTATCCACATCCTTTCCTTCAAGTTCTTCTCCAGGTGTAAATGCATCTTTGAGGGCAGAGAGTTGCTCCTCAGGATCCTCAATTCGAATAACATACTTGATTATTCGAATCTCTTTTGGCACAAGTCTCTGAAGATTTCCAACTGCAGTTATGTATAAATGATAGAGGATATCTTTTACCTGCATATAAATGTTTCTTCTTTATACAAGCTAAATAAGATAGTAGGCAATATCAAAGTATAATTTATATAGTGAGAGAAAAATTATCATATCATTTCTAGTAAATTAAAATATTAATATTTAAAAGTAGATTTGTTATGAGCACAAAATAGAATTGGACCTCTCATAGTTATATTCAATCAACAAGATGCTCATGTTTTGTAATGATATGTGTCACACATGGCATAAACTATTTCAAAATATCAAATTTCATACGAAAGAATTTTAACAGCTAAAGGTAGCTCGTGAATAGTGGATTCATACCATTCCTCATTTCCCCTAAAATTTGATATAAACATGTATGACTTATTTTCTTCTTATTCACCAAAATACGCCAACTCTCCTTTCCAGAAAAAAATTAAAGGAATTTAATTATCCTGCATACTGCTTACTCTATCTATCATAATCAAGTACCAGTGAAGGAGATGACCATAGTGTTCCAAACATCGTGCCTTTTTTTTTAATCGGAAAATAAAAGTAGAAACAAAAAGCTACGTAGCTTATCCACTTGGTTCTTCCCCACACTCTGCATGCACATTACAGCCCGAAGAAACTATTTTTAAAGTTGCAATAACCATTCAAAAATTCTTATCCTACATGTTTGTGAAATTAAATAGAAACAGCTCACAAAAAGGAAAGTGATGAGGTCACAAAGCCAATTTACCTCATCTTTCACCATGTTTGTCTCCTTGGCAGCTGACCAAGCTTTGGTGATCATCAATACCAAAGTTGAATCAAGTTCATTTTTTTCAGCCAAGTTGTCTATCTTCCTGCAGGCAGCATCAAGTGAGGGAGAATTGATAATATCTTGGAATTTCAACTCTGCAGCATTTAGCTGTTCAATGCTTTCAGTTGCAGCATCGTAGGCTTGTACAGCAGCTATGCAGGTGTTCCCAAGCTGTGCCAATTCTTGTCACACAAAAAGCCCACATCACAGGTCATAAAATGCCAAATTAATTAAAAAATGCACGTTTCAAACTATCCTGTTAAATTACTCCTTTCAGTTCAATGTATAAGATTCTATTAACTAAATCACACAGATTAAGAAAAGTTTTCAAATGTAATTAATGTATTGTTTTGAAAGATTAATTACAATATTCCAAGTTTATCCCTATCTGAAGTCAAAACTTACTATCGCATTAATTGTTGAGGCGATAGAAAAAATCAAATTATAAAAGGCAAATACGTAAAGTAATAAATGTTTCAAAAATTTTGAAAGCGATCATATATTAAGGACCATCAAAAGTTTTCAAAGGGTTCTTATATAAAAAGGACAGAAGGAGTATTTCTTAACTGTGGCATCTACTACATGATCTTGGTTGAACATGTATTCTAACTTCTAAGTTAAATCAAAATTCCCCACAGACTAACCTACATAATATCCTAACTTTTTCCTAATAAAGGCCTTATTTAGGTTAAGCTTCAATTTTGAAAGAACTTTTGCTTCTACTACTTAAATATTTTAAGTTCAATATGAGTCATAAATCTAATGAGTGACCATAGAAAAGCACCAATATATGGTTATACACTTATGCTCATGGAAAGAAAATTAACAAAGTTCTGAACTGAACTAACATGATATTGCATTATGGCTTAATGATTTACTAGACAAGAAAATCAACTGATACAATTCAGTATGATATAGGATACTAAATCCAAAAAATTATATGAAGCATCAACATAATGTGTGCTTAATTCAGCTTATTTTGAAGGAATAACCGTTTGTTTTTATCAGTTTAGTGAGACAGCTTGTTTTAAAAAAAGATATTATATATTTCAAAAATAGTAATTTTCAAACATATACTTAGACTACTAAAAGCTTGCAAAATAAAGTCCTACCATTTTGCTCTTCTTTTTTGTCATAGTAGGATTCAGCCACAGTGTGAAGGTGAACAAAAAATTCCTTTGTAAAATCTTTACGACGCTTGGAGACAATCTCATTGATTCCTGACGGATCCTGCCTTATCACCTCAATAAGTTCATTGTGCCTCTGCACATCCTCATCAATCTGCTCAAGAAGTTGTAAACAAATCAGCACAAACCCTATTCTTGTTTCTCATTCTCCAATCAATGTAGAACATAGTAAAATTGTACCGCAAAAAACAAGAAGAATCTAAAAAATATGGATACAGCACAGGACAAGAAAACATTACAACACAAAGTACAGAAAATTATAAAAACCATAAGACACCACACATTTATATTAGAACTATAAAATTAGTTTAACTTTAACCTAAAATCAAATCTTAAAAGAGAGAATTGAAATTTTAAAAATAAGCAGTCATCATACACAGAATAAAATCCCACTATTACCTCTGTTCCTATATATCTCTTAACACAGAGAACAAATTACACAGACCGAAAAATCAAAACATTTTGATAAAAATATTTGGTGAACAGCCTAATATACCCTTTATTAGTGAGTGTCTCTTTGACTTTTGGGTTATTCAACTAATGTAAAAAAGTCATCATAAAAATGTAAGTTTTTCTGAGGCATGTACAAAGGCACAAATAAGAACCTCCGTGTAGTAATTTTTTATTGAAAATAATAAGATATCATAAAATTCAATTATTAATAACATTTATGTTACAATTTTCAATAAAAATTTGCTATTTCTCTTTAACATGTGCCATTAGCACACATTAGAAAATCGTGGGCACGCAATAAGAACCTACGGGAAAAACAAAAGTGAGACCTGTTTGAGCTTCCTTGCAAGACGAAGCAGGTTCTCCTTCATGACAGGGTCATCTTCAGCATCAGCTCTATCATTACAGCGAGCAAAAAAATGGGGTCTGATGTTGTTCCACTCTCTGCTGAAAGCCAACAACCTTCTCCAATCGGTTGGTGTGGGCTTATCAACCATGAAAACTCCAATAAGCTTGTCGCACACTCGAGTCATTCGGTTCTCATTCGACACTTCAGAGGAACTGTCTTCACTAATACTCACACATGGTTGCAATCCCCTTGCTCCTGGTTCATAATAATGTAACAACTTATGCCCTACAATTTCACGAGACCAAAATTGAATTGTGAGAGAGTTAGATACTTACTCTCGGATTTGTCTTCGGTGCGAAAGTTAAAGCGTGGAAATGGAAGGGTTTTGAGTGTTAACGAATGGGGACGAGTGAAACTTGCTTGAGGTGTGGGAATAGAGAACGTTGGTGGAAGAGAACAGCGTGAGGGAAGAATCGCAGTGCGCAACTCCATCTGTTTCAGTTCTGAAATTCAGAACGTTGTGGACTACTTACTCTACTCTAGGAGATATGGTGAGGGTAGAACCAGGGTTTATGCTATACAATTTTTGAAACTTTCTCTTCTGGAATTTTCAATAAATTATTATTTTGTTCTTTTTTTATCTCCATTTTTTTTTTTGTTTTATTCATCTCAAACTTTTTAAAGTTTTCTGTTTTACTTTTTGGTGGTACGATTTTTATTTTTATTTTTTTTGCTTCAAAGCCAAAATGAGACACGTAGTGGCAAAAGAAATATGGTGCACCAGACAAATATTCGAGGAGTAAATGCTTATTTTAGTTTTTCATATTATAAATTTTAGTTACTTTAATTTTTAACTTAATAAAATTATTTTTTAATTCTTAACTTTATAAAATAATATTTTAGTTATTTTTATATAAAATATAATACAAATATTTTTTTATAAAATTAAAGACTAAAATATAAATTTTAGTTGATCAAATATCAAAATAATCGATATGTAAATTTTTCAAAACTAAAACAAAAGTTTATTCAATATTTGAGACAATAGCTCGACTAAGTTCTTTTATATGTCACAAGTTTTGCATAAAATAAAATAAAGAGAGTTTTGAATAGACACTTAAATGAAGATATTATACATTTGCTAGAGATTGATAATTTATTAAAAATATATTATAGTGTAAGTTTTGCATAAGTTGTTTCAAAACCTTCAAAATAACTTATGACAAGTTTTGAAATGAAAAAAAGAGCGACCAAAAAACAACTTTGTCAACTTCAAAAGTGGTATAAATAAGTTCATTTGAACATGTTGAAAAATTTTTACAAACAGACGAAAAATTTTACAAACACTTATTCAATATGTTCGTGTGTGAAAAACTGTTAGAGTAACAAATCTTACATTAATAATTAATTAGAAATCAGTTTAGGTATGAATTTTGAAGTAATTATTCAGAGTTAATAACTTTCAATTACATGACACCCAAATTTCTACATGACTATCAATATATGTGACTGGCTTTAATACTTGATTGAGTCACCTTAAACAAGATCTCAAATTTTTAATATGTATGGAAAAAAAATTCCCTTAGGAGAACAAGCCTCACTAAGTTGTAAATGTTTCAAACAGAACTGTTTCCAGCAGAGAATACATGTGATATAAAAAGGAGGAAAAAGTATATACATGACACGATACTAGAAGATTTGAGAAAATGATAAACCTCGACATGCAGAACTAGCAACACGATGATATTGACCGGAATACAAGAAAAAGTTAAAACGGCAATTCATTTAAGCTCGAACTTTAAAAAACAAAAGCATTGACCGAGCAGACCTACGTAACAGAACTCTCAATTAACAACTTCCGAGATTGACACAACATTAAGATTGAGCAGAAGATGCTCTGCCAATTTACTGTTGAACCTGACCCTCGCTACATTGCCTCTTGAAGTTCAAGGCCTCATCTGTTAGAAATTCGCTATAGAAATGATTCAAATTAGCTCAACAATGGTGGGAAAAGGAGAGAAGAGTGAAGCATAATGATAAAAATGAGCCAACACATAATATAAAACACACTCACTATATGCGCTCAGCCATCTGCGATGGTTCCCATCTCGGACTCCATGGGTAATCAGCCATAAGACGTGACTTCATCGGTGCCATTTGGGAATTAAAATGCTACAAAATAACATGAAAAGAACCTTAATGGTAAGCTCACTAGGAAATAACTTCAACTAGAGAAGACAACAGCTTAAAATATAAATCTACCGCCCAAAAAAGTAGAACTACCCTAATATGAGAGAGGGACAGGTAAAGTGTTGGCATGGGTGCAAGGGGGAGCTACAGCTCACTAAGAAAATACCAAGATCTAGTGTACTCAACGATAAGCCCAGAAATATATACATTTGTTTCCACTATTCTACTTCAAAGGTCATCCTAACAAAATTGTGTGAAGTGAAGAATTATCACTTGCCTTGTCAGTAAAAAAAGCAATTCCATATCAACGATTTGAACCTAAAGTATAACGTTCTTCAAAACAACAGAGTAAAATAATTTTTAGTTCTTCATCTTGTGGCTACACTCAACCTCTAGTGAAAATCTAAACATGGATTACAAACCAACTAGGGACTATTTATTTTAAAGTTGAATAAAATTGATTTTGATATAATGAACCCATTAAATTAATTAGGAGATATGCCCAAATTAATCTCAGTCACAAATTCTACATTGGAACATGTTCACCATTGGAGGAATTGGTTTTGGAATTAAAACACACATCAATTCATCAACAGATTGCAGGAATCTAATAGATATAGACCCTTCCCTCGCCCCCTCAAACAGAAGACTACAGAAAAGTAAATAAAGACTAAACCATTCAATCATGTCACCAAACTTCTGAACATTAACTACATAATTGAAAGAATTCAGAGTTAGACATATGTTGCTTTGAAGCAATAAAAGTAAATTGCACTGTAGGCAGCTTCTTTATCGGTTGCCTACATTTCTTTGCAGAAAATAAAGTTCAACCTTGATCCTTTGTTCAAATGAGAGGATAGAAAAGAGATGATAAAAAAACATTGATAATGAAGCATTTTCTTTTACTTGGTGGAAGAGAAAATGAAGATAAAAAGGAGAGAAAATAATTTTCGCTCCTCTCATTTTCTCTTCAATTCAATGTTTCCCTCCCCTCATTTTCTTTCCACTAAAACCAACAGAGGGTGAATTTTTAAATAAAAAATATTGAAACAAATATAACCTGTGAACTTTGAAGCGTAAGAGCTGGCTGTTGCTTTGGAAACTGAGTTGGAATTAGGAAGTGTACCTAAATAAACAAAACTGTCAGAACTTTGAGCAAATTTACTCCACCTTTTCTCTTTTGACTGGTCCTGCCACTTCTATCAAACTAAGGGAATAGAACTAATGGTAGAGTTCTTCCTTAAACTAGTCATATAGTACCTATCTCTTTATCCAACAGAAGCTATCACATAAGCTATAGCAAGCGTACAAAGCAATAAATTCCTTGGAGATAACATCTTAGAGTGTTTTTGGATATAGAGCTTATTAAACACTTATCTAATATTTTTTTTAAAATGATGACTTATGCCAAAAAATTAGAGAGATAAGTTAAAAATAACTTATTTTTAATAAGTTATACCAATAAGCTTATTAAAATAAATTAAAAAACAGCTTATGAGAATCATAAGCTATCTCCACAAGTTGTTTATAAGTTCTTTCAAACATGCCCTTAATCAATTCCTAACAACAGTCCTTTGTCACAATAAATTTACGGACATTAAGTAACGAGGGCCATATGTTACCAAGAATGTGAAAACACCAGAAGCAGCAAGAAAAGTTGCCTTCCTACAAAAGACCTAGAAACAAAGAAATTAAAAAAATTAGCAATTAATATAAAAACCAAGCAATTTGAGAATAAGTGTCAATGACAGTACAGGATCAGCTTCAACAGGTCTTCCAAACTGACTGGCCAATGCTTCGATGAAGTGCCTTCTAAAATCAATTAATGAAACAGCCTCAAGGACCTATGTTCAAGATATATTTATATTAATTTTAACAAAAAAAAAAGATATCCAGTAAACTCAAGAAAGTGGATATAAACTAATAGACACATTTTCAACAAACCTGTTTCTCAAGATATTCTTCCAGATTTGGAAGATATTCTGCCAAGCACCTTTGCAAAATAGAATAAAAATAAAAGCAAACACGCCATCATAAACTATCTCAATCTTGAATATCAATCATTAAGGGACAAATAGAATAATTAAAGTTGAAAAGCTTACATCCCATCCAACCAGGGTGGCAGCTTGACATCATCAATGGAAACTAGGGCTTTCAACTCAGAAGAAGATACTAACTTCAGGCGAGGAGCTGCAGGAGCAGACACATACTTTTTCCCAACAGGATACACAACCTGGGTTTGACCATACCATAAGCTGTTTACCCGAAAGCAAGGAAAAATTAAAATGAATGTTTAAAGAGAGGAAAGAAATTAACCTGTAAATATATCTTCTGCGAATGTCTCCAGGGACAACCAGACACCATCTTGTTTATGTTCATGTCCAGCAGGGGCACAGCAAATTTCACCTCCTGACTACACTAAAATGTAAAGTTACAGAAGTCAAGAATATTGTCCAAAGGCTACTTTAATCATACAAATATTAACACATTTTTGTGAAGAAATACCTTCTCAGCACCAGAAATCATGTGCATTTCTATTCCCTGCAGCAGAGCATTTCAGATAACGTGTTTGATTAAGTAAAAACTCAATTCCACCAACTGAACAAAGTATAAACCAAAATTCTGATGTGCCTTTCAAGCCACAGAGCTGTAAGGGCACACACTGCTCATGCTAATAAATTCCACAATTAACACAATCAAAGACATATACAAAGACAACAACAACCAAGCTCCATTTACGTAGGACCATCTAGGTAGGATCACTCAACGTCATATGGCTCTATGAAAAATCAAATTTTCAGTAAAACCAAAGACCAATAAGTTAATACTAAAATGATTTATATCTTCATACCATAGCATTCACTGAAGAAGAACGAAAAAGGATGATGGAATTCAAATGGATAAATAGTTAAGTCCAGTTCAGATCATTGCAATAACAATGGCATAGAAGTTTTTCTCCATATATAATAGCTGAGTGGTGTTTACCAGCATCTCTTGGATAAAATTTACACAAGACCTCAGTTCTTTGTTTCTTCTGTGATTTTTACTTCACCACTGTCAAGTCTGCCAGTGTAAACTTCAATGCCACCACTTACTCAGAATATAAATAGAACACATTGAAAAATAAAAACCACGTCTATTGACACAACACATGAAGCAACATCGAAAATCTCTTGACGCAAACCTCTGCCTCTACAAGCCACATATTTATTTCACATCTCCCAACATTTGCCTCCTCTTAAGTATTCACTATTCAAACTCAAATGTCTACATACATTTCGCAAGAAGGCAGCGACGTTAACATTATTTACCATTTCAACCCAAATCACCGTGCAACGCTTAACTAAGCTACAAATTCACAAAATTCAACCTCAAATTTCTGAATACTCGCAAGAAAACAGCAACGTGAAAAATTACCTCCCTGTTCAAAATAGTGCTGATTTCGAACTTCAACCGATCATCATCGACTTCTCCAACACGCTTCCTCTGGTACAACACATACTGATCCCTGTATAAAAAAAAAAAAAAAAAAAAAAAACAACAACAACAACGAATAAACCAAACGAAAATAGTCGAAGTTAACGGCAACGATTCGTTTCATTACCTCAAAAATTGAATAAGGTGCAAGAGACGCGCGGGGTCTTTGTAGTTCCAATCCGACAAACAGTTACTGAATTGGGAACTTTCTTCAACAGAAGGAGACATATGAAAGGGATGAAAACCATCATCTTCGGGGCCGAAAATAACATCGGGCGCAACCGTTGGAGACTCAGCGTTGTATATAACGTCCCCTGAAAGAAACAAAACCCTAACGAATCAATGTTTGCTTTGAAATAGAAAGAAAGGAACGTGAATATGTGGAATAGATAAATACACTTGATGAAATCCAAACAATAGGGAATGAGGAGGGTGAAGCGATCGAAGGAACCAGAATTGTACTTGTCACTGGACCACACTTGTTCAACCTGCGAAAATGCATAAGAGCAACAAAAAAAAAAGCCCTATTAGTGTTACTGTAACTGTGAGAATGAGAAATGGAGAGAACGCAAGAAAGCACTGTTGAATGCCTTTAGGGTGAGACGGAATTGAGAGAGAAGGTGATTGAGCTGAGCAGTGATGAAAGGAGGCACGTTTTCTGCACCTGCCGCCATTCTCACTTCACTGCTTCAACATTCACAACAATCGCATGAATCGATCAACAAAACCAATGCGTTCTTCTTAATTTGTTTTTCATTTCACGCTCCTATTTTTCCTATTTTTTATGATATATTCATGTAATAAAATTATATGCTAAATTATATAATACTTTTTTATATTATTTTTTTATTTTCTGTGTCATATATTGATTGTTGTATATTTTAGTTATATAATAAATAATAAATGTAATTTCTTTTCGTTTTTTTTCTTAATTTAATTAAAGCAATTTGTTAGAGATAGTTAATTAACAGCTATAAACAGTTATAATATATCAATTCTTATTATGATATAAAATATAAATAAAATATTATTTACATTAATAAATTACACATAATTATAATATATTATTTTTATTAAAATATTTTAAAATTTTAAAATAATAAAAAAAGAAAAAATAATTAAAAATATTTAATTAAGACTTAAATACAAATTAAAAATAATTTTATTTAATATATAAAATTATTTTGGTATATCAATTAAAATTACATATATTGATATAATATAAAATTTATAAATTATATATAAAATATGTCAATAATGAAATAATATATATAATAATAAAGTAAAAGGAATAAATATGTATATATAAGAACATAACAAAATTATTTTATAAAAAATAAAAAATATTTTATCATATTTTATTTTTTAAATTCTATAAAATTTTAAAATTTGTTATTCTTCAACTTGAATAGCATAAATAGTATTATATATTTTAAAAATATTATATATATATATATATATTAATGACAAATTAAGTATTAAAAAATAATTAAAATATAAAGAATAACTTGTTTAAAATATTTTTTAAAATTATAATAAAACTATTTATTTAGTTATGTAATTTTATTAGCACTATTAATTTTTTCTATCTTTTCGAAGAAAACTATTGAAGAAAATTATTAATGTAAATTAAAACTAAAGAGAGTTTATTTTTGCAATTGATTATTTGTAATTTTAAAATTATAAGTAAAACAACTAATTAAAAGGAAAATAGTTTTATATAAATAACATTTTGTACTCAGATAATATATCAATTTAGAGCATGTAATATTTTATGGTAAAAAATTTGTGATATTTATTTGATCCTTTTGTTTTTATTTTTTTAAATAACTATTTTAAAAATAATTTTTAATAATAATTTGCTACTTTTCTATTATGTATCTATGTAATATCCGATTTAATTCATATAATATGAGATAAAGGTTATAAGATATCTATACTTTTATTTATTATATGTTTTTAAATATCAATCTTACAAGTTTTAATTTTATAAATTTATTAAAAGATTATGAAAAATATAATATTACTGATTGACATAATTTGTTTATATTACATCTCAATTAAATTATATGACCCAATTTAGATATTATGTAAACAAATAAACAAATAATTTAATATCAATTAAATTTTTGTTGAATAAATTAAAAATTTATGATTTTTTAATTAAATTCTTCATAAATTTTTAAAACAGTTCATTAACACCTTTAAAGTGAATAAAAAGTACTTTAACAAATAAAAATATATTAATAATAGTTTATTTCAAATTTAATAATCAAGACTTTACCTCACCTCAAATTTATTATATATGTGTTTTATTCTTTTCATAATGTTTCTAAAATGTGCTATTTCACTTTAGGAGTTGGGTTATATTACGTAGAAAAGCATTCAATCAAAAGAATCATGAATGTCAAAAAATGAAATATAATTCTTTAAATATACTAAGCATAATTCATTTTTAACGTGTACATAATATTAATTTTGGTCAACGCATTGTCAACGTACATGCATAGATAGATAATATTTAATAATTTAAGACTCCTCTTCATTTTCGTGTACTAACTGAAATCGCAGCCACCCTTACCACGGTGACTGTAAGGCTCATACGCCTTCATTCAAAGAGATAGATAGTACGTTTCTTTTCGTTCAAACTTTCGAGTTTTTTTGTAATTAATCAACTTTCTTAGAATTTCGACCCTTGAAACTTTCGATTTTAACGATTTACACGGACTTTGGTTGAATTGAATTTCCAAAGTGCAGTGTTTGTTGCACGATTACTTGTATATGAATTGTGACTCTATAACATATGTGACTCTAACCCTTATTTTTTTGCTGCAAAATATTCAACATTTTCTCATACATAGTTACGGTATTGCAATTTTTCTTTTTGTGTGGTTAGAAATGGAAGTTTTGCTGCCAAAACTTCCTTCTTTCAAATTTCCAAGCCCTAGCCATTGCTGTTCAATCACTAGTAGGAGCTCATCGTGCGTCAGATTCGGGTTTCGACGCTTATCTTCTCTCTCTGTTTGTGCATCAACGGTTAATGAAGCAGTAGCTGAACCTTCCCTTGGTTCCCCTTCTTTGGGTCACTCCACTCGACCCCATTTCCCTATACTTCACCAGGTGTCTATTTTCTCATCTTATTCTCTATTTTGTTTTCCTAAATACAGCTTGTGAATCTTTGGAAGTGTTTGGGTTTGAATTTTTCAATTTGATTACTGTGTTGCATACAAATTTAATGCTACTTGATGGATGGACAAAGCATAACCCTCTTGAACATTATAAGAAGAAAGGGTGGTAAGGATGGAAAGTATTATACTTTTGACTCTTGGATGCTTAGTTATAGAAGGTCAAGAAATTATAGATTTCTAATTCATCTCCCCTTCTTTGCTCAGTGTCTCAGTAAGTGTTATAGAATGCATGTCTAACTATTATGTCTGTGCGTCCTTGTTTTCTGCGAGCAATATGTTGGCTTAATGGAAAAAAAACTACAAAATTCGCCAAACCAAAGTCTAAGATGAAATATCCAATCCTCATCACAATATCATACTATGAGACTCAGAGTAAATTGTTTTCCTTGATTTCTCTATGCAAGTAAGATCTGGAGTTTACAACTTGTGTATCTGACTAAGCATAATACTAGCTTGAGGAGATATACTTCGTGGAGAACTTTCAAATGTATATTTTCAATAGCTTATAGGTTATCTCCCATACTCCTTTGCTTATGCATATGACTGGATCATTTTGACGTGTCAAGACTCAATAATCAAAACAATACACATATAGTGCAATGTATAAGCAAGCCTTGGTTCCATTGCTTCATTATTAACTAATCTGCCTGTAATGCTGTTGCTGAGAAGTTCATTAATAAAGATATGGTTTTTCATTTGGTAATTTTCTTTATGCATATAATGCACAAAATGGGGTTCTGGTGTTTTTTTTTCTTGTATAAAAGATATTTGGTATAGGACAAAACTTATGTGTTGTTTACCAATTAAAATTAGAGTTTTACTTTAATAAAAATTTTGCATTTAATGTTATCGTATATTGTTTTGATTGGTGGACAGCACCAACAGCACTTAAGGAACTGTATTTAAATTTTGTCCTTTATATATTGTTCTGGCACATATTGTAAAGTTATGATGCTTCAACTCACTCCACAGGAAGTGAATGGCTCAAAACTCGTTTACTTAGACAATGCAGCAACTTCTCAAAAGCCTACCACGGTTTTGAAGGCATTGCAAAACTACTATGAAGCTCACAATTCAAATGTGCATCGGGGCATACATTTCTTGAGGTACTTATGTAATTTTTTAAATCACATATGCAATTTGGACACTTTATTTTAATTTCCTCCCTTCCTTCATTTATTGGGAGGCAAATAGACTCTCTCTCTCACACACACACACAGACATTTCTCTGTATTATTGCTTAAATAACCAAGTGCTTTATTGTACATCATTTTGATGGATGTAGCGCAAAGGCCACGGATGAGTATGAATTGGCTAGAAGGAAGGTTGCTTCTTTTATAAATGCTTCTGATTCTAGAGAGATTATATTCACAAGAAATGCTACTGAAGCTATCAATCTAGTTGCATATTCATGGGGCTTGTCAAATTTAAAACCAGGAGATGAGGTATTTCTTACCAGATTAATACTTTGATGAACCTCAACTCACTTAATTGTTCAACTAAATCTGAGATTATTTTGTGCAGCCTTTTAAAATTTGGAGAGAGTATTAAGGTTTAATTGAATATATTATAAGTAATTTTGAAGTATAAACTTTAATATCAGGATGATACATTGGCAATTTGTTTTTGAATCTCTTAATTCCATCTTTCTACATTTAGCATGATATTTTTGTTTATACTTCCATTCTCTTGTAAAATCTTCAATTTCATATATTATTACACAGATCATACTCACAGTTGCTGAGCATCACAGTGCAATTGTTCCTTGGCAACTTGTAGCTCAAAAAATTGGGGCTGCATTGAAATTTGTGGATTTAAACCAAGATGAAATTCCAGATGTAGACAAATTAAAAGAAATGCTCTCAAAGAAGACAAAAATGGTTGTTGTCCATCATGTTTCAAATGTGCTTGGTATGTTTCTCATAATGATTATTATCCTTGATAGTTCCAATTTACTGGATGATACCTTTAGTTTATGCTGTTGAAGATTACATGCCTCACGAGTTAATTTTATAGTTTTTTAACACTGATGATCTTCTGGTTTATTAGTAGCTCTATAAAACCCTTATTTATTTCACGTGTGCCATTTGGGAAGTTTTTTAAACCTGTTGCTACAGCATCAGTTATTTGCTACTGAAAAGAAGTGTCTCCTTGGCCAACTATCTGTGAAGTACTTAGGCCATGTTATTTCTTCAAAGAGAGTTGCTATGGATCCAAAGAAGGTCCAATCTGTTATTGAGTGGCCATGTTATTTCTTCAAAGGAAGTTGCCATTGATCCAAAGAAGGTCCAATCTGTCTTCGCATTTGAATTTCAGTTCAATAAGCTCACAATTCTCTTTGATAGGAATTTCATCCTATCACATATGGAGGATGGGTTTGATAGAAAATTGAGTAGGGCAATGATAACTAATAGTAAAGGTTTCAAAGAATAGAATTGGGGTTTATATGATAGATTAATGATAAGAGACTATTGAAGGTATTTTTGGTTTTTGATTTGATTAGTGTCATGGGTATTGTTGCAATATTCCTAGATATCAAGGATTTCTATATAAAATGCATTTTCCTATTCCAATATTAATTTGATTCAAGTTTGTGAAATACTCCTTTAGATATTAAAGTTTTGTATTTTTGGGTATTGTTTTTATGACTGAAACATAAATCTAAGCTACCTGAAATTAAAAATCCTGATACATAAACCCTATAGAAATGTAGCATTTGGGAATCAGATGCAATTGTTATGCTTGTGTAGGAGTCTTTAAATTTTTTTGTGTTGTTCTTAGATTAAGATTTAGTGGCCACTATGAAGATTTGGTTTTTGACAGAACATAATAACTTCATCTAATCCATATAACTGACTCGCCGAGTGAGAAAATGCTTTGGTTGGTGTTGTTATTCGAATTAAATAGATCTTAAATTTCAGAATTCAAAGTATCTCATACTTCTGCATTTTATATTTGAACATTCAAGATACTTGGGAGTGATGCTGCATACCATATGAATCCTTAAATAATGCAACTTTCCAAGCAATAAGATGCTGCTTAAGAGTTGGAGTGGTGGATATTTGGGTTCTGTTAGCAGTGCCTTTGAAATGAATTCATGGTTGACAGATTGAATGAGATGTAACAGTACATGTAAGCAGTTTTAATGATGACCTAGAAAGCAGGTCTCCAGTGGCATGATTTGAAAGTTATATTTGAAGAAAACATACTAGATATTGGAAAAAAATCTCAATGTTCAGGCCTACTTTTCCTTTGGAATTTGATGTAGAGGAGAGCCTATTCCAGAAAGTGAGAATTTTTTAATGTGGAACTTGTACTCTTTCATCAATCCCGTTGTATGGGGAAGGACAGTCCATCCCATCCTCACAGGGTGGACCAGACCCTGATATCACTTGACATAGACGATATCGTGCTAAAGCCAAACTGTCAAGAGGGGACAGCCTCTATGTTAAATGGGAGTTATGAGTCTTACCCAGTTGATGAGGGATTCTTGCTTGTATCAGCATTGGTCACACCTGTACAAATAGAGAAACTTTCTGAATAAATTTGTAAACTGGTAATTATATGATAGAGAACACTGCATCCATATAGACTTTCCAAAACTCATCTTTAAGGGATTTATAATTCTAAAGGGTTAAAGACTTCTTGCTAATATTAGACCACAAGCAATGCCTATTCAAATTACACCCGCTATGACTGTAAAAACATTAAAACTTAGTGCATATATGAATTATCTCAACATCCCCCCAATTAAGCTCTGTCCATGCCTTTTCAATCTGTAATCTCTTCTTAGTTGCAAAAATAGCACTTGTTAGTTTACTACTAGAATTTGTAGAAATGAGTGAGATTTCATATATTCTGTACTCTACTTTTATGTAGCTTTACTAGAATTTGTAGAAATGAGTGAGATTTCATATATTCTGTACTCTACTTTTATGTAGCTTCTGTCCTTCCTATTAGAGATATTGCACAATGGGCACATGATGCTGGAGCAAAAGTTCTTGTAGATGCGTGTCAGAGTGTTCCACACATGAGGGTTGATGTCCAGAGCCTTAATGTTGATTTTCTTGTTGCTTCTTCTCACAAGGTAGGATCATTTACATAGTTTTGAATTGGAACTCTTCAGGACCAGTAATAAGTTATCAAGCATGTGTTTCAGATGTGTGGGCCCACAGGCATTGGATTCTTATATGGTAAAATAGATCTGTTGTCTTCCATGCCTCCATTTTTAGGTAAGTTATAAAATCTGATTACTTACATCTCCCCATTAAATAGGAACAACTTACTAAAATGCATTAAAATAAAATTAAAGTTCCTGTTTGTTTCGGCATCATGTTAATGTGATTTTCTTTTGAACCTAATTTATTGCTGGCAATCTGTGTCTTACTTATTTTAGGTGGTGGTGAAATGATTTCTGATGTATATCTTGATCATTCAACTTATGCTGAACCTCCATCCAGGTTTGCTAACTTGTTTTTACTTTGACTTAAGCTCAGCTTATCTTAATGGATAATCTACACTGGCTTGGGTAGAGATCTTAAGTTTGATTCCCAATGTACCACAGAAAGTAGACGAGCATTAGTTAGTGCTGTACTACTTTGCTTTGGTGCATGCAAAATAGTTGCTTTTTCTTACATGGCTTTAAATTTTTTACTTTGGCTTTTCAATTGTCTAGCAAGTTAGCTTCTTTTTTTTTTCTTTTTTTTCAACAAGTTAGCTTGAAATTACCATTAGTCAATAAGGTAACAAGTGATACACGCAACATTAAAATTTGAAAATTAATAGATGGAAAATACTTTGAAGAAATTATAGGTTAGGAAACTTTTTTAAGATTTATTTAGTTATTTTCTCACTTAAGCTTTCTAGAAGTTTTCATCTCATTTGCTTTCCCTTGTTGAAAATTTTTTTCACTTCCTCATTTTAATTTGCCCGGCAACTTGATGCAAGACCATTACGATCTGGTTTTGGTGTCAATGATGTTTTAAAACCCATAAAATTCTTTGACCAGAAAATTGATTGTCAACCATTTAAGTGTTGTTATAAATAGTAGGCAAGTGATAAAAACAGTTTCTGTACTTATCTTGGGAGTGACCCCTGATGGTTTATTTTCTTCCTCACTTAAGATATAATCATTAATAATGTCTGGCCTCATGCCAAGCCACTTTTCTCCATTGTAGTAGTAGTTTCTCTCTACCGTTGTTGCATACCATCAGTTACTTGTGTCTTATTATTTGAGGTATTTGAACTGTCCTAGATTTGAGGCTGGAACACCAGCTATTGGGGAAGCAATTGGTTTGGGAGCAGCGATTGATTACTTATCTGGGATTGGCATGCAAACTATACATGATTATGAGGTGAGTTGAGCTTCAACCTTATAATGAACACTATTATTATCCAGTGATACATAACTTTTGAACCTTAGTTTTGTTGCAATGTCAATGTACAACTCTTTTACACTATCATCCAATCTTATGTTGACACCTGATCTAATGAGTTTGTGATAAGGTAGCAGAAGTATAGCTCTGTTTTATTAATATCAACACTGATATGGAGGACAAAATCAGTAGGGAAAGAAAAAAGATGCACCCTAAAAAGTTAACAGCAAAAGAATGAAATAATGAGAAATTCAAGGATTTTCTCCTCCACTCCTTTCCTCAGCACGACCTTTTCACTCTCCTCCCCTCTCTCTGTTGGCCTGTGTCCCATTCTGTTATTTTTAGCTCCCATTAGTTGATGATTAATTATACATGCACACTCATTTTTATACAATATCATGATAACCATTCACTTTTATATTTTTATCTGAATTCCCACTTTTCCAGGTGCCATTTTCTTCTTGTATTTGTTCAAACTTCAAAACACAGAAGCCCTGTTCTGCACAAGTGGCATACCTCTAATAATTGATGTAGCTTTTTCTTTACATGTGTCATCTTTGAATATTTGGGATCCCAATTTGCTTAACCATGGAGTGGCAATAAAGCCATGCGCTTAATGTCCTGATTTGCACATTTAAGCTGTTCAATTGCTTCCAAAATATATGATCTAGAGCCAACCGTTGGTCTATTCTTGTATTCAAGTTTAACTACTGATAGCAAACTTGTCAAATGGTTCAGTTTGGATAAATTTATTAATAAATACTTACAAGAGAGAAAAACGAAGAGGTAAAATCAATCAACTTCTTTTATAAGTTAAAATCACTTTATACACTTCCCTCATTTTAGAAGTTCTTTCATTTAACTTTGCCGAAAGTAGAAGTGTGTATAACTTGATTTTAACTTCTAGGGGAAGTTCGATTCATTTTATCTTCTTTTTCCTTCTCCTACAAGTACTTAGTCAAAAGTTTATCTAAATTGAGTCAATATGTGAGATTTCAGTTGTAATCAGTATGGAGCTGTGAAGTGCAGGTATGCTACTCATACCACAAAAAATACACACACACTATTCAATCATAAATACTTTTATAGCTGTGTGTATCTTAATAGTATGTATTGTTTAAATACCAATAACCTGTAGACAAACTTGATACCTGTTACAGATTGGAGAGTTCAATGTACTAATCATGTTCATCTTGATCAAGAGTTTCTTTTTTTGTCATCCTCGTTGTTTTACTTCTTCACTCCCCTCTTTTCTTCATTGTCATAATCATTGTTAGATGCCTCAATCTCATTAGCATTATACTCAAACCAATGCTATCCTTGTCCCATTATCCTTCAGTATCACCAAAATAACTAAAATCACAAACCAAATTACTGATCTTAAACCTGGTGTATTCATCGAATTCATTATAATATGATTGTGATCATCTATTACATAAGGAGCTAAGCTAGCTTATTATCTTTTGAGCAGAAAATTTTATTCTGTTTATTTTGTGATTGCAAGTAGTAATAAAAAACTATTAATGACGGAGCTAACCTGCCTATATAGTTCAACATTGTTTTTTGCTCCTTAATATAATGTTTTCATGTCTTTCATTACAGTGAGATAAATCATGTAAAATTTTGTGAACAGTAAGTTCCTAAATGTCAAAATTAATAGGTCGAGTTGGGTAGATATCTGTATGAAAGGCTTCTTTCAGTCCCAAATATTCGCATCTATGGGCCAGCGCCTTCAGAAAAAGTCCAACGAGCTTCTCTTTGTTCTTTCAATGTTGAGAATTTGCACCCTACTGATCTTGCAACATTTCTGGACCAACAGGTAAGAGGATAAATTACTATGTGTGTTTTTTCTTGCTCTTAAGATAGTTTAGTCTATATAACCAATTGTCAAAAAGCCTGAATTTTGTGGAAGAAATTGAGATAGCTAATGAACATGTTTGGAAAGTTTCCTTCCTTGAACTGTAATTAATTGGAGTGTATCATTTCAGCATGGAGTGGCTATCAGATCAGGCCACCATTGTGCCCAACCCCTTCATCGCCATTTAGGAGTCAGCTCAAGTGCACGTGCCAGTCTCTACTTCTATAACACTAAGGAGGACGTAGACAGTTTTATCCATGCCCTCAATGACACTGTCAGCTTCTTCAATTCATTCAAGTAATCAGAATGTATTTTTATGTATATTAAATTTTGTCTATACACCAATGAGGATTGGCTCGGTTGGTAGGACAAGTTGTGTCAACGAAGTGTTCTTAAATTCGATTTCTCCTGTTGATATAATTGGTAGGCATCCAATAATTTCAGAACGCCAACCTGTTTACCTCCTGAACTTTAATGTATACAGAAGATGCCACACACATTAAAATATTTTCCTCTCTTCGTCTTTGAAGGTGTATATTGTATCCACTATTACTTTAGATGGGAATCAAGCGGTATACAATTTGCTAACAGGGCTTTGCTCCTTTATAGTTCAGTTATATGCTAATAATCAATATCTATTATATCAAAGCCGTGTAACACCAAGTCAATTCGTTCAATTAAAATTCTTTCAACAAGTAGTTAATTTATTGTCCAACATGACAGGTAAACTATCTTCTTTGGGGATATGAATAAGAAATTCCCATGTGATGAGCATTGTGCCTTAGAAGGTCCACGGTGTAATTAAAAGAAGCACTAATAATAAAGGCCTGTCATACAACAGAACACCTTATTACTTTATGAGGATTCATCTAATCAGACGAATGCAACCGATTCTGAGTCATGTTGGGTAGAGTAGTAACAAACCCAGGGCCCAAGTTTGCATATCTTTCAACTGGTTAAATTTGATTCAGGTTGACCTGTTGACCAAAAAAAAAAAAGAATCAAGTTGACCTCATTATTTTTATCATTTCTTATTCTTGCAAACTATTAAAAAAATTTAATTTTTCATAAAAATATATTTACTAAAATTTATATTTTTTGCAACTGCTGATTCGATCCAACCTAATTGAATCAAAACTAGAGCTTAATTGGGTTAGGTTAAGAAAACTAATCTAATTTGAATTTAATTACTTAAATTGGAAAAAAATTTCTCTTAAATCTAACTCAACCCATAGTCTTACTAATGTTCCCTTTTTACTTTACAAATAAAATAATGTCTTTAACTTAGTTTTGAAAAAATGAAAATAATATTCTATTATTTTAGACTAAAGGTATTACTATCATTATGTTGGTTTTACTTTTTGCTCTTAATTCTTGTTCTAACATTAATAACGGAGAAAGAAATGGGTCTTGGGAAAGGCAAATCAAATTTAATTATATTTTTAAGTGAAAGTAATGCTAATAACATACTCTTTAATAATAATTTAATAGAGAAAAAATGAGACAAACATAATTTTTTCATAATTTTAAAAAAAGTTAATCAATAATTGAAATATACTAATAAATATATTATAGAATACAGTCTTAACTTTCCTTTTTATTTAATTAGTATTTACATTGTTAATTAAAGCACTTTAGAAAACCTATGTAAAAAATAAAATTTAAATACTTTAAATATCTCTAATTACTACATCAGTTGTATTATCAATTTTGGAACTAATATTAAATACCATATTTAATCAATTTAAAATGTATATTTTTTTTGGGGTCAACAAAATGTGATTTCTACACGTCGTATTAACGGAGAAGACAAATAGAATTTGCCTTACCCATTTCGCAAGCAGGCCAGCGAACAAAAACATATGCAACACAACCCCGCCCAGCAAACAATAAGAACACGTGGGAACGAAACGTTGGTTTTTGAAGTCATAAAAAGATTGGTGCTAATAACAGGCACGAACAAAAATTGGTGGAATATTTGATAATGAAACTCTTGACAAAATACAATTATGGCATAGTGTTGTCTTTAAGTTTCCTTTGTGTGGTTAGTTCATATAACAACAGAGAAGACGGGTCATCCACTCTATGTTGTGGCACATCACCCACCTATCTGTTAAAAACAGGAATCTTCATTTATTATAATTCACTATGTGAACCCAATTAGACCCGTGAGATATACGGACCACACTAATACGAAAAATTCATGATAGCAACACTTTTTTAAAATGTTTTTTTTATAAATTCTAATTAATAAATAAAAATATGTTATAGAATATATTTCTTGCGATAAATGTTTTATCCTCTTACAATTTCAGCCTACGGATAATTTTATTCCATAAAATTGACACATATTTTAAAAAAGATACAAAATAATTAATATTTTTAAAAAATACATATCACCTTTTTATGAGTATTCTGCGAATATTGGTGGGGACAAAGCTGAGTAGGATGTTTAACTTGCTTTATTCTTACACGTGCCTTGCATGAATTGGTACTGTGGGCATCGTACTCCTTGCACTTGTACGTCGTGGGCACGTGAGAATTATCAATGAAGTAGATGTTAGTGTGTAGGAAAATTCTATGAGGATATGATTAGGGATAAGGCCATGGTAGGTTTATTTTAAATTTTGATATTTATTTAAATTCTAAAAGATAAATTATTGGCTAAAATCAAATAATCTAAAGTATTTATTAATTTATTTTTCATATAAAATTTATTTATCCAATAAAAATATTTAAACTAAAATTTTAATTAATTAAATTTATATTTTATAAAAAAATTATTAAATGATATAAATATGTAATTTTGACATTCAGTATTAATACTGTGACACTCGTGCGTGTAATTGAGAATGACAATACATTCTAACTCTCAACTATCAATACGAGTCCATTTGTTTTACTTTTATTTGAAACAATGTTTTTAAAAAACTTTAATGTATTTGTTTGAGTCTTTCTTTAAAAAAACCAGAATATATTTTTAAAAATAATTTTGGGTACTTTTTTTATAAGTGTAACTAATTTAATTTTAATACATTTTTAAAATCACAGTGTTTTTCTACTTTAATTTAAAAGATTAAACAAACAGATCATATATATATCGCTGTCGAAAACAAAAGCAATCAAATGTATCAATGACTAACATATGCTATTGATCTATCGAAAGACTAGTGTATACAATATGTCTTCTAACATAGTTAAATCACACTGAGATGTCATATACATATCATCATAGAACACCAAATATACAGATTAATTATATTTGGATTTCATCATAAAATAGGTTATGTGGCTGTCAAATTGTGTTTGGATTAATTGTCTATTTCTGGAATTGATTTTTTTTATGAAGTGTGTATATTTAAAAATACGTTAAAAATAATATAAACGTGTTTCCAGTACAAAATTTATAATTAATATAGTATTTAAATAAACGTGAATTCAAAAACTTTTTAACATGAATCTAAACATGTTAAAACTTTTTATACTCTCTTGTATCGGATTCAATAGGTCAAATTGCAGGGTAGCAATATATGTAAAAGTTCACGGAGGTAGAGAGAAGACTTAGCCAGCATTTTTTAATGTTTAGCATGTGTATTCTTCATTCAACCATACAATGGGTTTAGAATGAAATTTCTCATAATCCAAAAAAAATCTTAATCAAAGGAGAGAAATAGTAATGTGGTATATTAAAAGTAAGAAATGCTATTTATCTCAATTTTTTTAACTTTGTCAAAACTGTGTATACCTACTTCTATGTTTTCATATTTCTTTTATTGTAGAAGTAATGAAAAAAATGGTAGAAAAGGTTGAAACAATGACTAATTTCAAGTTGATGATAAAACTTATTTGGAAATATGAAAAAGTGTTTTAAATAAGAAATATTTTCACGTTTTAAAAGATTTTACTGTAGTTAATGAAATGAATGACACTTGATTTAGAATTCATGTTTGATTGTGTGGATTGACACGTAATTTTAGCAAATGGGTCAAATGTTGAAGATACACCACTACTCATTCATTATTGTGGTAATGATGCTGGAATATTGTCTTTTGTGATTGGTTTTTCTTAGGATTAGTCTTTCCCTTTTGTCAACCACTAAGAACTATAACTTTATTTATTTATTTTCATTTTATGCCATGTTATTTCCCATCAAATTATGGAAAAAACTAACAAGCTTTTTTTTTCTTTTTTTTTCATGTGAAAGCAAATGGAATCTTATTGCATATAAATTTGAAAAAAGATTTCATAACGTACCATTCGATGCATCTGCTTTATTTAACTAAAATATTAGTAATAGATGTATAATGAATCAATATATGATAATAACCATAGCTTAGCTCAGGGTAGTGAGGTACATAAGCTTAGACAAATTCTAGTTTGTTGTAATATGGACACGTAATAATTTTATGTTAGTTCTTGTGGGGATTGGTCTTTCCCCTTATGTCAACCAACAAGCACTTGAACATCACAATTTTTGCATTCAAAACAGCATGACCTTGCAACTTCTTCATCAAGTGTCAATTAAGAGCTCTCAATTTCACAACTTCATCCTCCATAGACGTAGACTTTTTTCTTCTCAAGAGTGTGAAACTGACAAGCGAAAGTGTGAGGGTGTTGTCACGGAAAGAAGATGAGGAACATGAAATTCAGAAAAATATAAATTTAAATTTTCCTTATTTATGATATAATAATAATGAGCTGAATTTTCATTATTTAACTCATTACTTAGCAGAGTACATATGACGGTAGAAATTAAATCTTCACATCTTAAAATTATTAAAGATTAAAATTTAACAATTTTTTTAAGGACTTATTCCAAAAAAATATTACTTTTATAAAAAAAAAACATAATTAAGCCTATAAAAATATTAGTAACATATTTTTTAAAATATATTTTTTAGTATTAATTAAAATATAATAAAAATCATAAAGTTAGGTAAATTTTATTTTTAATTTAATAATACTACTAGCATGTTTATAATTTTCATACATTTTATTCAATAAATTAAAATACAACAAAAAATAAATTTTTATAACTTTTTTTTTTATGTACGATAAAAATAACGACCTCTTTTTTAAGTCTGTCATTTGTATAATGACATTGTGAAGGCGATGCTGGGTGGAGAAATGTTATATCCTGTTTTGCTTTCAATTGTGTGTGTATATATATATATATATAATATTGTTTGTTTTTCTGTTTGCATGTTAAAATTATTCTATAGGTGTTTCAAAATGAGGCTTTATTATTATTATTATTATTATTATTGGAGAAAATGAAAGTTCATATATATTCAGACAAATAACTACATTTACTTTCATAGTATGCTTTTCATATTTTTTTTATTAGCCAAAGAAAAAACCATAATAAAACTTTCCATGCATGCCACCTTTGGTGGAGATGTTATACAATCTATCTCAGTGAAAATAAAAATGTTATAATTCTTTTGATAGACACATCAGCCTCATTAATTTGATATTGTCGTTTGTAGCTATTCTTATTTTTAACAGAAAAATTATCTTCACTTATCCATTAAAACAGAAAGACACTGGATCTTATAAATATCATAAAATCCATATATATATTTTTCTCTCTTATGTCATAAACTATCCAATACACAAAAGGATCCACCCCTTTTTCAACGCATCCTTGATCCTTCTTTATATAATAGATAATCTTTGCTAACAACAGTACCCTAGTATTAAACATAGTTATAATTCATATAAATTGTTTTAAATTTATAACAAAATTTTTATTTATTTTATATATATATTTTTAAAAGTTTATCTAAACTGATTGATCGTGTCATGAATTTTTCAACGTCTAGAACTTTAAAATTACTTTGTTTGATTCGTGAACTTGAATGCCATGTTTTTATTAATCACTCTTTTCAAACGTAAGTTTTATTGAAAAAGTAGTGTATTTATTATACTTTATTTTAATACAATAAATATTTTATTTTTACTAAAATTTTATTACATTTAAATGTTTAATTAACTCAGTCATTGTATAATTTGAAAAAAAAAAACTTATACGGATAATAATAAAAAAATATTTTTATTTTTATTTTTTATGCAATATTTCTGTTCTACGCTTTTTTCTACAGGCTTGTCATATTAATTACATGCACATCACATATAGCTTGATATGTTCCATTTCCCATTCTTTCATTGTCTTCACTCTAGCCAACTTGAACCATTTTCTCCTCGAGAACAAAACCATAAATCTTATAAGACAAAAGCAATAGCTCGTTTCTTGTAATTTCTATGGTTTTATAAAGTAAGAATAAATCCTTTTAAGTTTTTTTTTTATTTTCTTTTCTTTATCTAAGTTTATGGATTTCCTTAAAAAACAAAAGAAAACATAATTTTTAGTTAGATCTTTACAGAAGATATATAAAAGTAAATAGTTTTTAGATAAATGCAATTTTAAAGGCTAAATTTTATAAAATAATTAAAAACAATTTATGATTTTTTCTTTAAATTCTCTTTAAAAAAATTCATATAAATACATTTCATATTTGTTTTGTTAATATCAGTCTTTAAGATTATATTTAAATATATAAATAAAATATTTATTATAAAAAATATAACACTGTTACTCTCTTTTTATAATACGTGCCCTACGGCTTTTTGTACTGGCTTGCATATTAATTCCGTTTCGCTTTCTTTCATTGTCTTGTCTGTAGCCAACTTGCACTATTTTCACCTCCACACCAAAACCATAAATCTATATAAAACAAAGCTCATAACTCGTTTCTTTTCATTCCTATGATTATATAAAGCTAATCATTAAATGCTTTTAATTCTTTTTGTTTGACCTACACATAAAGTACCATTAGCATCAAATTATAGGTTTATATACGAAAATTGCATTTTTTTTCCCTTTTTTCTCTTTTCTATTTTGCACTTCTTTCTATCTCATACACTCACAAAATAGACCGTACAGACTAACATTTTCCTGTCACCTGCATAAATTTGATTATCATTACTTGATATAACCATAACTAAATTTCTTCAATTTTTTCTTTCAATTGGACTGCATCATTATATATAGACTATATTTGATAAAATGAGTTGTAGATAATTAAAAATTTATGATTGTATAACTAACTTGTAAAATTAAATTGTTTGGTAAACTAGTTATATAATTGACTAATTTATGTTAAATGAATTAAAAGAATATAAAACTTAAATGAGATATAATTTATTTTAACATACTTTATTGATAAAAATAATATTATTAATTCAAATAATAACTTAAATTTATTTTTAAAATTATTGATTTAATATGTTAAATCAATAAAAATTACATTAACTAATTTATATAATTTATTTCTTAATTTTAAAGGTATTATTTATCTATTTAATTTTTTGATAAACTATATTGTTAATTATTAATGAAAAATAAAATAAAGAAATGAAAGAACAAAATAATTAATGTATTCAAGTTTTGATTGTAAAAAAATAACAATAAATAAAAATGTAATACAAATATTGTCAATTATTTTTTAAAAGCTATACTTTTCTTTAGATAATTTTTTAAAAAGTTAATTTTTTTTTATTTTATATTTATCAAATGACTCTATAAATTTATTAATTAAGTCAATAAATTACAAATTCTTAAATAGGCTGCAACATAACTATAGTACTATCGTACATTTCTACAATGATATTTGCACTCATTACTAATCATGTAGAAGTTTCTTTGACAACGTTAGTAATTTTCAAAGGAAGTTGAAGGCACATCCTTGAATTTCTTCTACCCTTTCTACTTAAACTTCAGCCTCTCTGACTCAAACTTTAGTTTCAAACTATTTGAACTTTCCTGAGTTATCAAAAATCTTCTCCCCAAATCACAACTCGCTTGTTTTCCTTTAACATGTCGCTCACTAACACGAGTTATTAAGATTTTATTTTAAAAATAAAAATTTAGGTTTGCAAGTAATATTTATTAATTGTTGTTCTTTTATTTATATAAATTTGCAAATGATTATAGAACATTAATTAATAAATTAATAAACAATATATTTTTATTAAAATTTACTATAAAAATATATTAATAATATTTTATAAAAATATTTAATTCTTTAATTAATATCATAATCATGCTTATTATCATTTTTATTTATTTGTTTGAGATTTTTAAAATTATATTACTTAAACCATTTTAAAAATATCTACATTATATATTTATATTTTATTACACTTATTTATATTTGTTTTCTCCCTAATCACATCAAAAGTTTTGGACATTTATTTGATTATTATTTATTCACTAATATACTGAATTAATAGGCATGAAAAATCTGAGAATATGCATACAAAATCCTTTAGCTTATAAATACCCCCTCTCACACAAACCGTTCCAAATCACCACCACGACTCCTCCTCCACCTTCACCACTACCTCTCAATCCTCTCACTCTCTCTCTCTCTATCTCTCTCTCTCTCTCTCTCTCTCTCTCTCTCTCTCTCTCTCAAACGAAAATGGCAGCAAAAACTCTGATTGTTCTGTTGACATTGTACATGTTGAATCCAACCTCAGCCAAATCAACAACCTTCAATGTGGTGGACTTTGGAGCCACACCAGATGGCGTAACGGACTCGACGGAGGCGTTCTTGAGCGCATGGAGCAAAGCATGTGGGTCACCGAAACCCGCAGGGATTCACGTTCCAAAAGGAGAGTTCTTATTAGGAAGAGCCGTTGCGTTCAGTGGACAATGTGCGAACAACGCTATCTCCATAACCCTTCGTGGCACTTTGCTCGCTCCTTCTGATTATCGCTTCGTTGAAGACGCTGACCATTGGTTGACTTTTGACCAAGTTAGCGGCGTTTCCATTCACGGTGGTACTCTTGATGCCCGAGCCTCTTCCCTTTGGAATTGCAAAACCTCTACCAATTCTAAATGCCCTGTTGGAGCCCCGGTACGTCTATTTTTTTCCCTCAATATCAATGCCAATCGTTCAAACAACTGCTTCCAACTTATTCTCACTTACACTGTTCCTCATAACTGGATTGTTTAAAAATGATAAAAAAAAATTATGCAGTTGATTGAGGATATTTTTAGCTATATTTAAATATACATAGAACATACGTGTATATAAATGAGAAATAATAATAATAGTAATAATTATATTCTATTGCATGAAACATTAATCTGAATAATGTAAACAACATAATTATTTGAAAACACTGGATGTCATGCTGTTACGTGACTTTAATGGGTGTTAAGGTAACAGTGGGGATCATGAGACTGTTTGCAACCGCTCACTGGGTCTGTGGTTGGTGTGAAGTTGAAGAAAATGACAAATGAGGAAGTCCAGAATTCGGATTTTATGTATTAAAGATAATATGCATATTTAAATATGTATATATAAATATTATTACTTTGCATCTCACTACACCAATAGTAACCTTCTTTCACTTCTCTAAATTCAAATCTGAAGGTCCGATGCAATAATTTATGATATTGAAAAATGTTTGATAAACATGCTTAAAAATGAGAAGATGTGTGAAAAATAATAAATAATTACATGTGATAAGATAAGAAAGAATATTTTTGTTGTACATTTTTTTTAAGTGCAGGAGCAGAAAGAAGGAAAAGATTGAAGGTATGAAATGTAAAAAATATTATAAATACATTGAGATTATAAAAAATAATTTGAATATTATTACAGGTACATAAATATTATTATTGGATAATAAATAAATAATGAGAAATTATTTGATAAAAAAAATAAACAGACAAATGTAAAATAAACAGTGTGCATCGTCATCACGTCTGTGAATCAAAATTTTACAAATAGGTTTTTTTAATGTTATTTTAAGAAACTAAAAACAAAATCTTTTATTTTAAAATTATTAAAATATTTAATGTATATTCTTATAATAATTTAAAATATTTAATAAAATATATTTAAAATGTACTTTTAGACAAATTCTCTCCCTGGTGAGATTTTGCTGTGTCCAAACTGAGGGTTCGGTTTTCTCGGAAATTGCATTTGTAGGACCCAACCGGGTGACGAGAATTTGTGGGTCCACTCAATAATAGATCACGAGGAACCAAATATCACTTTTTCTTTTTCCTGTAATAATCGCTGACACACCCACGTAAGGGCTTGTTTAGTATACATAGAGGCTCTAAATTGACGTGAATTGGAGAGCGAAAAGAGAAATATGAAATAAAAAATGTGATACGTAGTATGATAAAAAAAAATGGATACTAGATATTAGAGGAAGTGGTTGTGAATATATAGCATTAATTTATTTTTTTTTATCAAAAGCATTGTTAATGCGTCATTTTTTAAATAGAAAAGCTTAAAGGATGACAAGTTTGTTTATGTGATCCTTCTGAGCGTGTTCACTCTCAAGTTTCTTTGTTTCGACGTAACTTGGATTGTTTGTGGGAAAATAATGACAAAAAAAAGGAAGTAAAGAGAAAATAAGACAAAAGAAAACGGCAAGAAAGATGAAATATGTTTATATATATATATATATGTCATTTTCATTGTACTGAAAACTGTACCTAACTCTTGTTCACTCTCTTCCTTTATTTTCATCTCTTCTTTAAAAATATATATGAACAATTAAGGTAGAAAAAGATAAAGACTTACTTCAATCAAACACTGATATAGCTCACTCCTTACTTCAATCAAACAATTCTGCTGACATAACCATTAACCATGCACACGCTCTTTGCTACTTTACATAAAGGGTTTAGAGTGTGTTTTTAATTATTAATTTTTGTGTGAAAGAGCAGTCACTTAGATTTAGAAGCTCGGACCACGTTGTTGTGACTGGATTGACCTCTCTGAATAGTCAACTGTTCCACATACTGGTGGATGAATGCCACAACGTAAAATTGCATGGAGTGAAGCTCATGGCTGATGGAAACAGCCCTAACACTGATGGAATCCATGTCCAGTTCTCCACTGATGTCACCATCCTTAAACCTAGAATTCGAACTGGGGACGATTGCATCTCTATTGGCCCTGGCTCTAAGAACTTGTGGATCGAAGATGTTGCCTGCGGACCTGGCCATGGGATAAGGTATTTTTCTTCTTATTGGTAGCTTTTTCTTATAAAACTTCTTTAAAAATTTATCCAAACTGAATCATATTTTAATATAATAATATACTTTTATATTAAAAGAATAATCATAAAACCTCCTATCTTTATGTCTATAAAAGCTCATAATTATTAAATATATTTTATATTTTTATGATAATCCGTATGTATATCATTTAATATTTATTTTATAAAACAATGAGAAATTTATTAAAAAATATGTAGAGGATATAACAAAGCTTGTATTATAAAATTTAGGTTTAGCAATATATAACTTTTGGTATATATTACAATTCCATTTAATTTATCAATTATATGAAATTTTCAAATTGATTAAGTTAAGAGATAATTTTTTTAAAGAAATTTTATCATATAAAAAATATAAATGTATAATGACTACTTTCATTTTTAAAAAAACAATAGTTTTATTTAGATGATCAAATTAAATTAATGAATTGATATTAATATTTTTAAAATTTATATATTGTTATTGTTTACTCAAATTTTGCGGCAGCATTGGAAGCTTAGGATGGAGCTTGGACGAACCTGGTGTAAAGAATGTGACAGTCCTAAAGACAACATTCTCTAAGACTCTAAATGGTTTTAGAATAAAGACTTGGGGGAGGCCAAGTGATGGATTTGTGAATGATGTCCATTTTGAACATGCTAGCATGAATGATGTCCTAAACCCCATTGTAATTGATCAAAGTTACTGCCCTTCCTATAGTGGCTGCCCTACTCAGGTGAGTTTTCTCTTTGGGTAACTTTTGGTCCCAAGATAAAAATATTAGAAAGTGTTTATTTTCCGCTTTAAAAACAGTTTTCTTTTTTTAAAAATAAAATTCAATTCAAATTTGTATTATATTTTATTTATAAAAACAGTAATAAACATACCTAGTATATAATTTTAGTTTAGTAATCGTTTTTGTTTTGAATTTAATTACATAATTTTTTAATTGCTACAGTAAATATTTTGATCAGTTTCTCTCCTTAAAACTTTCAAATCCTGACTTTTATTCAAGTTGTCCATAAATCACCTGATTAAACTATTTTGAATTCTCTTTTGGTTGAACTTCATCAATCCAACCATTAATTTCACCCACAATAAGAAAATCTTCAAATCTCCCCATACCCTGCAAATTTTTCCAAATTTCGTTAAGTTTCTATAGTTACCAAATTTTTAGATTTCAAACCATTAAAATTATTTCTTATTTCAAGTACTAAATCCTCAATTATTTAAGTTATAAATAAAGATTTTACAGTTTTTATACAGAGAAAAAACAGTAGAACTTAACTAAGAGTAGAACTTAACTAAGTTTTATGGGAGACTCGTTTAAATTTTTGTAAAAAGAGAGAAAATAAAAAAAAATCATAAATTTTACAAGGGATCAAATATTTAATTAAACACAAGATTACTAAAAGAACAAATCATATGACAACTTGTAAGTGATGAGATATTTCTATGAATTTACTTACAGGCCTCAGGAGTGAAGATAAGTGATGTTTCATACAAAGACGTTCATGGAACATCTGCATCACCTGTTGCTGTGAAATTTGACTGCAGTTCAGAGAAGCCATGCGAAAGGATAACGTTGGAGGATGTGAAGCTCACTTACAAGAACCAAACTCCTCAAGCTTTGTGTAAGCACGCGGGTGGAACCACAACGGGTACAGTTCAACCCAGGAGTTGCTTTGGAAACAATAATTAATCATGTGCTAAAATTCAGATGTATTTTTTAACTGTATTATTTCCTTCTGATCGAAACAAATATTTATTTTATTAAAATTAATAAATAATAGTTATATGTTATAATTTTATATTTTATTATAAAAAAATTATAGTATTAAATGATTAAATTAATATTTTATGTTAAATGAATAAATAAATATATTTATTTATATCAGTAATGAATGATTGTCACATTAACACAAATTTTATAATAAATAAAGTATAAAAATAATTTAATTTAAATATATGTTTAGTCCTTGCATTTTACTGAATTTTTAGTTTTGGTCTATTTAAATTATTATTTTTTTAGTTTTGATTCCTATATTTTAGCAAATTATCATTTTGAGTTTTTTTAGCTTTGACACCATCTTAGTAAATCAAATCAACAATAGGGACTAAAAATAAAAAAATATGAAAAAATAATAATTAAAACAAAAGAAATTGAAAGGACTAAAATAGAAAAAAATGTTAAAATATAAGGATTAAAAATATATTTAAGTTAAATAATTTAAATTATATACATATAAAAATAAGGCTTTGTTTTTTGTAATTAAAAAAACATTGATATCATTTTTGTATAAATAACACTGAAGCTGATTTTGCAAGACCAAAGAGAATGCTGTGTCAAATGTGAATGTTCTCCAAAGTCATACTCATAGGACAAGATAAATACAGTCTACACCGTGCAGTTTCTTCATAGTTTGTCTTGGGCTGGTTTTGGGCTTCGTTTCTTAATTTAATGAAGTGTCTTCGACAAAAACAAAAAGAGAAAAGGTTGCTAGCATAAGCCTATGATGTTTGTAGTCCATCGAGCCACTTTGAAAATCAATTTTTATGGCAGGATTATATTAACACCACAATCAGTGCATATGTATTTCGATTATATGTTTCGAGGAACATGTTAAGTATTGGTTAAAAAAAATTAAAATAAAATTTATTGAAAGGTATAATATTGTATTTTTTTGCAAATTTTTATGTACTACTAATGTAATCTTTAACCAAAAAAAAAAACTTTTATGTTTAATTATTTTTTATAATTTTTAAATGTGTTTAAAGATATAAAAAAATTATAAATAACATTTTTTTATTAAAAATATAAAAACTAATTCATCACCAACATTAAATGTTATAACTTTCAATAAAAAAATTACTATATATTAATTTCTTGTTGTATGTCTTCAGACACATTAAGAAAAAAGTTACTTTTGTCTGGCTTAAATCTGTCTCTTGTTAAATTAATATACAGTTTAGAATGCCTTTATATGGTTCTGCATTCGTAATAAATTGTGGCATCCTTTACTCTACACGAAGAATTTGCCTACGATTTCCGTGGCATGTATCTTTAGTCAATTTGAATGAAGAATTGCATCATTCATATAATATTTTTTACAACGCTATATTTTAGATTGGCACTGTTTTCTCCACATAATTCATACTCTGCTCTCACTGATTCCTTACAAAATGTTGATGGTTTGACCGTTTCTCATACTCCCTCTCTAAAGTTTAGTGCAACTACATATCATCAATTAGTTCTGATTTATAGTGGCAACTTGCTCTGCCTAATCAAATAAAACTATCAATGCCTACAGTGATTGATTAGCACGCCAAATCCATGATATGTAGTTGCACTAAACTTTAGATTTAAGAAAGCCAAAAATCAAAGAACAAAAAATAGCACTCAAGTAGATTGTAAATCTCAGCCAGAACAGTGATGCAGTACAAATGTTCAACACTTCAACTAGTTAAAACCTAAAACTTAGTTACATATTCTACAACAAAATAGATGAGCACAACTTAATAAAATGGGACCTGTGCTACAAAAGGAACTATTTACTTCAACAAAAAGTAGCTAGATGTTTAGAAAGTTGTATTGTGAAATTCACATAAGACTTCATTTCACTTTTGATGATATAAATAATATAATCAAAAGCATACCAGATTGCTAGAAAACAAAGGAAATAAAGGGCAGTGTGAGTGCTATAATTCGGAAAACATTCTCATGCTCAATTATGGAATGCAGTCACCAACTGAGAACTAGGGCTTCAGGATTTGTAGTAGTGACAAATTAAATGACACCTCAAATATTAAGCAAGTAAATTGTGATTAGATAGACATAAGAAAACTTTGAGATTGATCAACAAATTGTAGTCAATTTCTTATATATGCCTGATGTATTCAATATAAATCAAGTTAGATGAATTATATTCATGAAAATAAACCGAATCAAGTAAAATTGCTTTCAAACATCAATAGAGAAACCATAGCAATTGTTCAAAAGAAACCAGAATGGAAGATCATTATTCATGTCTAAATCTAACACGCCTAATAGAAATACTCAAATAATCAAGGGTTTTCTCTCAGTAATGTTTCTTTTTTTCCCTAACTATTCTTTTCACCTTCAATTTTCTTTGCTTTCTTTGCGGAATTCGCCTGTGAATACAGGAATGTTCCAAGAATAGCAATGGCAGATCCAAGGGCATTAAGTGGTCTAACAGGATTCCTGAACACCAAAACTGAAGAAACAATCACCACCACTCTCTTCATTGTGTTTCCCACTGAAAAAGTTAGTGGGCTAATTTCATCCAAGGCTTGGTAAGATGATTGATTATATAGATGGTAGAACACACCAGACACCAAAACCCATATATAAAATGTGGATGGTTTGCTTATAGCTTCTATTGCCTTGTAATACCCAGGAATCCACTGTGATCCTTCTACAAAAATAGCCACTGGAAACAGGTAGAGCAATGAAACTATGGTAATCCAACCATACAAGTTCAAACCATCAACTTCCTTGAAATTCTGTAAACTCCTTTTAGAATAGATGTTCCTCAATACAAAACCAACATTACTAATGAGTGCACCCCACAATCCTTGTACATTGAAAGACACCTCAGTGACAGCTGCTAAGGAACAACCAAGCACAATAGGTAAAATTGAGAGCCAAACCTGAATGGGGTATCTATCACCAAGGACAGAAGAAAACATGACAGAGAAAACAGGTTCTGCTGATTTGATGACATGGGTGAAGGACACAGCAACCTTAGAGAATGAAACACAAGCTGATATGTGTCCTATTGTGTGGAACAAAGCAGGTCCAAGGAGAGCAATGATGAAAGGTTTTGTGATTTTTGGACAAGGTTGAAGCTTTAAGGTCCAGAGGGCCAACATCCAAATGGACCCAACAAAGAGTTGGAAAGAAGCAAGAAGCCATGGGAATGGGAATATGTTCAACACTTTCTTGTTGTAAATATTGAAGACAATGTTTTGGAAGTACCATAGCCCAAATACTAGAGCAAGTTTGAGATTCTTAGATTTGGGATTACTGGGGACAGCACCTTCTCCCTCAGGATTAACATTAGATGCTGCCTTAACAATTTGATTTCTGGGTTTTGCTAAGAACTCAAAAGGGTGTGAAAGGAATCTGTTAGAACAGCTTAAATTTGTTATAGAATGTTGGATCCGAGATGTGTGCATGAGAGAAAGATTGGAACTTTTGAGACCTGATTCATGTGGCTGAGAAATGGTTCTGCAACAGTGTAGGTTCTTCTGAGACTGAACCCTGCTGAGAAGATTTGGTTTGAGAATGGGAGGTGCATTTATGAAACATTGGTGACTTGGTTTGCTGAAAGTGACAGAGGATGATGATGGAACAACATTCAAAGATAGCATTTTTGTGGCTGGTCCTGCTTCAGGCAGAAACAACTGAGACAATGGGAAGCGAAAAGAGAGAACTGGATTCTGAAAAGAAGAAGAACAAGACAGGTTTTAAGACTTCAAAACTTCAAAGGGATTGACGTCCTTTTTGAGAGGGCACACACAATGGAGATGACCTACAAACAAGCCCGTCAATAAAACCTAGTACAGACAGCCGAAGGTACAATTTTGTCCCTAAACTATGTTCATTGAAAGTTATTTAACATTTAAACTTACTTTGGTTTTATGAAAAAAGATAGAAGGAAAAAGGGACGAAAGAAAAAAGAATTGAAAAAAGGTAACTTTTATGGTTTATGTGTCATTAATTGATTATTTTTAAGGTAAAAAAATTATTCTAAATTTTTATTATAGTTACTTAGAAAGGATAAAAAAGGAACTAATAAGAAAAAGACAGCTGATTTAATTAAAAATCAAATCAAACACACTTATATTCAATCTATTTAACATAAGATTTTAGTTGTAAATATGTGAAATCTTTGTTAATTAGTGTCTTTTAAAGATACAAATTATGAAATTAATAAATAAAAAATTATTACAAATTTCAGTATATGTGTATTAATAAATGTTACATTTTTTATAAAAAATATTTTATAATATTCTTAGAATATTATTTAATATTTTTTATATTTTATGGTTCTGTACTTTGAAACTTTTCAATTATTGACACTGCCTTCTTTTTTCATTTTTAAATGTAGATTATATTCTTCAATTGATGCATTATTTTTTATGGAATGTCCTTTATAGTTTCTTTTTATATTGAAGTAATAACTTTTAATGTCTAATTTATTCTAGAAAATGTTATTTAAAGTTTTCAAAAAGGAAAAATTATAACATCAAATTTGGAAATTACATCTTTTTTCTATCAAAAGAGAAAAGGTATATCTCATTTTTTGTCTGTCTAAAGGCATGAAAGTTTATATATATATTAAAAAAAATCATTGGAATGATTTATAACAAAGGTTGAATAGTTTCATACAGCTTTATAGGTGCTGGAGTCGAGGAAATTCTAACAACATTCAGCACGTTCTTCAATCTATTTTGCAACAAAGGTTGAAAAGTTATATCTCCTGCAAGAAAAATCCAAGGCATTCCACAAAGCACCACAAGGAGAGAGACACCCTAAACCCAAAAAGCTAGTACTGCAACAGTACCCATTCCACCGTGATTACGTCATTGCTCCTTGTGGTTTACAACCGTTAGAGACTGAAGAGTAAAGCAGAAATTATGAGTTGAAAAGGGGCGAAGGAGAAGAAGAAATTGCTAAAGTCATGGACTTGATGAAGAAATAGGATGTAACCCTAAGAAGACGAGCACAGGCAAACCCTTATCACCGATGGCAAGAACTTGCCTATAACGAAGTGGCGGGTTAAAGTTGACTCCCATAAAAATTAATAAAATTAAATTTAAGTAATTTGAAAAAAATTATTGTTTAAGATGCTTTATAAAATTTTCATTTTGTTTTACTACATTACATCATTCATCATTTCTATTATTTTCTGGTTTTATTTTTATTTTTGTAAGGAGTGTCTACCAAATAAGAAAGCAATTTGTTTAAGAAAGGTAAGAACTGAAAAAAAAATTGTAAAATTCAAAATAATGAATAGCTTTAGAATTTTAAAAAATATATATAAAAAATGTTAACACACATATTGCAAAGATAAGGCGAATATAATGAGATTTTTTTAGGACTCTATATAGACGTGGATAAAATGTAACCCCTTTGGTTAAATAGGAATGTTCTATTGATCGGATATATGTCACCAATTTTATGGTCATTTTCCAAATAATACGACTCGAGCACAAGAGCCAAATGTGTTTGCAATTGCATAAAAAGAACAAGAGATCAGACCATCCAATTAAGCAATGCATCAAAACCCCTAAAATGAACTTCCACTGAAGCCGAACAAGACCTTGTGACCAACTCAACAGGTGTAACACATACAAGTATATTCATTTTAAAGTCATTTCCCAAGTGTAATTGCAGCTAGTCAGAACAGGATGAAGTCTTCAGCACGAGAGAAGCTCTATACAAAATTTCTGACATTTTTATGAACTTTCTTCGTCTACCAGGATAATTGAATCATTGCCAATTCCAAGGTCCATAAGAGATGAGGTGTCATTGTCAAGCAGCAGGGGCAATGGAGAACCCTGTAAACTCAAAGACTTGAACTAAATCAAGAAACAATATTCTTGGGAAATTTAGCAAAAATGATATTTATTTACTCCAGCATAGCTCCTTTATCTTACAAAATTTCTTAAGAAGGAAATAAACAACTATGACTAATTTGCCATGTTACAGTTCTCCGTCCTCTCTCCCTTATTTTCACAACTTCTGTTTTTCCAGGATATCAATTTGAAAAATTTTCCATCAATCAGGGTAGATTAAAATGAATTTTTAAGATTTTCTTGAGGTTGCTACTTTCCATTTAGGAAAATTAGAATCAAGGCAATCATGATAATAAATAGTGTATTTTATTCTGAAGAGAAACAAACCTCTTCTTGAAGAAATAATTGTAGCTTCATGGACTTCAGCTTAAAAAAGCTTTCACAGAGAAATTTCAGCTTGCCCACCTGAGAAAAACAAGGTAATCAGAGGGGCTGTTTTTAAGTCTTGACAGACAGAACATTGTATTATAGAGTAGTATTGATGTTCAACTGTAGTTGTTGCTGGCAGCTTCTTTGTTAAAGGTGGCTTCTCACCCATGGATGCTCCAACACAATTCAGAGTAATAGCTGCAATATTCTATATATCAAGTTAATAAAGCTATTACAAGTTTAGAAAAAGCAGTTGATGCACAAATTTAACATCCATCGTCCATACACAATAATCCTGAGCTGATTGTTTGTGGGCCAGTAGCTCCAATTGAAGGTCTTTCATCCTCAATTCCATAAATATTCTTAAGCTCGTAAAACCTGTAATTAAATTCACAAAACTTTTTCTATGTGAGATAGAAATTAATAACATTAATTTGAACCCAAGTCTTTAGTAACAGAACTCTTTTAACGTTTTCTCTGCAAAAATTTAGCTCAAAAAAATAAAAGTGAACCATTTAATTTAGCATTGTAAAGCAGGAATGATAAAGAGAATCGAGAAAAGAAATGAGAGATATGGATAGTATTTGATTTTTGCCTAGTAAAAGTCTATATAATGACACTATTCAATATCATATGGATAATATTTGATTTTTGCCAAATAAAAGCTGAAGTAAATTCAGTGAAAAAAACCTAGGTTTCCTTCTTCCTCTGTTCAAAACTCCTACTGACCGAATTCCCAGTCAAACTTTTTCACTAGACTCAACATCTTTAACCCAATTCCAAAATCCAAACAGCCTGAACCATTATTATGTAATTGCTCCCTTAATCCTATCAGAACCGAGCGTTAGTGATTTCTTAGAGTTTTCATCCAGCTTTATATGGCCATCAAACCCATACCAAAGACTAATGCTAGAGCAAAGGTTCCAGAAACTATTCACAAGCACGAATTTACCTCGGATGCTGTTTGATTTCTTCAGGACTAGCATGCAACCTTGAGATCACAAGCCGAACATATCTGCATAAGAATTGTATATTAAATATATGAATAAAAAGATGGCATAGCTTCATACTAGAAGGAAAAAACTAATTAGATCTAAATCTTTAACTGAACTCTCAACCCAAAGGTAAGCATGGTTTAAAAACTCATACATCTCACATATAGAGATTGATAGAATAATGATCAGTCCTTAAAGAGGAATCTAACCACAAAAGTATTACTTCATAATAGTGAATGCTAGAAACAGCATATATTATTTTTCACACAACAATCCCTGATTTAAGATTTTTTTGTATGGCCAGATGAATCAAACATCTGTTTGTGGCAGACCAAGGGAGAACTTGGCTTCAAAGACTTTCTAGGTAGCTGTTTTCAGCCTAGGCAGCATCCTGATTGATATAGGAAACCGCGACTTGATCATAGCAAGGTTCGGGAAGCTGCAATTTATCTTTAACAAGTCTGACACAACTTGCAGGAGTAGGTTTGATCAATTTTCTATCTCATTCCATCATATACTCATGGTTTTGATTTGGTATTTTGAATTTGTATTGTCTGGTGCACATTTTTCGTCCCTAGGAGGCTCAAATTGCTAGGGTTTTAATAAGAAACTTGGCAGAACCATACCATAAAAACTAGTTCCTGTAGTTGGAGAGCTCCAAGCACTATAAACCTCACACAAGAATCCCATACTTCAAATGTGGAACTCAAATCTCTTACTTTGCAATTGAATCCTAATTCCCCACCACACTCTGCAACCCTGGCACTCACACAGGCTGGCCATGCAATCCCCCATGCCACTTGTTTGTAGCTAATAGCCATGGTGAAAAACCCTAATATCAATTGATAAAAACCTTGAAAGAACTACAGCAAAGCTAGCCACTGTAGTTGGAGAGCCCAAGGCATTATAAACCCCACACTAAAATCTCATACTTCCAACACGTGACTCAAGTCTCATACCTTACAATTGAATCCTAATAGGTTCTATACTAGCATGGCTGCTCATTTGAGACATGGCCAGGAAAGAAAGCATGCGAATTGAGATATGTTTTGGGAAGGAGACACCCTAAAAAATGGGGTTGATGATGGTCTCTAAAAACCATTCCTCTCTATAAGGATAATTGATCAAAAGTTAATGAACATTAGCAATTAGATTCCATGGAAGAGAATTATCTAACAGTACATGGCATATGACCAGCATTGACAAGGAGAGGTATCCCAATAATGACCTGCTATCCAATTAGCATATAGAAACTTTTGCATCCACTGCTAAAAAGGTCATTCATCCCAAAGACCTAATGGAATGACAAGGAAAGGGATAGAAATATGGACTTTTATTGAATTGCAGGGTGACAAACAAGCCAGGTCTCGAATGAATTATTTAGTTCAAGTAAGCATAAACCAAATATCAAAACTGAATGATCAGAGAACATAGGAGCAATACAGAAGTTCAAATAATCTCTGCAAACATATAGTACCTGGAGAAATTGAACATTCATAAGATTAAATCAAGGATAACACTAATAAAAAGACTAATAAAATGCATGACAAACAATACACAACAATCGATGGTTGTAAAGGATGCTTCAGACTTTCAGTTGCGCCAAAAGAGTATACAGAGCACAGAATTTCGAGAAAAACACACCTAATCTCAGAATCCTTCCTTTCACGAGGAGTAACCTGACAGGTAAAGTAGATATGAATACATTATATTTGGTAAAAAAGTATATATAACAAGTAAATAAGATGCAGAGATATCTTCCATCATACCTCACTTCCATTTAATGTCAGAATTTTTGCCAAACGAGCAATCAAAACAAATCTTGGAACTCCACCTCCTCTAGAATCAGTTATTGGGTTTGCAGAAAGCCTGATATCCTTCATTGTTATCGAAGATAAATATTAGAATAGAAGCTACAATCTGTAAAAATCTGCTCTACCAAAATAAACCAGTGAAAAAGAAATACAAAGGGGAAAAAATGAGAAGCAAAAGGAAGAGTAGATGGTGATAAGGAAAGAAGAGGTTTAGTGATATTAGGACCTGAGAACTGTTAGCTAGTAAGAATACTTGTGTTTGGGCAGTTAAAGTGTTAAGAGGTGAAGAATTATTTAGGAACAAAGTATTAGCTCTGTCATAGGAGGGGGAAACCCTTGGAAGAATAATTCTTTCCTTTGTTCTTTGTAATACAATCACTTATAACAAAATCCTTCTTTACTTAATTTCTTCTCTGTTTTCTCACTCGTCTTATTGAAATATCATGTCATGAACCAACTATAAAGCTTAAGTTGTTAGGTGAAGACATGTGAAATGTTTTATATCACATCTCTGACACACCCCTCACACAAGAGCTCTTTGGACTTGAAGCCTGGACAATGCATAGGCCCACCTACATTGTACTGATATGCAACTTTTTATTAGAAGAATGGGGGTGACAAAGATCGAAACTCTTAACCACTTAGTTATATTACATGAACTAACTCTAAACCTAGCTTGTGCAGAGGCTCTGATACCATATCATGAACTGTCCGGAACTTAAATTGTTAGGTGAATACAGGTGAATGGTTTTATAGTACATATCTAATGTCATATTCTGTTTCTGGATTCCTAACACAACCATCCGTAACAGTCTTTTTTTCCTTATTGGCATGGCACATGACCACCTTTAAAGACTCGGCTCTAAGTTCAATCTCGAAACAGCAAGATATGTTGGGTAAAAATGATAAATTATGAATTCCGGTGAGAGTAGTTACTGTAGAATAAACACCTAAAAATTTTGCATGAAGCAGGAAAGGTAATGGCTCAATCAAATGAAAGGTGAATATGGAATACATTAGCACCGCATTCCCATCGTACCATTTTCAAATGGATTATTTCATATAACAGGCCACTGCCTAGACTAATTATTCCAGATACAGCAAAGCATCCATGCCATGCAAAATCAAGAATTTAAATAAAATATGTAAACATAATCAATCAACACTCCACAGTATAAATCTTACCACCAAGTTAGGAAAGAAGTTTAATGAGTCAACAGAGGCAAGATCACCAATGTTGTTATTACCTGAACAATGAGTTGAAAGACTTAACATCAGCTGGAATCCACAATCCATAATTCATTGCAAAATGACAAAAATCATCCTTATGAAGTGGACAAGTATTACATTACCCAATAGAAGGCAGCGCAAATTTTGAAAGGGTTTATAGCACATAACTTCTGATTCATGCTGCCCAGCATTTTCAGGATAAAAGAGAGAATTCAAACAATTCTTATTTAAATAAAGCTGCTCCAAACTGAAACAAAATATACCAAGTGCAAATAAATTGAATCAGCAGACTGTCAGACGTAAAAAACATAAACTGCCCAAAAGCAGAGGTACTGTTCTTGGGAAGAAAAACAGAAATGAGATAGGACCTTGATACTTGTGGCTAGTTCTAAGACACACTCCGTGCTTCCAGTGATACAGATATCACCTATGACTTTAACCACATGGCAATTTTTTTAATTATACAATTTTACTATATGCTAACCATTCATAATAAGTAGATAACTGAAATGATTCATGGTTAACTAAAGTATTGAGTGGTTGGATCAAGTCATAAGTTGTAATTTTAGGTGTGGTCAACATGGAAGCAGATTTTATTATTAAAGTGAGACGCAGTTTAAAGTTAAGATTGAATCAGTCAGCACTGGAGTCAGGACAATATTATAGAACTAGACAAAATATTCTCTTTACCAACCATTTTAGCTGAGAAAGCTTCATGATTTCATTCCAATCAGCTATACAATTATCTTCCAAATTCAACAGCTGCAAAAAATCAAATCCCTGAACCATGGAAGATGACCCGGGCTGAACAAAAAACAAAATAAGATGACTTAAAAATGATAGTAATTTATTTTATAAAGTTGATCAGAAGTTGCAAAGGAACATAAAATTAAACATGAATGAGAACCTAAGTAAAGATGGAATTCTCTCCATCCTAAAAAAATAAAATTAGCACACTTAGCTATCCCATTATATATTTTAATATCAAAACAGAAATAGCATGCAGATCCAAGTGGCCAATCAGCCAGATAAGAGAAAACACAAGTTAGTGCAACAGCTGTCATAAAGGCTGAGAAGTGAGAAATACTGAAGAGTGAAGACTATATCCACAATGCTATTCTCTGAAAATGTTAAGCTTCCATTCTAATACCATCACTTGAGGAAATGTAGTGGTGTGGTGAATTAAAGGGGGGCAAGGGGGAAGGCTAGTCGTTCAGATCCCCCAAATTGACCATCATAAATTCAGGCTCTAGGGAACTTAACAGATTTGCACCAGTTTCCAATGTTATTAAACTGCTCACTAAGTTAGCCAAACAAGCTACTTTGTGGGATAACATACCAGTATTCTGCTTATATTGTTTCCCATTACATGTAGCTCTTCAATTGCTGTTAAGGATTGTTTAAGAAGTTCAACCTGCCCATTTAAAAAGGAAATATTTAGCAATTCCTATTTAAGATTAGGGAAAATTTAACCAAGATGAATTGAGAAAAGATAGAGAAGATAACCTGGTCCCAATCTACACCAGTATTATTCAGAACCAGAACATGGATGCTTTTCAGTAATGGAAGCTCAGATTTATATGGTGACATTAAGTTGTTAGATAAGTTTAGAGTCCTCAGAGCAGGTAACTGTTCACAAATTGTGCCAACATCCTGCAAAGAGATTAATCGAAAAGCTGAGTAAATAGCAATTACCCTCAATCAATCACTTCTTAAATAGTGGACCATAAAAAATAAGTATAAGGAGGTTTTGTGCATGAAAATAGTGTGTCTGTGTTTACTTCCCTTTAATAAAGCATGTATTGATTAATAAAGTGTGGTATTGTAAGAAAGCCTAGTATTAGCTTTCATGACTTTTGTAGAAGCAGAGAGGCTAAATTTTAGTGGCAATGTGCAATCTATGTTAATATTTGGATAGAGCAGAACTCTCATATCTTTAAGGAGGTTTGTTTGGTACATCACTTGACTAGGGATAAGATTATGTGGCTGGTATCTATTTGATGCAAAGTCCATGGCCTCTCTTATAGGGTTTCCCTAACATGCAAATTGTTAAAATTCCATGTAGCACTTGCATGGCATGTTGAACATAAGCAGACACAGTGCTGTAGCAGCAGCCAGGATTGAACACTAGATGTAACTTGGTTGCAAAACATACCTTCCACTCTGAAAGCAAGTTCCCAGTCAGATCAAGTTCTTTTATATCTATTAGCAAAAAAAAAAAAAAGACAGTATGGTTTCAGTGCATAGACGATGAAGATAACAAAATCAACACAATTACAAAGGAAACAGTTACCTATATTCAATTTGTTTACAAAATTGAAGCGGATATCAAAGAGACAAACTTTCCAATTATTTCAGGTAGAAGCAACTTAACCAAAAAAAAAAAAAAACTTCAGGTGAAAGCAACTAATTCACTGATACCACAATTCCATTGCAAAAGAAAAAGAAATCACTGATATTACTAGGTTGATATTTCATTCATCTTGATATTAGCAAAGAAGTGGGATCGTTCTGGAATCAAGCTTACTTGGCACTGTAGTACTAATGTGAGATGGAATTCCAGGGGAACTAATGCCCATATATGACAATGATGGATTGGTTAACTCCTCAAACCGACTTAACTTAGCATGAATTTTATCTTTACCCAAAAGTTGAACAGATACTCGATGGTCACTTGTTGAAAGGACATACATTTCATCTGCACAAACAAAAGAGTAAAAATCACATGCTATATTTTCCAGGTTTTGTCAGTGTAATGCATATAAAAACCAACGCACAGAGATTAGAATGTAAAAAAGTTGAATAGAACACTGAATACCTTCATAATTCCAAAAAACTGAAAACATTACTGACAGTGACAGAACATTGGTCTCAAGGCTTTCATATCAAATCAATTTCAAACGGTCTGGAAATAGAAAAATAATCGGCAGGAGGAGTATGCAGTTCAAAATTCAAAATGAAAAATTTCGAATTGTGCATTTCTTATTGGATTTTCTCTACCAATATTGTCTCTCTACTTTGCATAATTCCCCCGTAATTTTATTTTATTTGGGGGTCCTCATTTAAATATGGATCCCTTTCGATTTTACTCAAATTTCATCATTTCTTTGCCAATTCATACAGAAGCGGTTGGATTTTGCACATATTCAAGACACGTTACTAAAACAACCTTCTCCACCCAAAACCCAACAAAGAATGAAAAACAACTGTAATAATAGATAAGTAAAACTAAAAGGGTTAGCAATAATAAATCAACTACAGTGAAGATGACTTCTTTTCTTTCATCCCAAAAATTAATATGAAATCATTTTCACTCTCATAGTATTGTTTATGCCATATTACTCCATGGACCCAAAATGCAAATCTTTTAACTACAAGTGAATTTAAGCCAGAGATATACCTTCTTCATCTTTAGTAGACTCACTTTTATATCTGCTTTCAAGAGCTTCCAGCAATGAAATCCCTTGGTTCAGATTCTGGGGACGAACAAATGACCCTGATCTTTCAGACTTTGCATGAAAGTACCGGACACCATTGATGGAACCATCATGTTTTCCTTCTCCATTATCCCAGTCAACTCCAACCCATGAGTCAAGATAGCCTTCTACAGGCCCCACATACTTGACTGTACCAATTCTCTTGGAATCACCAGATCCATGTACTCGTTGGCCCACGCAAAATTCATGTCTTGGCTTTGTGGATTCCTGCATCTTTTGTTATAACTGGCTGAGTGTTCCTCTTGCGAAAACCGTATAAGGTATTAATTTCAAACGCAGTTCAACAAATCACATGATACATCATCCACACAACAAATTAGCGCACAAGCTCATTCAATATGCCTTCAAGTAGACCTAGCAAGAAGATGACACCACTTTCCTTCATGACATAAAATCTACAAAAAGATCAAAGTTTCATCACAACTTCACTAGAACACAAAACCACAGACAAAGTATCAATGTTATGTGTTGGGATATTCAAGCCAGCATTCAAGCAAAATACCTACTGTATATCTTCTAATGAAATCATCATGTATAATCTACGGATTGTATTTATTTGCATGCCCAAATTGGACCAGAGAATATAAAATCAATTTGCTGTTAGCTCAATAAAGAACTCGGAAAAAAAAATAGCAGCTTCCAATTGTCTTATAAGATCTTCATAATTTGATGCATATCCATTAACTAGAGACACTTCCCAACATGGAAACAACGTCCTTCCAGTTAAGACATATAAGAAGATCAATACCAATATTTGATAATTTCAACCCGGAATTAAATTCATTGTTCTAGTCGGAAAACCAAGAGAAAATAATTAAAATCAAAATTACCATAAAAGAATAACTGAGTGACCAAGTAGAAAGAAGAGAAATATAAAGGCAAACCTCAAACTCAAATGCGTGTGCGTTTTGTTCCCTCCAAAGGAGAGAGCTATGACACAAGATCCGTGCAGCGTAGGTGCTGCAGTCTGAACTATGGAGAAGCCTGAGTAAGAGTATAGTCCATTTTTTACAATAAATAAAATTAATATTCTCATCTTATAAAAAATTCGTAACTTTTATTTATTTATTTTATTTTTGTCTAATTCTTTTGATGATAAATTCTTGTTTTTCTTTATTGTTTTTAAATAAAATTATATTTAAAAATTGATATTTAAAAATATTCAAAAATATAATATTATATTATTATGTACATTAACTATGTATTGTATCACGTGAGTCAAGTGAAAAGTAGATAACAAACCACACAAAATATATTAAATGGAGATAAAATATTTTACAAAGTATATTTAAAAATAAATAATCAAATAAAAAATTACAAGTTTTAAATTAGTATGGATTTATTTAATTTATAATAAATAAATAAATATGAGTAATGGTGCTGAATTATAATAAGAACTTGTTAGCTTTTCTATTTGAATTTTAAATAAATATTTAAAAAATTTCAAGGTAGGTAACTAATTTTTTTAGTCATAAACTTGGTTAAAATTATATCAATATAAACCTTTTCTACAACCATAATTTATTTTATTTTGTAAGTTATTAGATTTTTCACACTTACTAATAGTGTTTTCTGGATGTGTGTACAAACATCAAGATAGTTATAGAATTTTCTTAATTAATTTCTGATATGTATGTTTGGTATATACATAAACAATAAGTAAAAAAAATGTTTAGGCTTATACCTGTTCCTTCCTACAGTTAAAAAGATGTTCCCGAATTAAGCTTTTTAAATCTTTTTTTACTTTCTCTGTCATATCACAATTAATCTAGTTTAATCTATTAAATCATTTATAATTAGTTTTTCAATCTTTTGCCCCTTTTCTCGGGCTAACTCAAGGCATTGACCACTAAGACCTATGCCTAAGGCTCTATTTTATGGGAGCTACACACATAAGTGCAGAGAAAATTATAAATTTTAATTTTAAAAGATAACTTACACGTAGAAATTTAAAAAACCCACTTGAAATGTTAAATTTTATAAAAATGATAAATTCTTGTTCAAAGTATATTATTAATTATCCTTGTTGTTTTTACTTCAATTGAAAGAAATTAAAAATTAAATTAACAAAAATCTTATTTACATTTAAATATGCCTAAAAATTTATAGCAAAACAAATTTGTCTGAAAAACATTGAATCATTATTCTATTAATTCAAAATGATTTAATTTTAAAACTTCATTATACAAATTTAATAACTATTTTACATTGCAAAAAGTAAGAAAGATAAATTTTTAATTGTTTTCTAAAAATATTTGTTCTATGTTATTAAAGTTTCTATTATATATTTCGGTTAGAGTTGACTCTATTTAATTTATCTATTTGGCGTAAGTATAGTAATTCCTTTTTTTTTGTTTCTAAAGATTTATTCAAAGGTGACGCTGGCATCTACTCAAATCTTGGGGACATGATAAATGAAATCTTCAAATTATTCAAATTTAAACACCATAAAAAATTAACTGATTTATTTTTTCAACTAGTTTTCGACTTATGTTTCTTTTCTAAAATAAATGTTTAAGAAAGATATGTATTTTCTTATCAATTAAAAAATGAAAACGAGTGCAATTAATTTTGAATCACATGGTTTATATGATTTAAAAAAAAAAGCAATTCAAACTTTAATCTTAATTTTTTAAAAAATTACACCATCTTTTTATTTATTGTTTTTAAAAAATTATTTTAGAAGATTAATATGTATTCTATATGTCTTAATATTAAATATTTTGTGTGTGACCCTAAGATGGTAAAAGTTGTCATTAAAAGATCTCTTTATAATAATTATTAAGAGATTTTTTCAAGTTAAAATAATTAAAGTGCTATGTTTATTTTTCTAAAAAAAGTAGAATTTTCTAAAATAAATAAAAATATATAATTCAAATATAATTATCAAACAAATTAAGTGTAATTTATCTGAAAAATAATGAAGTATAAATAAAAATAATAATAACATTATCAATATTTTTTATAAGAAATAAACAAATATTTTTTAAGTGAAACATAGTCACAACCACGTAGCTTTTTCTTAGCAACTTTTTTTTTTACTTAGCCACCTTTGAAAATTTAGTAAAGACTAAAAAGATTTTATGCATTTTCTTCGTCTTTCACCGCTCAAGGTTAATATGCATTAGATCTGTTTAAATTTTTAAAGTTATGCATAACTTTTAATTTTAAATTTATATAAAATAAAATAAAAGCATCACAAGTGTTTTGAAGTTAAGAGTTTAAATAATAATTAAAAAAAAAAAAAAAACTACACTTCTCCAACGAAACCCACTGCATACAAATGCACTTTAATTTTTGCTAAATGAAGGCTGCTCTTTACTCCACACATATGTATCTATAGCTCTGTATATGATCGGTGTAGAGGTTATTTGGTTTTGCTCTATTGGAAAGAATAAGAAATTAAGATACAATTTATTCTCAAATTTTTAAAAAAAAGTAGGTTAGCAATTTTTAAATGAAATGTATAAAGAAAAAAAAAAGCTTATAAGTATGTAGTTTTAAAAATATTGTATCATTTAATTGTAAGATTTTGTTATAAGTATGTTTATTAAAATTTAAAAAGTATAAAAAAATCTAACATATTTACATAGTGCACATAATGTATGTGTTGCAAAATTTTCAAGAATAACAACAATAATGTAAAATATATTTATATATTAATTTTTTATCTAAGTTAATATTTGAAAACAAATTTAATATATGAATTATAATTATTACCATTGTTATTATTATTATTATTATTAGGTGAATTTATTTGTTAGAGTACACTTGCTTTCTTCTATTTTTTTTTTTTTTTGTTCTTTTTAAAAACTAAACATGTATATAAAAATTGTTAAAATTACAGAAAATTGAATTTTAACGTGAAAATAAAAACTTATAATATTAACATAAATTTATATTTAAGTAAAGTTGACGTCAAATTAAACACATTATAAAATAAAAAATAAGTTTATTAAAATTAATTATAATAAACTAATTTCATAATTTTTATAACATGACTACATAATATTGAGTTCTTCATTATTTTGGAAGATATATAAGAGAAAGAACTGACTCTGTTAAATCAAAATAATTTTTAAAATAAATTTTTTAATATTTTAATAAATAATTTGTCTTCTTTTAAAATAAAAATAATAATGATTATTATTTGAGTTAAATAAATATTTTTAAAATTAAAATAAATTTACACAGATGATTTGATGTAATTGTTCTTTAGACGGATACTACATAATGTTAATATCTTCTTTGTATATAAATAACTACTAAACTCATTTTTTATTTTAAAAAATATATTAATTTAAAATTTTTTTAAGGTTTTCTTTTAATTGTATTATTTATTTTTTCTAACTGTTAATTATTATTATTTTAATTAGTTAGTTAGATTAGAACTAACTAAATTAGTTAGTTAGACTATTTTTGAACTCATATATATATGCTTGTTTTTTCTCATTAGTAATATCAATGAATCATTATATTATTTCTGTTTTTTTTGTATTTCTTGTTTTCTCTAACTTTCTAATAAGAAGAAACTTCTTTCTGACGAAGTAAAAGCGAGAAAAAAAAGTAAAAGACTAGTTATACTAGTAAGACATGCACAAAAGAATATGAAATCATAAATGACACAAATGTTTCTTAAGATTGTTGAATAAGCTATTCATCAATGCTCGGGTCATATTCTAGTAGATAAACTTTCTTCTATTGTCCACCGAAAAAAAGAATACAAAAAGATTGATAGACTACTTAAGATATATTGTTGAAGATTCATTAAAGACTTAAAAGAGTTTTAACATTTTCTTAAAATAAATTTGGTAACAATTTTTCTAATTATTTTAAAAAAATTTGTACGTATAAAAAATATTTTTCTTAAACACATTTTTCTGTATTGTTACGATTGATTGTGACAAAGATTTAATAATATGTGTTAATTTTTTTTAACTAATATTTTTAAAGTATTTATTAGTTAGACACCAAGTACAAAATTAATGGAGCATAATTTAAGAAGTTAATAATATATTTTTTTAAATTTTTAACACTTTTGTAATATTTTTCTATTTTTTTTATTTAGTAAAGAATGAAGAAACATTACATTTTTTTATATTTTTAAATATTAAATATTTTTTTTAATTTTATAGTTTGTTTATAAAATGGTTAAAGATTAATAAGAAGACACAATGTTCTTAATTTTTTTTTTGAATATTCTTATAATATAACTTTATTAATTTTTCATTTTATCTTTTCATATTTTTAAAATATTATATATTTTGGAAAATAGTATTTTTTAATGAATATGCACTCATGAAATTAAGTTGAATTAAGTTAAAAAAATTATTTAAAAAAAGTTATAGATAATTTATAAAAAAAATACAAATTTTATAATTTTATAATTTATTTTAATAAAATTTTTAAGTTAAAATTATTAAAAATGTTAGTTTTAACTTATTTATTTAAGAATATTATTAAATTTACAGTATAAATGAATTTAAATATATTACTGATATATTTTTATATTATCAATTAATTAAATATAAATTTTAAATTAATGATTAAAAATCAATAATTTTTGCAGTAATACATTATCTGTTATTAAATAACAGTATATGATTAACAATTAAAATTGAGTTATTTATTTATTTATTTTTAACTTTAAACTTTAATATGAGAGATAAATAACTAAAAATAGTAAATTTCTTTATTATAAAATATATACTATAATTTTAATAGAATTAATGTGTATTTTTTACTAAAATTAAAGATAAATGATTAATAATAAATAAAAAATTATTATATTTTTATAATTTTAATGTATATATATTTATTTATTTAACCTGACCTCTAAGATTAGCTAGGGGGACTCGAGCAGCACGTGTAGCTGGAAGCACGTCAAAACAGAATCAACCAAGACTGTATTACTTCCTCCTTTCTCTTTTTTTTTTTCTCTCTCAACAACACCTGAGTCAGTGGCATAGACCACAATCAAAGAATCTACACCCAAAGCAAAACAAATCAAATCAGATTTAACCTTTGCACCGACTCACTTCAATTCAACTTCGCCGCGGGCATGGCCAACGATGATTGCTGCGCCACTCAACTCATTGACGGCAACGGCGATTTCAACGTGGCGGGTCTCGACAACTTCATCAAGACCGTTAATCTCGCTTCTCGTGGCCTTTCCTATGCCGTAGTTGCTATCATGGGACCTCAAAGTAGCGGTAAATGTCTTTCTCCTTCAATCATTCAATTTGATTACATCCAAGTTGGGTTAGGGATAATATTTTGTTGCTTGAGTTTGGATAGATGAGTTCAATTGTATTTTCTTAGCTTCTGTCTCCTCTGAAGTAGGATTTAGTGGTAATCATTTCAGTGAACAGTAGAAAAAATCAGTTAGGTTTAGATTTGGTTGATTAATTAGTTGAGATAGTAGACTCGGATTAGAAACGAGGTCTCGTACAAAGAGAAAGAGAAACTGCTAACAGCTTAGAAATTAAATAACTCTTATTGTTTTATTCACTCTTGATTGGTTGTCCGTTTCTAATATTACAGTTTTAATGAGATATGTGCAGATTGTTTTGGCACTCTTTTTTTTTTTTTTTTTTTCTATATGAACACATGTGATTCTAATGTTACGCCTTTCTTGTGGACGACAGGGAAGAGTACGTTGATGAATCATCTTTTCCACACAACTTTCAGGGAGATGGATGCCTTCAGGGGAAGGTTTGTTTTTGAAATCACTGAGCTATCGTTTTGGGAGAGAAAGGAAAAAGAGAAGAAAAGATGAAACACAAGTGTTTTCTTCATTTTTTTCCTATCATCATGAATAAGTAATTGAGTATTATGTTGTCGCAGATCTCAAACGACCAGGGGCATTTGGATAGCCAAATGTATGGGGATTGAGCCATGCACAATTGCTATGGATTTAGAGGGTACTGATGGAAGGGAAAGGGGCGAGGTACTCAATTTTGTATCGAAGTTTGTTTTTCTTTCCATTTTCTAATATTTTTTTACACTAGTGGTATTTGTCTATGTATAAATCCTGTTGTGAATGTTCAGTTGCAGTTTGGTGATCTAATAGTAATTTTAGACTGCATTTGAAGCATCTGATAAGATTTATCCGATAGTGTAAGAAAATAATGTAATTTCTTAATTTGTGTTTGGTGTTGACATAGTAGAGTCAAATCTGATCAACTCTATTGATCCTATTATAATAGGATAACTCTATCATCTTATGAGTGCTACAATAACACTTGATATTGTGTTTTTACTATTCTATCCTTTTTCTTTCTTGTACCCTTGGCATGTCTTATGAACATCAACTCCCATCTCCCTCACCTAGTAGTGTGCCATTACTTGTGCCACCACTCTCCAACCACCACCTCTGGTTGACTAATTGCTAGAGGCTTTTCACCTCTATCTTACATACTCCTTTATAGAAAACTTCTTAAGGTCCTTACTTCAAATGGGATTTATATTTGGTAAAAATTTCAGTGTTGGAGACTTTGGTGAATTGCAGTCCTTCTTGATCTTATTCAATCCTCCCCACTTCTCTTCCAATTTTCGTAGGGGGATTTGTACTTCAGATTATTTGGGATGTTTTCTTGCAAATTCCTTTTTGTAGTTTCTTTTTCCTCCAACTGCTAAAGGTTATTTTTGACTAATTTATTTGGAAATTCATAGCTAATTTTTAATTTTTCCTATCATGTAAGATGCTTCCTTTTACTGTTCTGTTTATAAATGAAAATTTTACTCCACTATTAGCCACATCAATACACAGACTAGTTGAAATTTTGAATTGTATGCTATCATTGCCCCTTAAAATCAGGCTATGGCTTCATTTTTACTGATAAATCTGTTTGCATGTCCATTTGTTTGTATTGATGTGCATAGTTTACCTATTGTATGTTATTGGGCTGTTCTCTTTCTTTGTATGTACATCAGAACTCACTGTTGTCTTATTTTCATTTCCTTTTTTTTTAATATAACTCCCAGGATGATACTACTTTTGAGAAACAGAGTGCCCTTTTTGCTTTGGCTGTATCAGATATTGTTCTGATAAACATGTAAGTTTCTAGGTCTAGATTATTGTTTTATAATTGATTGAATGAATCAGATTCTGAGGGGGTGATCCTTGAGGTAAGGCATTATGCTTGACTATTTAAAAGTTTTTTTTGGCAACTTTACACCCAACATTTTTGTGCACTCCTTAGAAACTACATTGCTTAACAAAAGTCCTGTTGGAATTGCAAATCTTTCGGTCTAACTTGATGTAATGCCTGTTTAGTAACTTATGTTTTAAGATAATCTATTAATCTAGCTTATCATCATCTACCTGACACTTGGGAATTAGGATCGTTAACATACATTGCTTGTCAATGAGTGTAGTAGGGAAGATAACGTAGTATACTTTGTAATAATAGGTGCAAAAGATGATAATTTATGTACTTGTTTTTTTTCTGTAGCTGTGTCCTCTGAAATCTTTTCCCTCCTTACTTTGGAGTAAAACTAATAATTGGATTTAACCAGAATGTAAAATGAACTTTGTTTTGTGGTTTGTGGGAGCTAACAGTAGACTTATGCCAACAAACTTTATCCATTTTGGACAATTATTGAAAACTTTATTTTATTCACAGGTGGTGTCATGATATTGGCCGAGAACAAGCAGCCAATAAACCTCTCTTAAAAACAGTTTTTCAGGTAGTTTGCATCCATGAATGCCTTTGGTAATTTGGTTCGGTTTCAATATTTGAGGTTTCACACTTTGATATTTCTTGTATTTGTAGGTCATGATGCGTTTATTCAGTCCACGTAAAACAACATTGCTTTTTGTTATACGTGATAAAACAAAGGTCTAGAACACTTGTTCCTTTCTTAGAGTGCACCTTTTTGTTCTATATTACTATTCAACACTTAATCATATTTCTGCTGTGCAGACCCCACTTGAACATTTGGAGCCTATTCTAAGGGAAGATATTCAGAAGGTGTGATTTCCACTCAATTTCTTTTACTGTGGTTTCTTGTTTTTCTTCATCGTCAGTTATTAACATGATATAAATTCCTTAGATTTGGGATAATGTTCGAAAACCCGAAGCTCATCAACATACTCCTCTTAGTGAATTTTTTAATGTAAGAAGATCTATCTATCTCCCCTTTTCACCTGCCTTTTTAACTGTTTATGTGTATATTATGGCATATGATTAATGAATTTTCAAATGAAGGTAGAGGTTACTGCTTTGTCAAGCTACGAGGGCAAGGAGGATAAATTCAAAGAGGAGGTACCATTTCATGAAATAGGGCATCACTTCTAGGAGTTTTTGTTGGGATAGTATTGATTTCAAATTTCTATTGCTTTCAGACCTGGTTCTTCTCATTGAGAGTTTTTTGTGTATAAATATTTATTTAAATAGCAAAATTTGGGAAACTTTTGTATGGAACCTCTTCCATTTTGGGTTCCTTCCTTATCTCGGCTATGGTGTAGATCATAGTGTTACATTTTCTGATACAGGTTGCTGAATTACGGCAGCGTTTTTTCCATTCTATAGCACCTGGAGGTCTTGCTGGTGATCGGCGTGGCGTTGTGCCTGCTTCTGCCTTTTCTATTAGTGCACAGCAAATATGGAAAGTCATTCGAGAAAACAAGGATCTTGATCTTCCAGCTCACAAGGTTTCTTATTAGCTTTTTTTGGAATGTGACAATGGTTTGGTTTTCTTACCAATTTTCCATCTCAAATGATTTAATAGGTAATGGTTGCAACTGTGCGCTGTGAAGAGATTGCTAATGAAAAGCTTAGCCATCTACGCTCCAATGAGGTGCTCATCCATTTCTCCTGTAGTGTGAGTTCCATCACTTATTTTTAAAATTGGTCATGACATGAATGAATTTGGCTTAGAATTGGTTGGAATTGGAGGAAGCTGTCCAAATAGGTCCAGTGCGAGGTTTTGGGGAAAAGCTGAGTTCAATTATTGATGCCTACCTTTCTCAGTAAGTTCCAAATGCTGGTGGACTTTTATTTAAGTTTCAAGATAAATTTATGTTCATTAACTACTCGATTTGCTGTTTAATTTTTTGAATCAATCAAAATTTTCTTACTCCTATAGCTCCTGTGTATGCCTGAGTCATTGAAGAGGTGTAATAATTTTTTGAATTAAATTAGGATGCATTTTCTTTTTTGGTTTACACAGGAGGTCTTCACTGCTTTGTTTTTTCTCATGACATAAGATTGTTGAAAGAGAATAGTATTAAGAGTGATTTTGTCAGTTGATAATTGCTTTAAAGATAAATGTTTGAATAGTAGCACTCCTAATTAAAAAAGGAAAGAACAGCTTGGTTGACAGCCATCTATGTGCGTTTGTCCTTGGAAAGTGACAAGAATACAACTTATTGTTCAAACCTAAAGATTTTGTTAACAAGGGTATCACATATGCGCATGCACACTTATTGTATGACTCCTCTAGTCTTTTTTATGAAGCATTTTAAACTAAATTACATAAATCAATAAAATTAGGTAAAGTTAGTTTATTTTCTTTATTTTTTTAAAATATTATATCATGAAAATTTTACCTTTATTTAATATCATTGAATTAATCCTATTATTAAAATTTACCCTTATTGATTTTAATTTAGGTTTCAATTAACTTACATAAAGCTTTAGAAATTGCATTTCTACACACATGTATATAAAGCTTATCAGATGTTCTTTTTTTCAATCTTCATGATCTTTTGATTAATCAATTTTATTTGATTTTTTTTAAATCAATTTATCAAAATTGTATTTGTTAAGTAAAAACTTAAAATAGCTATGCATTTTTTTACTCACTTTTTTTTTCTACCCATCTGTGCAATGCAAAGGGAATACTTGTAGTTAGTTTTCCATATCAGCTTTAGATTATTTAATTGTCTTCTGAAATTTGAATTTTTTTTTCAAATGCTAATAGTATCTGCTTTCAATAGATATGATGAGGAGGCAATCTTCTTTGATGAAGCTGTGAGAAATGCAAAACGAAAGCAATTGGAATCGAGGGCTTTAGATGTAAGGCTGCTGACTGCCTTTTTATGATTTTATTAATAAAATTTGAAGTATGGAACTTTGATAAATCAGCCATGTGCTGAGACATAATGGGAGAATTAGGTATCTTTTGGAAATACAATATTGAAGACAGCCAAAGAGGCTTCAAAATGCAATGCATATCATAAATAAGACTCCTTGAAAACAAGCCTTGATCTGAGCGCCAAAGAGGCTCTAAACCAAATCCTGCCCAGTGGTCAATGTTAGGCAAATGGATGATGATGCCCTTGAAAGCCTGGGTCTTCTACTTCGACTGAATAATCTCCACTGTCACAATTTTGGAATTCTTTGGAAAACCTAGCAAATCATGAGAAATTCTCCATTCTAGAATGTATCCAAATTTGACCAAAAACTGCAAACAGATTGGTCCAAGGTTACTCAACAGTATAAGAATAAATGGGTCACTGTTTGCTGAACTAGATTTTCACTTAACACACACAACAGGAAAAGAGTTGTGTGGGGCCTAGTAGCCTATGAATATGCATCATTTCATTTGTATTAACGTGACTGAGTACCACTGTCCAAACAAAAGATTTGAGATTGGGAGTTTTAGTTTTCCAAATGTGCTTGTGAAGAAGAAACCTGCTGAAGTTTTATAAAGAACCTGGTAGAAAACATTCTAGGAGAAATATAAGAAATCTATTTGAGGAAATTGAAAGGAATCAAATAATTACTCTATTGCGGGCTTCATTCATAGTAGTTTTTTAAATCAGAATCTACACTTTCTATAATGAATTTTACGACCTTTAGTTGGTTTGATTCATTCTTCAAAATTTTAAAGATCCTTTTTTTTTTTATGCTCTTTCTCCCTCACCATCTTTATATATGTACATGTGTGTATATGTGCACGCGCACACAAATATATTTAAGTGTTGAGGATCTGATGTTTTAAGACTATACTTTCATTGATTTCTAGTATTTATATAGCAGCCAAGCCATGGAAATTGGATTCTTAAACATTATTCTACAGCATTTGTATCAAAGTATTCTCTACAAGTGTTCAATATTGTTTAATATAACAGTTCATCAATTGTAAAGCTAAAATATTATCCCAATCCTTATATTTTAATTCAGCTCTGCTCTGATTCTGTATCCAAATGTTCCAACTGTACATCAACCATAATGCAGCAATATTCTGTTCTAGTGCACTTGCTTATTGATCAGAAACTATAAAGTAGCAAAAAACTACCAAAGACTGTACTGAAGAATTATTGATAAGGACTGTGCATAAAATTCTTGTAATTCTTTTTTTTTCTTTTGTTAACTTTTCAGTTTGTGTATCCTGCATATACAACATTGCTAGGGCATCTACGCTCTAAAGCTCTAGAAGATTTTAAGACTAAGCTGGAACAATCGCTAAACAATGGAGAAGGGTTTGCTTCATCTGTTCGCATGTTGACTCAGTCTATTATGCTCGAGTTTGACAAAGCAACTGCTGGTAATACTCTGATAGGATTCTTCTTCATAGCATGTCCATTGTCACCTGTAACTTTATATGCATGTTTAAGAATTACTTGATAATTGGGGTTCCAATGCCAATGCTAGCTTGAGTCTCCATTTGCCTATTGAGTTTACATTAGGTGTCATCCAGTCATTCCTGCCTTTATTGTTTTAATTTCCCAGTTCAGATTTATATGGATATTTAAATTGAAGAAAATTGGTGAGAATCACTACCATTTTGTAGCATCCAATTCTGCAAAGTTAACATGATCTCAACTCCCAAGTCATTGTGTGTTGAAAAGAAATATGCAAAATCTATTGAATATAATAATCAATCTTTCTTTCAGTCCGTAATTTAATCAAGGGCGATTATGTGGTGAATATCAAGGGGAAAATAAAATATTGCTTCTGAGAATGCATATTACTATGATACTGTGTGTTTATTATATTAATTGAAGGATTTTGGTTTTGCTTATCTAACCAATATTTGTCGAGAGAGTATTTTAAATACGACTTATATTTCAAAGGGTAGAGAGTTGTAGGAAATTAGTGCCTCAGAGGATGCATAGCACTATGAGACTTGCTCCTGTTATTTTCTGTTATAGGTGTTATATTTGTTCTTATAAATAAAAGGAAAGAAAGAACTTTGTTTACAGTTGGCTTGTGGCCTGTCTACATTTCAGGATCCATCTTGTAAGCCCATCCTTCGGAATATGTTTCTCTTAGAATAATGTGCAGTTCATGTATCACTTGTTAATGAATTTGTGCATCACATGTTAGATGGCATGTTTTCTTAGGAATAGTATTTAGGAGTAGCATCCATTCACTCTTTGCGCAGGAAATAATCACTTAAGCTATTAAGAATCTAAGTATATATATTGATGCTCGGCAGAACCCAGGTACAATACAATCAATCAATTTCAGTTGAGCAATATTCATTCTCTCTCTCCCTCTAATTCAACAGTTTCTATTTGCTTGCTTTAGAGGCACATTTTCTCTCTTGTATGGATTTACTTAAAACAGTATCAGAATTTCTTGTTTGTCATCATGTAAAATGTTTTTACAATATTCTCACTCCTACTTGGTGGTTGTTTAATTGATACAAACCAAGAACAGAATTGGGGAAAAGAGAAGTTTTTTTTTAATATAATTGACTGAACACAAAATAGGACAGAGATCTCTCCTCCAAGCCCCATCACAAAGGATTTCTCCTTTCACAAAGAGCAAAGCTCAATCTTCAAAATTATACAAGATAAAATAAATCCTTTCTTCTTACATTCTCTTATTTATTTAACTCACTAACCCCTTGAATATCCTAATTAATTGTCCTAATTCTTGACATCAATAATATTTGCGCTTTACAGATGCTGCTATAAGACATGCTAATTGGGGTGCTTCAAAAGTGCGAGACAAACTTCTTCGTGATATTGATTCACATGCTTCATCAGTGTGCAATGCAAAATTATCTGGGATAACAACTAATTTTGAGGTAATATATAATGGTGATTTATTGGTCGATCTGGGTTATGTTTTATTAATTCCTGTTTTATTTCTATCAGCCACTAATGTAGAAGCATATTTTGCAGAAAAAATTGGCCAAGGCATTGAATGATCCTGTGGAGTCTCTCTTTGAAGCAGGTGGAAAGGACACCTGGCTTTCAATAAGAGAACTACTTAAACGTGAAACTGCAGCTGCTGTATCAGAATTTTCAGCTTCCATTACGGGTTTTGAGTTGGATGAAGAAACAGTTGAAAGAATGCAGCAAAGCTTAAGAGACTATGCAAGAAAAGTGGTGGAAAATAAAGCAAGAGAAGAAGCTGGAAAGATTATGATACGCATGAAAGATAGGTAATTTCATTTAAAGATATCTCTAGTCCTTTATTTTTGTGAAATTTGGTTTGTATTGTATAACATGTATAAAAACTGATTGATTATTGAAGTTTTGGAACTCAGTTGTTGTTAGGATTTGTAGTCATTGATTCTTTTGTTAGGGTAGAATGCCAGAGTTTTTGTTGAGATCTCATATTGACTATGGATATGGCCAAATTATAGTTTTTGTTGAGATCTCATATTACCTCATGAGTTAGTTTTTGGAATTGAGTTAGGCCTACTCCAGATTCATGAGTTTTCAAGCAGAAGTTTATGTTACTGTCTAATGTATACTTTCCTAGTTTTCCTTTATTAGACATGCAGAGAGACAGAAATTTTCATTCATCTGATTAAAAGCAGTAGAGAAAAACATAAGAGAGACCTTGCTTTCAAGGGCTTTACTGAAATTTTGGTTTTTGATAGAGCCCAACATTTAATTCATGTGGTCGATCCCATCAAATATCCAAATGTGATAAGGCTTGGTTACTGTTGTTGTTAGCTATTTCCATAGGGTTCATGTGGGGTAGATGAAATGGAGGAGTGCTTTGGGTGTTATCTGTGGCAAAAAGGTACCACTCAAGCTTAAAGCAAAATTTTACTATAGGTAAAACCATTAAGAAAGATTTAAAGGACTGTAGTTTATTTATAAACATGATTTAAAATAGAACATTGTAGCACTGTTGAATCTGTGTAGCTGACCCAAGTTAGTTGCAAAAGGCTTGGTTGTTGTCGGTTGTTTACTTGTTTCCGTTGATTTTGTTTTGGAGGAAGCCCTTTACTGAATTTCGTACAGTTTTGTTCTGTTATGATAAAAGAAAATAAACTATTCCTGATCGATGTTATTTTTGGATTAATTTGGTGGCTTAATGGTTTCTGTAATAATTTTCAGGTTCTCTACAGTGTTCAACCATGATAATGATTCACTCCCTAGGGTTTGGACAGGGAAGGAGGATATTAGAGCTATTACAAGGGATGCTCACTCTGCGGTAATTGATACGATAGCAAATTCAATGAACTTTTAGCTTAAAATTTTATTGGAAATTATTCCGTTTTGTAGCACCATGTAAAATAACTTCTTTTCTCATGTATCAGGCACTGAAGCTTCTATCAGATATGGCTGCTATACGCTTGGATGAGAAGCCAGATCATATTGAAAGTGTACTTTATTCATCTCTCATAGATAAAACTGGTACTGCAACATCATCCCACTATATAAGCAGTAGAGAAGCTTCTGTTGATGCACTGGCTTCAAGCACATGGGAGGAGGTAGTATATAGTGATATTTGTGGTTCTCATGTTAATATTGTAGTCAAAATTATTATATTTGAGAATCTCTATGAATTGTAGGTTGCCCCAGAAACTGTTATTATCTCTCCAGTGCAGTGCAAGGCTTTGTGGAGACAATTCCGGGGAGAAACTGAGTATACAATTACACAAGCTATTTCTGCTCAGGTAAAATGATTAGATTATATTTTTGTCTACTTATTCTCTTGCTTGTTATTAATTAAGTTTTTCTGCAGTTTTAGCCAGCTTCTCTTCTGTATATGTTAGAGATATAACTATAAGCCATTCATGTGCCTTATCCTGACAACTTAGGCTCTTAGGCTTTTTGGATAATTGGTCTTTGACATGGTATTAGAGCCTCTACGATCATGTGGTTAGGACTTAGGAGTTCGATACAGACATAGTGACATACCATTCCCATTTTTTAAAAAATATAGCTAAATTTCAATGCAAAGTAGAGTGGGCATATGCATTTCCATGCTTCAAGTCCAAAAGGCTCTTGCCTGAGGGGGTGTGGTATAGATCTAGAACCATTCATGTGCTTTAACCTAAATATTTCACGGTGTTGGTTCTTGACATAATACAAAAATGAAATTCTCAGTTAGTTCTATAAAGTTGGTAGGTTATCAAGTATTGCCACCTAATTGCTCATGTTTTTGGTTGACGTTGAAACCTATATAATTATATGTTGTGTGTGTATGAATTGAGAAAGAGGAACTGATTGGAAGGGGGATGGATGTCAATGAATATGCAATTCACAACCTTGTATAACATGATTTTTAGGTGGAGAGGATAAATCTCTATAAAGATAAACAGATACGTTAGTTATAGGTGTTAAATTCATAATTGATGTTCAATTGTTTTTTTTCTATTCTAAGGCTATACTTAATGCCTTCAGAATCCAGGAAACCTTGTAATTTTTCAAGGCTAAGACAAATATGTGTTTGTACATTATATATGAAAATTTTGACACTGAAATACAATAAATGTAACATTCAATACGGATGTGAGACATGCGAATCCAATAAGGAAATAACCATTCAAACCATGACTCTCAAGGCTGGGGGATTCTTGCAGACAGCCTTGCATGCTGGATTGATTGAAAATTTCCATCAACAACTTATGTTGAAGAACTAGTAATAGTTATATAAATACTTTTATATACTTTCTAAATAAAATTTTCTATGGATAAATAACTGTTAGTGATGTTAATTGTATTGTCTGTCTTGAGCAATGTTTGAAAACCATACTAAGATCATAGTTGTTAATAGCGCACTATAGCAGCGGTATCGCGGCGGGTGCGGCCATTGGTTGCCACATCGTGGGGGGTTTGGCATGTCACGGCAGGTGCAGGCGTTCACAGCCAAAACAAGGAGACGTTCGCGTGATTTAGGGAATAGAAAGAAACCCTATTCTATTTTTTTATAAAACGCACCGTTTAGATTATTTGTTGCTGTTGCCTGGTTTTATCAAACTTCAGTTAGTCCATTTCCATGATAAAACCAGTTTGCTGATAGTATTTCTTGCTAGGATTTATGGGAATGGTGTAAGCTCAGAGAGTTTTTTTTTTTTTTTTTACTACCTATTTTCCCCTTTTTTTTATCTACCTGCAGATTCTATGAAAATGTCATTCTTGTCCTTTCTCTTTGCCTTGACACTTAGTTAACTCCAGGCATACTAACAAAGGTGCTATTTCCTTTTCCTTTTTTGGTGTGGATTCAGGAGGCCTACAAGCGGAGTAACAATTGGTTACCTCCTCCATGGGCAATAATGGCAATGATCGTACTTGGTTTTAATGAATTTATGATGCTTCTAAAGTAAATATCACTTTCTAAAATCTTTAGCTTTGAATTTATTTATTCTTTTTGTTCTGTTTCATCGGATCCTTTTTCCTTCAGCTTGCTAATTACATTTGCTGACTTATTTGTGGAACAGAAATCCTCTCTATCTGATGATTATATTTGTTGCTTATCTAATTGGAAAGGCCATTTGGGTACAAATGGACATAGCCGGAGAGCTTCGACATGGCACTGTGAGTATTAGTTGACTTTTTTCTTTTACTCATCTTTCCCTGCAGTTGGATGGTCAAAATTCTGTGGTCGTTTCTATCCAAGTGAATGACTCTTGTGATCATGCTTGTGCACGCACACGCGCTATTTAGAGCCATATATAAATTTCTGCTAATTAAAAAATTACACTACATTCTACAAGGAAAAATTTCTGCTATTCACTATATATTATATAAATTTAATGGGTTGGATTTACTTGTTCAAAAAATCTTATTTGCCTTGGTTGGCTTTGTTTTTTTAGAAGTTAATTGTAAAAGAAGCAATGATAAATATAAGAGATGATTGAATGATGTCAGCTACAAAGGTGACTAGCGCTGTCTAATTTGTGTATACTTTGTGCCTATGTTGTTTGCAGCTGCCCGGACTACTATCCATTTCATCGAAGTTTCTTCCGACAGTTATGAACCTCATTAAACATCTTGCTGAAGAAGCTCAGGGAAATCCAACACCTGAACAAGCTCAGGGAAATCCAACACCTGAACGAACAGAGCCACAAAGTTCAGCTCCTCAGATATTCAGAAATCAACTGCAAAATCCTGATCTAGTATCAAGCTCAGTCTCCAATTCGGCTGTATCAAGTGTTGGTTCATCTGGTGGTGATAATGAGTGCTCAACCACAAACTTGTCTCAGAGGCGAAGAACAAACGTTCCAGAAGCTGAATTTTCATGACAATTTAATTTGAAGGCGGTTGGCATCAGAATAGAATATGCACCAGTTAGGGTGTTTTCCCAGATCAGTTTTGTATTATTGTTCTACATCTATATTTTGCTGCTCTTATTTACTGTCTGATTATATGAAGGACCCCTATTTGGGTTCTACTACTACAAAATATTACCTGTCAAATAGTGATGGAGTAACAATGTTACGAACTAATTTCCCTTAAAAATTAGCAACTATAAAATGTTTTGGTTGCTTATTGTCGTCTTTTTATTTCTTGTCACGCTGTCGTCGTTTTATTGACACATGAAATTGACTCTTATGAGAATTCATTTACGTAGCAAGGGATCACTTTATTTTCTCGTAACGTTAAGGGTTGTATATAAGAAATTAGGGGGATCAAGATAGTACAATTACAAAACTAGAGTACCAAAACTGTGATTAAGGCAATTTTAAGTTTTTTTTTTATTTAAAAGAACTGCATATTTGCGGGATTTGTACAGGATAGTCCTAGAACTACTGTGGTCTACCATTGACAACTGTTTTATTTATATTTTATCTTGAAATTGAATTTGAATCTTCACCTACCTCCATCATTTGAGAAGATTCTAATAAATATTTTACGAACAAAAGGAGAACTTTAATATTGTTAAATTGTCAATTACAAGACCATAAAAATGGGGCGAAGACCAATAATGCAATAATTAGGGCGGCTTCACTATGGGTAACATACAAAATTCAAATTAGCTCTACAAATGTTAATTATAATAAACGACAAACCACTAACAGTCCCACGGGACATTTCTCACTCGTCAAGGTGCCCCTTTTAGCGTTAAGAAAAGAAATACATTATCATCTTGTCTCTCTACACTCTGAAGTTCCATTCAGATAAAAAGCATTACATCAGACGTATTACAATTATATTTACCTAGCAACTGCAGTGAGAGCTTCTCCACAGCCACAATAAAAACAAGATTGGTCTTTCCCTATGCTGTTGGGAGAGATGACAGATCATGCAATTTAAAAAATTAAAAACCACATGTATTAGTATAATCCGTCTAATCCTACATTTCCAGATTTATAACATGAAATGATGTAATCGTATACCAGCAAACATTTTATCTGAAAATACCTATCTTAAACTCCCTTTCTAAAGGCCCATTCCCAGTAAACTTCTTGGGAAAGGTAGAGTGATATACAGCACTCTGCACAGGAAAATTAGTATTGCAAACCTTTTAGCATCATCACAAGTACATTTTCTCTTGCAAAACATGGAAAAGCTGAGAAAATTACCATTCAGTCCTTTGGTTGTTTATTCTGGAATAGATTGCTTAATTTTGAAATTGTAAGATCTGCACCTCCAAATCCATCCATTGTAGCGTTTGCCAATGGGAACTCAGCTCTAGATGTCAAACTGCACGAACATTTAAATATATGAAACAATTTTAAAATACAGAGTTTAAAAATAAAATAGAATATCTGGATAATTGATATTAAGCACCCTCCGATGAAATTAAGTAGCAGTGCAATTGTGTAAACTCAACCATTACATGTTCATTGAACTTCCAAGAACAAAGCAGTCACCTGCTTCGTAACACAACACATGGCATGCCCACCCGATTAGCTCCAGCAACCCCAGATTGGCTTCCTGCAACAAGTACACAGTTGCAGACAGGTAACCCTGCATATTCAGCTCCCGCACGAAGTGCAGCCACAATCTTATCCAGACTGGACAGATGATGAACAAGTTAAATGAAAATTGGCTATGCAATCCAAATCCAATTGATAAGATTAAGCAGTATGCTCCTAAGTTCATGTTTTCCAGGGATGATAAAAATATATTGTTTCAATAAAGCAATGAATTGCCACAAAAAAGGGTAATTCAATATACACACAAATCCCCTAGAGATTGTTTGGGAAGGGGGGAGGGGAAGGGATGGAGGTGACAAATTTTCTACTTTTAAAAATATATTTTAATTTGATTTTTTTAAAAAAAAATAGAGATATAAAATAATAGATTAACATAAACATAATGTATTAATCATTTATTTATTATCATAAATGGTATATAATTCTATTAATTTAAAAATAAAAATTTGTCATTTTTTCCCTTTCCCTCCAATAATTCCTTTTCAAAAAATTCGTGGAGTATGTTTGAAAAATAATTTTTGGAGAAGGAAAGAAATAAAAATTTCTAATTTTAAATTAAGAAAATTATATACCATTTATAAAAATAAAATCATGATTAATACATTAAATATATATATTAATATATCAATTTATATATTTTATTTTAAAAAAAATATTAATTTTAAATATATTTATTTAAAATAAAAATTTTGCCCTACCCTCCACTTCCATTTAACACCCCTTTTTCCCAAACAATCCCTTAGAGTTTAAGGAACTACACTTCTATAACCAACATTCAAAACTTCTGATTGAATAAACAAATCAATTATGGAGGGGGAAATCAAACACCAAAAAACTATAAAAGCTGGCAGAGCACAATGTTTACATAAATCTGAAGAACACTTTCTATCCATTGCCTCTAAATCTTTCCTTCAGATTTTCAGTTGCAATGTCCTTAGGTAGCATTTCCCCAGCTTTTGGGCTCCTCCTCTTAAAAGGAGAACTTGGGCCAAATACAATTTTAGAAAAGCTCTTAAAAAAAGGTCGTTTTTATTTTTAATGAATAGAAGCTAAAAAAATTGGAGTTTTTATAGAAGTTAAGAGGAGGACCTTCTACTTTTAAGGATAAGAAAAACCTAAAAAGGTTGGGCCAAACACTGTCTTAGTTATGTGGCTTGGCTCGTCTAATGTTATTTGTCAGCTATCAGTTATCACCAGTAAGTCTTGGGCATTATCACTTTGTGCAACCCTGTGAGACACAATTAAGTTTACTTAAAGGAATGACTGTTTTTCTTTTTAGCTTTAATTTGTTTTGGTGCCAAAAGTAATTTTGAATTTAATTTTTTCTTTTTATTATATATATTAGAATTTTTTTACACCGGTATAAGTCTATAAACACTTATACTCGATCTCTGAGCCTTTCACGATCTCTGAGCCTTTCATTTAATTTATATTTAACGAGTTATAATTTATTATTTTACTAATTATCAGATTTATACTAGTATGAGAAGATCCTTCCTTTATATATATATATATATATATATATATATATATATAAAATAAAAATACCATATTTTGTCTTTGAATTTTATATCCCATAAGTCTCTGACAAATCAAACATCAAACAAAAAGACAAATCCCAACTGCATTAGTAAACTAATTCAGGAATGTAAATTAAACAAAGCTTTTGATAAGAGGAACCAAAATTAGTAAATAGATAGATTAGGTATATATTAGTTTTAATAAACAAAAAAATAATTGAGTCAGAAAATTATTTCTTATAATTTCTTTGCTTGATTATGCCATACATGTTCATGCTTTTATATTGCTAATGGAATAAGAATCTTCGGAGAATCACAGTGTAAAAGCTAGTTATTGTAGTTGAAAAGCCTAAGGCCTTATAAACCTCACTAGAATAATAAACCTCTCCTATGAGCATGGATCCCTAATGTAATTCAAAAAGTACTGAGATTTTATTTTATTTTTTGTAAAAAATAATAGAGCCAAATGAACTAACCTTTCAGATGAGCTGGTGTCAATCTCAACGCTCAACTTTAGTGCAGATGCTACCTCCTTTGCTAACCTTTGTCTTTCTGCAGAAGCTGGCAAAAATGACAGAAACGAAAAGCCCCTTAGGAAACAACATTGTGCACTGAAAGTGCATGCATGAGGGGCACATACATAACCAATATCTCAAGTATATACCAGCTCTTTGGGCTTCCTTGGCAAGTTCTTCATCCAAACCAGACGCAATTACCTTTCCCGAGACAAGTTGTCCATATAAACTTTGCTCAACCTCATTATTCCCTACAACAATGACCTTTATGCTTCGATCATCACCAAGCTTTTCCATTATGGTCCTAAAAGTTTAATGAACACAAAGGAAAAGGAAGGAAATATTAGTGTGCTATTCCTCCAGGAAATAAAAAGTGGAAGCAGCAAAGAGCAAGGATCAGGCTAGTAAAGTGTGAACCTCAGGGCTCCTCAAATATTGAAATTTTTATATACCTAAAAGAATGTTCACTATATCAAAACAGAATGCTATTATTCACATTTGTACATGCAGTCATGTACCATGCAATTTCACTGAACTTAGTTCAGTCCTCAAATAAAGATTGTTATCTATAATTCTATAAGGAAAAACTGAAATGTTGAAAGAGAGAGAGAATACAATGATTGAATGGAAAGGTGTGCTAATTACAAGCTTTAGGCCGGAGCCCATAACCAATATATATTTACAAAGATTATCACACCACTAAATATTTCACAAATGGGACCACTTGAAGACCTAACAGTGCTATTAAAGTTAAAGCTTGAGTGTACATATGACATAATCCAATTTAGTGCCAAATAGACAAAACCCACACACCCCATCACCACCCACTACACCCAAAGAAAGCTTTTGTAAGCAAATCAGCAAGCTGGGCTTTTGAATGATCAAGAACATCTCTAGATAATGTCGCAAGAAATCATATTCCACTAACAATCATAAAATTATTCTACTTATTAACTTAGCACCATCGAAAAGCTTTGGAGCTAAATAGAAGCACCTGGCAATATTATCACCACTTTTATTGTAGGCTGTTAATATTACCACTGGAATTCCTTCATTATATGCGTCATCAATAAACCTGTCAATGGAGACATTACTCAAATGTTAAGGAATATAAAAAATTAAAGTTCCACAATCATTCAAGTTCCTGAATTTATGAACTATCCTGGAAACATTTAAATCTTTAAGAGAGTTAATATAAGCAACTGGAGCACAGATAGACAATGAAAACAATGAGAAACATAGTAAAATGCAACTTCTTTAAACTGAACTCCTTTAAAAAAGGAATAGAAGACTAACTACTAACTTTAAATCTCATCAAGAAAAAAAGGGAAAGTAAACATGAAATGTACACACGTATAGGGACTTGCGCAAGTAGCTTTAATTCATTGTGGCAAGCCTATCAATTTTGCTGCAAACCAAATTTAGTTCTAATCAGTAGACACCAAATTAAATTCTAAGGGGAAATGCCCCTAGACCAAAACTATTCTTATTCTTGGGTCCAGAACAAATCTTTCAACTAACAAATACTCCCTGTTCCTATTTAAAATGTGACAAAATTTGTCATTGACAAGAAGATAACAATGAAAAAACAGTATCACAAATCATAATCACATATATAGTTAACATATCCACTAGAATGACTAAGTGACTCAAACCCACAATGTGAAAGAATGTCATGGTATGATAATTTAATGGACATTTAAGTTTAAAGAGATTCATCTACTTAATTGATGAAAATCTTTCTTTTCTTGTTAAGAATCGTATGCATGTTAATAAAAACGTAACACAAAGATTCTCAAATGTCCATATAATTACTACATCTCAAAGAATGCATATAGACACATATTTAGCAGTCACAGCCACGTTTCTCTAGGTATCCACATGAACAATCTGCCAAAGTCTTTCACCATCACTATGTTGAATGCCACGAATGAGTATGACCACACACACTTAAGTTACAAATCAAATGCTCACTTATAAAAGGAAAAACCCTAATGAGTTAGTTTAATACTTGGTCTTATTAATCATGAATTTAGCCCAATTAGCGATTTTGTTCTTTTTTGCGACTCTAGATTCTTTTATTATTTAGTTTATGATATTTAAATATAAATATTTATATTTAATATCATAAATAACAAACGGTATTTAACAATACATCACTAATTTTAAATATCCAAACGTCATTAAATCAACATAATCTATTTATGTAATAGTATATAAATTATATGATCAGTTCTTTTGTTCTCATATCTAATTGATCATAAGGCATGAAATATGCGACTTGTAAGATTTAATTTTATTTTCTTGGCACCTGAACAAACTTTTTCAAATGAATATCTCAAATTTATTTTACCGAGTATAACAATTATTTTGTAGTTTGATTCTATCAACAGACCTTATAAATATTACTTTCATTATAAAATTTACAAATTTTATAATGACCACTCACATTTTTTCACATGATTTATTCTATATCTAACATTCAACTTTATGATTACCTTGTCACAAGTGATGTTGATGAGATTAAAACATAAAACCCATTATGTTGGTCAATCTAATGTATCAATACTCCTAATGTGTATCTGTTTAGAATTTTATATCTTATTTCCATGATTTGTAAAACTTGATCATCTATCCACTCACACGGTAGTCTCAACGCATTATATTATCCTAATAATAATACTTGACTAAAGATATTTTAAAAATTACTTGATATCATACAAAATTATATTTATTATTTTAGAACATCATTTTGTTATTATAGAAAGAGTTTAATTTAAAATACCTCATTTATTAAAATAACTTGTGATACAAATGGATATGTTCATAATGTAAAGACTTGCAGTGCATACACTAATACTCCTACCGGCACCAAAAAAAATAGATTCCCATGAAAAATAGCTCCTCATATGCAAAAAATAAAAAAGAAAAACACAGATGAGACATACAACTATGTTCAATGAATATGACGAGATAACTCACTTTTCAAGACCAGGTCGTAAAGGTTGACTTTTTGACATCACAAACTCTTCTAATGCCTTTTCCTGCCAATATATGATTAAATAGTTAAATAGGATTCTCTACAAATTCTCATAATCTTCTCAATACATGAAAAATGAAAAATCATTTAGGGAAGGATTTTTAGCTTAGTAGGCCATAGAATCTAATTCTTTAGGACTTCAAATCCCTTCCTCCAATTGGAATTCTCTTCCCATGTATATTTTCTTTTTACTTTTATTTTTGGAGAAGAGATGAGGATAATTTAGTCGCTGTAAATCTAAAAAGCAATGAAAAGGGAGCATATAATCATTTGGAAATCTGATAATTCTCATTTAAAGCATCCATTGACACAAAATCACATATGCACTAGGTAAAGCAATCTTATCCAGACAACAAAATTATTTTTTCTTTCAGAAAGTTTGTTGTTTTCAAAAGCCTCATAAATCTTTTGATCAAAATTTTTTTTGGCCCCAAAATAAGCTATCCAAATAGGTTAGCAGATAGGAGCTTCACCTTTCTAAATATGGAAAGCAAACATTTATTAGATAAGAGACTGTGAAAGGAGCCAAAAAGAAAATTTACATGTTCCAGAAGAGATCAAGAGAATTATAAGATTAGTTACATTTGTCAAATTTCACGGGTGAATTAAACAAAGCATACTTGGGGTTATACAAACATCAAAGAATTAATGACAATAAGATATTAGCAAGAATAATAAATAAGAATAAACCATTTCCTAGAACTCTTAAAGTTTCCGATTTTACTTGAAATTAGTAACTAATTCAATACTACATAAATTCGAATACAAGCATATGACCCACAAGAATAGAAAAATCTGAATTGGGACAGTTTCAGCTGAATTCTGAAGATTCTATGTTCTCATCAACAGCCCAGTCCTAGTTAACTAACTGCATTGAACATACTTTACACTCCCCATACACCGAAGTAAAATCACGCTATTTATTAGCAGCATACCATTCATCAAGATCAAGTGTAAGGACAAAACCTTTTCCTGCAAAACACTTTTCGCAAAAAGTCCCTTCTCATTAGTGGGTAATGAAGTCGGCCATCCAATCTGCATATTAAAGACAACCACAATAGAATACGGCTTAACCAATGCTATCAATGAAGAAAACAATTGAAAGTTACCAATAAGGTCACATTTTGGTCTCCTACTACAGACAAAAGATGAATAACTTACACGGTTGAAATACAGAAATACCATTTTTTCCTCATCTCCAGCACTTTTCCTATGAAGTTATTAGAAAATGGTTTACTAACAGGCATTCACGATATTAATTCGCAGTACTCAACATTGAAGACATTCCAACAATGAAATTCAATTCAATGCATTGATTCACACGAAGCCATGCGTGCCAAAGTCAACGCAATATTTCAATCACAAACACACGCATCTAATCCACTCCAACAATTAAACAAAAAACAAACACACCTCGAAAGATCTGAATAGACAGGTTCAGTCCAGTTTGCACAATCAAGGCCAAGCTTCTCAAACGCTGCGGTCGCATGAGGAAAATTACATCGCGCAACACGGAATCAGAAACGCAAAGCTGAAGGATGCAGAATGGATGATACCTTTATTGAAGGCGAGGCGATTCCCGAGGCGGTGCGCATCCATGAGAACCCTAACAGAAGAACAAAAAGAAGAGATAAAAAAGGCGAAAGAAAAGAGTGAGAAGCAGCGTATGGGAGAAGAGTTGAATTGAGTTGGAGAATGACCCGTCGACTTCGAGAATGACGGCGAAGTTTTGAGATGAGTTGTGGCGGTGGTTTGTGGATAAAGCGGCGATGGTGAGGCGCGAAGGAGATTTAGCGGGAAAAATGGATGTGGTGTTGTTGAGAGAGAGTGGAAGGTGAAGGTGTAAGCGAAAGGCATGGCATGGTGTGCGGGTGCCTGTGAGTGGGAGTTGGAGTGTGTGGGAATGGAGAATCGAAGATGCCACTGTTCTTGCCGTTGCCATTACAATTCGGTAGTTGCTATGTTTGCTCTATTTGACTCCGCTCGGTCTGATATTTTTCAGAGACTCTTATTGTTATTATTATAACCTGTGAACGATAAGAATTTATATATAATTTGTTTTTATTATTTATTATATACAAAAATATCGTTATTATTATCTTATATTTAAATTGTAAAGTATCGGTGTAATTATTTATTCACTTGTTTAATATTGTGCTTGGTTTAAGTTACAAAAATAATATCGACTTAAATATATGAAATGCATGTTCCTTTTACTTTCTTTGGCTAAAATAGAAAATTTTGAATATTCTTGACACCTGCTAAATTCTTAAATAATCGTAATTAGATATGCTACTGTCATTTTAACTAGGGATTTTGTATCCATATCAGCTAAAATTGGAAGTATTCATTTTAAAGGAATAATATTTCATGAGTTATTTCTTGAATATTTTCTTTGCATAATAAAAGAAATAAGATGATAATATAAAAAAAATCATATGATAAAAAAAATAAAAACAGAAAACTAATATAGTGAAAATTTATATTATTTGAATGAATAAAAATAAAAAATTATTTTATTTTATTTAAATAAGTAAAAAAAGTAAGTAGAAATAAATAAATAAATGTACACAGACACTTTCATTTGAGTAGAAGTTGATTCAAATCTTTATTAAAAAATGTTGTTATGGTCATAAAAGTTTGCAAGAAAATCAACGTATTAATTATAATTATTTAAAAAATTATTTAGTTTTGAGACAGAGCACGATAATAAAGTTTTTGTTGTCACACTTTTTCTAGTCCTCTTCCTCTCTTCGGCATTTGAACCTGAAAACATGGCAAGTTATATTCCAACAATCACCACAAAGAACGAAAATTCTGAAACATCTTTTAAAAAATATTTATTATTACTCTAAAATGTTTATTATTACTGCTTATTTTAATTTTTATTTAATTATTAGTAATATTTTTTTAATTAACTAACAAAAATGTTTTATATAAAAAATATTACTGTATAATTAATCATATATATTATTTAGCGTGTTAACATTTTATTAGTGTTTATTAACCATATTTAGATGCAGAGAATAAAATAAAAATTAAGAATTTATATGATATTTCTAAAATTTAAAAAAAAATTAATTTTAATTTCATGCTCATCTAATCATATTTATTTATTTATTCATAAAAATTAAAGAACTGGACAATCTTCATTTAATAAATTCATTATACCTTTTTACGACATTATTCACTTATTGTTTATATTGAATTTTAGATCTAAAACTTGAAACATTATTGTAATTTTTTTTATTTTAAGAATACTCCATCTTATTTAATCATAATAAACATTTTATATTCTATCTTAAGTTTGCTTTTCAAACATTCATGAATCTAGTTACCTATAAGGGGAAAGTATTTTTAAAAAAAATATTCCGATGCCTAAGTTAATGTAAGTGTGAGAGGAATTGCAAGAAAGAAGTGAATAGATGTAGCTTAAGTTTGGATGAACATTCCAGAGGAAACATATGCTTGTTTAGGAACTTGTATTTATTTTTATAATATGTGTGGAACCGCGTTTGGTACATAAGAACCGTTTATTCGTTTTGGTTTTTTTTTTAAAGTAACTTTTGTATCAATGTGAGAGCTAATTACTTGACTAAACACCTATTGCTTAACACATTATAGCATTTCGGAATATTAATTACATATGAAAAAGTGAGATAACTTGTATAACCTGTTTTGTGAATTTTTAAGAATTACATTGTTAGAAGCGATAGTTACTTAAATAATAATAAATAAAAATGATATATTATTATAAATTTTACATAAAAATTAATGACATAACTTAAGTAACTGATAAAAGTATGTAATTAAAGATGTTCATAGGGTGTTGCGAGGAGCTCCAGACCATGTTTGTGTTTTGTGTTATATGCCCCTTGCTGCTCAGGTAGGAGTCTTTCCCCGTTTATGATGCAAGTAGTCTTTTATTTCTTGCTTTCTTTTTTCTGTTTGGTCCAGGGGAAAGGTGCAGAATGGGGGAGGGGAATAGGGTAAGAATGTGATTTTGTTTTCCTATAACAAGATTTGAACCTAGTTCTTTACAAATTATGTCTCCAGCTTCTTTTTTTGTCCTTTTGAAACTTTAGCAGTTGCTGAATCATATACTAAACGTGATTGGGTTTAGGGGTGGGCACCAAACCCAAATTATCCAAAAAAGAAGAAAAAAAGAAAAAGGGAAGTGAAACGGATATCAATTTTTAAAATTGAACATAACAGTTATACATGGTTGATCACATAATTTCAAAACTCAGCTACCAATAATTAATAATGACTGAATTATATAAGTGGTTAATTGTTAATTTATAATGTAGCAAGAAAGTTTAGATTTGAATTTCAATATTTGTTATTTTCAATCACTTCATTTATACATGAATTTTTAACTATTTCGTGTTCCTTCTCTAAAACTATACACCATAACCTACTCTTTCTCTAATATATGACTCTTTCATTTCCCACTTAATATTTATAAGGCTTGGTGGTCTAGCAGCAAGAAAGTGGGAGCGTGGTAATAGGGAATAGTAAGTGAGGGTCAAATGGTGGCATGATTGTGGGAGAGACAGTAGCCTTAATGGTTGCATGGTACGTGGTGATGATTCATGATTAGTTTGGTTATGTTCGTTAACAATGGAAATATGCCAGTAGAAAAGCAAATCAATGACACAACAAGGAAAAAGAGTTTAATAGCAGTATCTAGGATGAATGGATGCACAGGGTGGTTGATGGTGATTTTTGGAGTTCAATATCAAGCCCTAATCTCACTCTCTCAAATCTTCTCTCTCAATGTATAACTTGTCTTTTTGTTGAAAAAAGAATTCTCCAAACCTGTTATTTAACTTGATTGATCAACTCGGTCGCTAATTCGAAGAATTTGCTTACTTTTCATTCATTAAATTCAAATTCATTGTTGAACGAAATCGGACCAAAATTACTATTGTGTCAGTTTTGATCAAATTATGGTATTTGAATTTAAAATCGACCCTAATTGGGTTGGGCAATATCACAATTAAGGGTTAGTGGGCCTAAGTGCATAAATGTTTTTGAAAAAAAACTGCATATATAAAAAAATATAAATTGAGTTTAGCTTAAACATTTTTTAATTCTTATAAATATGATTTTTATTTAATTTTGATTCATATAAAATTTTATTTTATTTATTAAAAATCAATCTCTCTCTCTCACTGCTTAGTTGTGATGTGACATCAACTCACATATTAATGATCATTTCAAGAGAATTTGTAATGTAATATGGTTTAACGTATGTCACTTTATTATTAGTTGATGGTGATAATTATTTTAAGAAATTGTTAAAGTTTAGGAAAAATAAAAATACTAAAATATATTTTATAAATCTTGTTATTAATACTAATTCTTTTAGAACCGGTTTTATTTGAATTTAAGATAAATACATTAAACACTTAGACTTTGAAGATGTGAATATTTAAAATTTTCTGAGCTGATAATATATATTAATAGAAAAGTGAGATGTGATTATAAAACTTTGATGTTTAAGTTTGAGTAAGTTGGCAGATAAGTTCTTATGTAAAAATATGATATTTTTTTATAAGTTAAAAAATTTAGATTTTTTTAAATATAGAGAAATTAAATAAAAATTTTAATAAAAATATAAGTTGATTTTAATTTATAAAAATAATTTAATTTAATTTATTTTTTATTTCTATAAATGTTTATTAAAAAAATTATTCCACTTTAGAAGAATTTATTAAAAAATCATATCCATATAACTTTAAGTTTGAAAGGGATTGAATTTTATTCAAGATCGTATTTACACATGACATGGATTTTTTTTTTGAACGAAAAAAGTTGAATAAAAAACATTCTTCCAGCAAAATATTTACCCTCCTTGCGTTTCTATATTCGATGTTTTCCATAAACTTTTATTTCTTTTATTATTATTATTATTATTGATCTTATAGTTTAGTTCATTTAAATAAATAAGGATGTAACATATATAAGAATTCAAAAAAATGAAATTGACAATTTGGAAATCACACAGGAAGATTCTGTAAAATAGTGGATAATTCATTTGCATCCAGACAAATTCAATATATAACGAGACGACATATTTTCAAATCTGCCAAACAGGCTGAGGAAGTTTTGTGCATAAGCTAGTGTGAATTAAGTTTTGGGGTAAATGAGTGTTGAAAATTATGTTTAAAAGAGTGTTAGCATTTTTCTTGTCTTGATAAATGTTCCTTGACAGGTGACAACATTGCTGACCAACTCTTATTCCCAAATAACTTTTTTTTATTCTTGTAGTTCTTATTTTTTTTGGTTACATTGTTTATTTAACATATTTAGTTTGCTCTTATTTTAGAAAAATTAAATAAAAAATGACTATGATATAAAGTGTCTTACTTTAAAAAACTGAAAAAATTTCTGTATGAACAACTTTCACATGAAAACGTGCTTATTCTAAGTTAGGTCAATTTTGGTTAAAAATAGTATAGTTTAAGTTCATATGTGTTAAAATAAGAATATGACAAAACATTTAATTCAAAAATTGCATATTTTCAGTTGAATGTTCAAAAAAAGCAGCGCAAAGTATGAGATAAAATGAAGAGAGTTGAATGGTAGTGCAAAAAAATTCACATTGATAAAGCTCCGTTGAAACTTGGTGCAAAGGCAAGAGTCTTTGTCTTTGCACACAACGTGAGCTCAAATTGTTGTGGGAAGAGTTAAGGTTCAATCTTCACTAATTAACACACTCGTGGAAAGGAATGAAGAGCTTTAACCGTGCCTAAGCCTCGAGTCAGGAATAGTCGACACCAGTATAATGATTGAATACTGGATTATATAAACGAAAGAAATCATTATCTTATACCTTGTTTTCCAATGTAGGGAAAAATCTTTCTACAGAATAACTAAAGGGTACATTGTTCATGTGTTTCTTGTTTTGTTTTCTTCTGGTTGATGAGAAATTAAGGATTTTCAACAAAGAAAGGTATCAGCAGTGAACCA